ACTGCGCTGCCCGCATTCTAACCCACACTAAACTCCACACCCCGATTACCCCAGTCCCTGCCAAACTACACTGGCTCCCTGTCACAGAGCGGATTGACTTCAAGATCCTCACTCTAGTGTTTAAATCCCTCCACTCCTTGGCACCCCCCTATCTCTCTAACCTCTCTCCCCACAGCACTACTCGCTGCCTCCGCTCTACTGGGTCTGGCCTCCTCCTTGTCCCTCGAATCCTACGCTCCACCATCGGTGGCCGTGCCTTCAGCCACTACGCTGCGAAGCTATGGGACTCCCTCAATCCCTTCACCTTGCCCCCTCTTTCTCCATTTGCAGGTTGCGCCTGAAGACCTTCCTTTTTGACCGTGCCTCTGGTCACCTTCCCCCTCCCCCTGGCTCGACATCGGGCTCCACCATTGTTAAGCGCTCTGGGACGCCACCCAGTGTGGAGGGCACTATGTAAATGCAAGTCGTTGTTGTTGAAGCAATCCGAAACTTCAATTCTTTAAATTCACATTTTCCATCTTAAATCAGATCATTGTGTGTGACTGACTGTTCCTTTTGATTCCTGTATCTGTCTTCAAAATCTCGCCTTAAAACCACCCTCTTCAAAAATGCCTGCGGTAACTTCCCTCTTCCCCTTCTTCCTTGCTAGTTCGGGCTCCCGTCTTTGTAAAGTGCTCCGAGGCATTACCCAACATGAACAGCACTATATCTAGCTGTTGTAGAGATGCAATCTTTATGTTGCACAACACAGAAAGTTTGTGGAATTCACACTTTGATTTCCCTATTTTAAGTTTCTTAAACTCATGCAGATCATTCATAGGCTTGACAGTCTTGTCAGTAAATACTTAAACAAACAGATACAAGATTTATTGTGCATCTCCTTCCTTGTGCCATCTTGTACAGTCTTGTATTCCCAGCTGACATCTCTATACCAGCGGCCATACTGACAGGATTTGTCACAAAATGTAGAACAACCTAAGGTGTAGTAAAATTTACTAAGCAGTTAGAGAAACCCAAATTATTCAGGGCCAGGGTTTCTAAACATCATGCTTGACCAACCTTCTCAAATCCTTTGAAGAAGTAACAGAAAAGGTAGATAAAGGGAATGGAGTGGATGTGGGTTAAATGGATTTTCAGTGAGCATTTGATAAGGCACCACATAAGAGGATTATGACGCGTGGAATTAAATCCCTATCATCTCCAACACAATATACACCTACACATCTTTCCTGGCTTTATAGTCACCCACTAGGAGAGGGGAAAAAATAAACCAAATGGCCAATCCGAGAAAAAGATTTTAAATCCCCAAATTCTGCTCATCTAACCATTTTCTCTTAACATTTCAAACTGCGTAAATTGATTCATTCTTAATTTGGAAGCTGTTTTTCTGCAGTCCTTAAAAGGAGGTTGGCTTAATCCTTCCGAATTAAAGCTGAATTTTACGAATTTTCCACAATTCTGTGCAATCTTAAAATTTTGTGACAAAATGGGCTTATACAGGCTGAGACTGTAAACAGTTCTAACTTCGAGAAGCTGTTGCGGTCAGAATCTTCAAGTAAAAGCTAATAGTAGCAAAAACATTTGATTCAGAATGATCCTTCGGTGAATTGATGTAATCCTGGGAATTGCGCTGTGGAAACCAACTCTGCCCTTTCTTGAGTCAAACTCCCAAAGCTGGATTAACCCCAGCTGTGAAACAAATGGATTCATATCAGATTTATTTCCAAATTGCCCGTTCAGCTTCTACCCTGAGGTACACCTGAGGTGCGTGTGACATATAGTTTGGAAGGTCAAGTAAGGAGATTGAATTGAATGTTGTCACATTGATTTGGGTGAGCTTCACTGCTCAGACGCAGTCGAAAAGGAAAATGCGTGACTGCTCTCACGGTGTGAATTTGCATCCTCTTGTCTTCTAGCTGTTCAGTCGGCTGATTGCTTAGCACTTGTTTCCTGTTTTATTCAACAGATTATTGAGGTGTATGTGTGACACTTTCCACCAGGATTCCTTAGCAAGGAAACTGAAAATACTGTACAATGTTTTACAGGGAAATGAACCACCTTTCAATCTATTACTTCCCCCCCACTCCCAGCACACACACACACACACAAACACTTATTTGATAAACCATTGGGTTTTCTACTTTATTTCTTATCTGGGACAGTGCAGGTATTTCAAACAGTCACTGTTGTCTCTCTTCTTTGGTACTTTATTATATGTCTTTAGATGAAGGCTGCTCTGCTGGAAAGTGACGTGTATAAAACATTGAGCTATTTGATTTATTTTAAAAGTGACATGAAGATAACAGTTACCAAAACATTTTAAGAAGCCATATTAAGTTCTTAAAACAGTGCACAGTGCAAGGAATACTAAATCAATCCTATAAATGATTGGGGAAGCATAAAAGTACATTGGTATTCCACAAGGTTAATAACATGCCCTCACCAGAATATTCTATGATGGCTTCCATATCAGTGCTGCAAAATTTCATTTGACTCCAGTATCCTGTGTACCAAAGGTTGGAACCATGCCATTTTCTATTTCAATATAGAGGTTTAATCCAGGAATAATACCATTATTTATTATCTAACAAGAATAACATTGAACCATGTAACAGCGATACACATACGTTCTCTGTCTTCTTTAAATCAGACAGCTTTTGTGGGGTGTGGTGGTGGGTGGGGGAGATAAAGGGGTTGTGGTTCCCAGATTTGGGACCTATCTCCTATTCTGATTGAGCCCAATACATAAATACCCTAGGCACACATTCTGGTGTCACAACACAGCTTCAGGGTCATGACTGTATCACAGAATCCACAGTAAAGTCACAGACTGTATGTTTCCAAGTAAAGTTGCAAATTAAATGTCTTTATAAACGGTGTAGTGAAGATCCCCAGGGTTCAGTTCTTGGAGCTTTTCTTTCTCACGTGCTGTACGAATAAACTACATCAGGGGATTTAATGCAAGATTTCTATATTTCCACGTGACACTAAATTCTGAACTGCAAAAATGGGTTGCGGAGACTGAAATTATTTAAAGCTATCAGGAGATGCTCAGCTCGGCAATTGGTATAATGACTTGGAAATAGTTTTCATTTTTGATCACTGCAAAGGTATGTCTTGGGGGAATTATCCTACTCGCTACGCTCCATGGAACAAATTTGTTGATGTCGGCTGAACACAATGTTGCTGTATTTGCTACATTTGGTGAATTTGTCCCTGTGTGCTTATAAATAAATGCAATCATATTTTCAATTATAAATACGAATGCTATAAATATAAAATTAAATTATAAGTATGGGTAATGCAATTTTAAAATTATTAAGTGCACAGGGATAAATTGGCAAAACACACTCTGTGGAATAGTGTTTAATCCTCTTCAAATTCGCTATACAAGGTTTACGGAGGAGGATGACCCTACCATGAATTTTTAAATGTATCACAAACAATTGTAGGGGATCAGTCACAATGGTGCAGTGGATAGAGCTGCAGTTTACCAACCTGAAATCTGTTCTGACGAAGGGTCGTGGACCCAAAACGTTGACTCACTTTCCTTTCTCCATAGATGCTGCTTGACCTGCTGAGTTTTCCCAGCTCTCCCTCTGTTTTTGTTTCAAATTTCCAGTATCTGCAGTATTTTGTGTTTTATACCAACCTGAAATTCCTGGTTCAAATTCTGGCCCGTCCTGAGTTTGCCGATCTCAGCCAGGGCAGCACGGGGAGGCCAAGTTGCCTCTGTCCTTCCCAGGGTTAGGGAGTTTTAAAAAAAACAGTCAGAGTTCCTATTCCTGGCCCCTCTACAACACTCTCTACTTATTGTACATGTAGTTGGCAGCCAGAAGGGGAGACGTCAAGCTCGGCTTGTGAAGTCTTCTACTGTCGAGAAGCCTGCCGACACTCACTGCCAAAACAACACCACACAACACAATGAACAATGATGAAACCGGGCAAGCGGATCAGAGGTCAATGGGGAGAAAGTTGGAAAAATTACTGGACACAATAAAAAATAATTAAAAAACTGAATGCAATTTTATTTTTCAGTGAATTTTAGTTACATTTGTTTGGTTCCATCTTGTTTGTTTCCTGTATATGTTGAACAGCATGGCTAAAGAGGACTGTTATTTTTGTCACATTGCCATCATTTTTGTAAAGTGTTCTGTAGATTTATTTGTTGCTGATTTTATAGTTTTTTTTCTTTTTTGTAGTTTAATGTAATAATGATAATAATCTTTACATTTGACATAGCGCCTTGTCACGTCTTCAAGATGTCCCAAAACGCTTATTAACTTCTCCCTGGTTAATTTGAAACAGTGTGGAGTTCTGTAGCATCTTGGTTAGAGCACTCGCCTCTCAGGCGAAAGGATCTGGGTTTGATTCGCGGGCAGGGTGAAACCTTGGACAAGTTTCCGTACTCCACATGCCTCTGTTTACCTAGCAGTAAGTACGAAACCAGTTGTTAGTCAATTTGTGGATCGCTTTTCCGGAGGTAATAATCCCTTCAAAATAAATAAATAATAATAATAATTAGGTCACTTATTCCACAAGTGTCGTGGGAAACTGCTGTGTGCAATTGGCTTATCAAAGAACTAACTAAGATCTTTCTTCTTAAATCCCGCCTCATAATGAGGGAGCGGGGTGGGGGGTGGAGAATGGCTGTCGTTTCCAGTGACCGCTGACACCACTTCCCAGTGCAAACTGGCCAGATTGCTATGTGTATGTAGGAAGCCAGCTCGTCCACACTGGAAGCTTAAAATGTGTCATACATCCTGTAACTGCAGGTCCACAGATCGCTCTCTTCTTAAGCCAACTCGTAGTTTAGTGAGACACTTCATAACAGTTTTGTCTTTCCCCTTCCTCAGTACTTTGGGTTGAAATCCATCCAGCTCCTGTGACTTGACCACTTTAAGGAATGTCAAAAGTTGATGTGACCTTTCACTTCCTATATTGTAAGATCTGTTAAATCATCAGGAAAAGCTCTGATTTACTGTTTTTCTTTAAAACAGGTATTATTGCAACGTTCCTTCACGTCCATCCGTTTGGAGCCAACATAGAATACCTGTGGTCTTATCTCCAGCGACTGGACACAAAGGTAATCTGGAGTATACAGTGCTGTCAATATTATTCAAAAATCAAAGTAGGTATATTGAGGTAGATCTTGTCTGATTCATGAACTCCCTCATCTTGAAACCCTAAACTCAGTGGCTGATAATGAGTGATCGGATTGGATTTTTAATAATGAATAATACTTGCATTTGTTAAACCTCTTAACACATCATAGAGATATCTCAAAGCAGTTCAGACACCCCCAGTACGGCATCGGAGTATCAGCCTGGATCATGTGAATTCAAAGTCCCGATGTAGGGCTTGAACCCACAACCTTCTGACTCATAGGAGGGAATGCTACCAACCAAGCCGGCCTAACATTCCATTTCGTGCTTTTGAAAAATCAGCATAGTTTCAGGTGATGAGCAAATCTTTTCAACCTTCATTTTGCTGTTTATTTTGATCTTGTTTGGGGTTTTCGTCATTTGCTATGGGTGAGAATCTGTTGCTGTAGCAACACTTGTTTCTGTTCTCTGCAGCATGAAATTTAATTCCAATAATGTCAGGACAGTGAGCTGTGGTTGGCTCAGCAGTTCTAATAATACGAGAATCATCTGCTCCCAGTAACAATGTGGACTGATTGACGGCAGCACAACCATAAGTCACTTCCTCACTTGCCTCTGTCTTCAGGTTCAGAAAACCGACTGAGAGGATAGGATGTAAGGCTCAGTTTACTTTAAAACTATGAAGACAGTCCTAAAAATGGAATGTAAAAAGGCATTGCATTAAGAATACCATTTGAAGCACAGCAAGGGTTGCATTGCGAGTTTGTGCTGAACACACAAGAGGTGATATTTCACCTCAGCCTAGATCCGCTCGATTTATGTTATAGCGCCCAGAATTTGGCAAAATGTTGAGTTCAGTCTTAACTCTGAAGTTGGATTTCTGTAGTTTCTTAAATTCAGCTCTTGGCTGTTCATGTGCCCAAATTGGAAGGACATACCCTGCTTACCTAATTCCAGAGAGTATTAGGTGCAGGTTGGCTAAAACCATTGCATGTTTGATGTACGTGTACAAGTGTGTGTTGGGCTACTGCTCAAGTATAACCAGCTTGTAATTGAGAGCAGTGTCCAGCAAGCTTCCTGCTACTTGTTCATCTATAACCACAGTACCTGAGAGGGCCTTCCCTTGCAGTATAAACAGGAGATGAGAGGGCAGAATCCTTACCCCCAACAACAACAAATTCATTTGTGTAGGGCCTTTCACTTCAGAAGGACGTCCCAAGGTGCTGGACATTCAGAGTTTCAGGCCCGAGCTGGGGGTCGGGGAGGGTGGAGGGCTGGGGGATAAGCAGGGAGATTGAAGGCACGGTCAAAGAGGAGGGTCTTGAGATGGGTCTTGAAGGTGGCAAGGGAGGGGCCGAGGTGAAGGGAGTTTCAGACGGTGGGTGCAGAGTGGTGCAAGGCCCGGCAGCCAATAGCAGGGCGAGCGAGGCGGGGGACGTGAAGCAGGCCGGAGGCCACTGAGTGGAGGGAATGAGCAGGATGGTAGGGGGGAGCAAGACTATGGAGGGTGTTGAAGGTGAGGACTAGGATCTTGAACTGTATCCTCTGTGTGGTGGGAAGCCAGTGGAGTTGGGCAAGGATGGGGGCGATAGGGTTGCGGAGCCGAGTGCAGAAGAGGACTCAGGCTGCAGAGTTCTGAATGATCTGTTTCCTGTGGAGGGAGGAGTTGGGGAGGCCAACAAGCAATGAGTTTGCATAGTCGAGGCCCAATGTAATGAAAGCATGTTTGAGGGTTTCAGCGGTGTGAGACAGTATCAGAGCCGGGCGATGTTGCGAAGGTGAGGGAAGGCAGAGCGGGTCATGGCACAAATGTGGGGTAGAAAGGATAGTTGAGGGTCAAACAAGACCCCAGGTTTCAGACTGGCTTTGCAAGGTGGAGTGTGCAACCATGGATGGTGATGCTGTCAGTGCCTGAGGATTGGAGGCGCTGACGGGAGCCAATCAGGAGTGCCTCGGGCTTGTTGATGTTCAACTGAAGAAAATTAGCTCTCATCCAGGACTTGATGTCTGACATACGTTCTGTCAGGACAACAGTGGTCCTGGAGTCAAGGTGGAGGCAGAGAAATATAGTTGGGTGTCATCCGCATACATATGGAAGTTGACCCCATGTCTGCGGATGATGTCACCAAGAGGGAGCATATAGATGTTGAAGAGGAGGGGACCAACGACAGAGCCCTGAGGAACGTCTCATGAGATGGTCCAGGGGCTAAAGGAGAAGCCATTTGAGGAGATGAAGTGCAGGCGATGTGAACCAGTTAAAGACAGAGCCGTGAGTCCGCCACTCCCTGCTGGAGGGTACTATATAAGTGCAAGTTGTTGTTGTTGCAGTCATAACACTGGCTCTTTAATTACATTCTTAGAAATCACCTGACATTGGGTTCTGCTCCCGAGCACCTGGACAATGTGATTGGGAGTAGGAAGTATAAATCACACAGCTCCACTGCTAGCGGCAATAATGCTTTGCTTCCAACAGCATAAATACAGCTTTAGTATTTTGGTCTAATCCCATTCATCACAAGTGACATATAACAAATAGTTTAAAGTGCTTTCTGTGATCCCCCATTTCAGGAAGTGTCAAGCCATTCTAGTGCACAGTGCACTTCTGAAGTATGTTCATGATAAAGTGAGATTCCTGTGGGTGAGACCCTGTAGATAGTGCTTTTCTGCATGTCAGACTTGATTTATACTCCGTGCGATTTCCTGAGAATTCTATTTTGTAAATTTACCCCACACAAAGCTTTTTTTTGTTNCGCCCGCAATAATTCATTTGATTTATTCGCAATCGATTGTGAGAGGGCAATAGTGAAACAGGCTTCGGTAGAATAAACTGTTAAAACAGGAAGGATGGCTCAAGAGCTCCTAGTGAATACTGTGCCAATCACATCCCAAGGAGGAGGAACGGACATCCCATGTAGTCACATAGAACAGAGGAAGGCTTCATGAATAGGGCTCTTGTAATGGCCATTCAGTACTCTTATTCATACCACAAGTTTACTTCTGATCTTGCTGAATAAACAGATGAACAGAATACTTCTAGTTCATTAATTTCATCACCATCGTTCCCCCCCATCAAGAACAACAAATCGTATTTCAGACATTTTGCAGGACGATGTGGAAGGGACAGGCAGCAGAGGGGTTTGCAGAAGAGGGGGTGCGGAGCCAGAGGAGGAGGAGGAGTGACAAGAAGAGTGGGGACGTGGATGAGAGGAGAGATATTCGCTCCAGGCAGCTGGACCTTACGGTGGAAATGGAGAATGGGGCAGTCAGGGTGGCTGATGTCAGACAACCTATGCCCATCCTCCACATGCCTCACAGTCATTGTTGCCGACCAACAGACCTCACAGCTTATTCATAATTCTCGTAATTCTGTATCTCTGAATTCAGAATACTAGAGGTGAAATTGTAGTGTATGCAATTCTGATATCCCGATTACCACATTCTGATCCACAATGCAGACGTCAAACAGCAGTTATATATTTCAGTTATCTTTCAGGCAAGGAGTTAGAAGATTTTCAGTAGGTCTATGGCCAGCAATGTAATCTGGGTTGCCACAGCTCACTATTAAAAATTAAATTGTACGTTGGATCTTGAGCCCTCTGGGGAGCAGCTGAAAGTAGATTCAGTCAGTCACTGTGCACAATTCATTGGATGGATCATATACTGGGGTTGAAAGTACATGGTGGCATAAATTCAGCACAATCTGCAAAAGACACAAAAGACCTGTTCTGAATTATATTTTGATGTATTTTATAAATGTTCTTTTGCAGATATCTGCAGGAGAAATTGAGATACTTATGATACAATTGCCGCACATGTTCAAGCAAGAGTTCACAGGCGTGGGCGCAACGCTGGAGAAGAGATGGAAATTCTGCGGGTTCGAAGGGATCAAAACAGTTAGTCAATGAGACTGAAATTAACTTCAGGTTGACAACCGTCACTTGAAACTCGATCATCGTGCAGGGGATTACAGTCAGAAATCTGTCCGAGCTCCAATTTTAAATCGCTGATTGAATCTGTTGTTTCTTCAGCTAAAGTGAAAAATGTATCCATTCAACAGCTCCTGAAAACTGTCAGAATGGGGCAAAAAAAAATGGCTTAGTTCTGCAAAAAGCAAAACTCATCGCCCCTTATCAAGAATTTTACGGAGTTTTTTATTGGAGCTGGCGGTTGGGAATTGAACGCTTATCCGGTCAGCACCCAAAGTAGTAGTTAAAGTGAACAGAAGTGTTTTGAGGACTGTTATGTCACAGAAAAGTCATATGCTGTTGATTTAAGACGTACGTGAATTCAATATCACTGTCATTGCAAGGCTGGCACTAAACTCCCAACGGAGCACAAGGCAAAAGCTGAACATGAATTTCAAGCAGCAAGTCAGGGTTGGACTGTTAGTAAATCTCCCTATGCCAGCCAACAGATCTCTATTGCGTATTTATCGGTTATTCAGAATTCATCTCAGATTTGTTCACAGTGGAGATCTGTGATAAACCAAGAAAACATGGGAATATCTCTATTTACCTGCAGTAATATGTGACCTTAATGTCTGTGGCAGGATGTGAATGAAAACGTATCGCGCCGCACACACTGTTATTATTGTGTAATTTAGAAATAAATTATTTTTATGAAAGTTTAAATTATAACTTTTTGCACAGGGGTAATGTCTGACTTTCATTTTCTAAAACGCAAAGCTGTCTAGTGTCCCTGTCCAGAGCACTCCATACCACTGAGGCACGTTTGAGATCTGTCGAGTTTTGTTCACGGTGATATATTTGGGAGAGCTTCTCCTGAAATGTGCCTGCGTGTGATCTTTAGCCTTTGTGAGGAGAGACATCAGCAAATGCTTTAAGACATCAACACCGCATGGCTGGCAGGTATCAAAGTGATTTGGGCAGCAATTTGTGAAATATAAATGAGACAGAGCAAATCACATTAGGGTCTAACTGTAGTGTGCTTCCAGGAACAACGTGATTTGAACCACTCAGTATAAACGCATTTGGTACAAATCACACTGGGCTCCTTCCAAAGATCTCCTTTCAAAATTCTCAGCCTTTAAGATTGTTAAAGAAGCAATCTCACAATCAGCCCTTTACTATATTTTATACACATCTTTAATAATACTAAAAAAAACATCTGATTTTGGCATTTCACACATACACCTGTCTCACTGGCATCGCGTCCTATGGATTAAATGATTGACAAAACAAGGGTCTGGCCTGTTTTTCATATTGTAGGTGTTATAGCAAAAGAAAATCTGACTGCCTATTCTGGTGCATTGTCCAGTTGGTAATTAAACCGTGTGATTAAGCACAGCTACCTCTTACACAAACGTTAATGATATAAACATGCACAGAAGAACTACTGAGACGTTATAACAATTACAACACCAACTCTTTCCCTTCTGGGTTAAATACAGAACTCTGTGCACCATGTAATGATGGCACAAATTCAAAACTAGTGCCAACGCAGTCACCTATAGAAAAATCATGGCTAATAAAACATCTCAAAAACATGCTCACTCTAACACTGGTACCATTGCCCATGCCATTAGATGCCCTAGGCAGTATCACAATTATAGTTATAGTTGCTGAAGCACAGCTAATATTGCATTAGAAAGGGAGCACAGCAGGTAAGGCCTGTGATAGCTTCCTAGATATTCTGTGGAAGCTTGTAAAACAGTAAGTGCAGTGAACCTGTGACCTGCTGCTAAATGCTGAAGCAGTAAAAAATGGCAGCAGACGGATGCAAGCTGCCAGACAATATCTCTGGCTTGCCCTGCTTGGTTTCCAGACTGACCCTTCTTTCCCATAAATCAGTTCTCATGTAGGAGCTTTTTGTCTGATAAGGCTGTTCATTAATCTACCTTTCTGTCCCTATCAACACACATGATTTGAGACCGTTTTAGCTGGGGCTAGGTTGGCAGACTGTAAATTAACTTGTGTTTTGCAATTATCACTTTGTGCATTTCAGTGATTGTGTTAAAGAAAGAGTTATTTCACATCCCGAACAAAAGAGATGTAACACTGTAATGATCTGTACCAAGAAGTATTTAATGTTACACTGTTTGTATAGCGTAAAATAGACAAAAAATGAATCAAAGCTGTCTATAATGACTCCATGGTAGTTCAGTCAAACTGACTGCTGGACTTGCCTCCGAGAATTTCAAATGAGAGATATTAAACCGCATCAGATGAAGAGATTAATGCCTGTGCAAATTTCCAAAATCATTCAAATCTTGTTATCTTGAGCTCGCGGAAATGAGAGAAAATAATTATTTTTTCATGAATTTATGTTATTACCATTCAGTGTTTGAACAGAGCTCCAAGATGTTACCCTACAAACATAAAGAGCGCTAGATAAATGCAAGCTGCTGTTGAGATCCTTTGCAATTCAGCTTCATTGGAAATTAGAGAGAGCAAAAAAGTCACTCTTTATTAGACCACTGGGAAATCTCTATCCGCTCCCTGACAAGCTATTCAGAGGAATTGTGCAGACCAAACAAAAATCATTAACAAAAGTTTACTCAAAAATTAACACATAGAAAATAATTAGTCCTTTCCAGCAGGAGCAATAAATGTCAGTTCTTTATTGATCAACTCAGATCTACATGAGGAATTATTTGGCACACAAAAAGGAGAATGCTTAACAATTCCTCCATTGTTTGCGTGACAATTCTGTTTTAAGCAAGAAAATGCTTTCAACTGTGGACCAGTGATACTGTTGGTCACCAGGAAAATTGTAGGAAGCGATGTTATGTTTTTAATTGCAAATTATGAGAAGAAAAAATAAATAATAATTATTATTACATTTGATCTAGCACTTTTCACGTCGGGAGGTCATTCTCAAAATGTTTTATATACTGCAAAGTCTACTGACTGTGGATCAAAAAGATAGTGGAAAATATGACCTGATTGGAAAGAAAGATGGTTGAATATTAGAGAATGGAAAGCAAACTTGAGAATAGTCACAGCCAGCTATGCTATACGTGGATGAGTGTGCACTCCATCCCCCTGGTTCAGGTAAGGATCGAGTTTTTGTCTTAACCTTCACGTAAAAGATGCAGAGTTCCAGATGACAACACTACCTGGGAGAGAATTCCACATGTGGATCTGAAAAGGCGTGTCATGAAATGTTGCTGCTGTTACTCATTGCAGAAATCTTGCTACTCAGTGCAGATATTGCAGTCCAGGTGTGCTACGGGTAGCGTAGATATTACTTGACATGAAGACCTGACTTGAAAGGCAGCAACTCACATAGAGTTGCTCTGATGGCTCATTTTCTGCTCCATTAGAATTAATTCCTATGATGGCAGGATGGATTATCTTACAAAATGTGCTGCTACTGCACATATATTCCCTTTTACAGTCTCTGGAATGGACTACATCCAAATACACAAGGTAAATTTTTCTGCAGTCCATCAACCAGGCCTCTGGAGGTCTATTAGACATTAGGCATATTTGGAAAATGATTGTCCATCTTTAAGGAATAAAATTTCTGCCAGCATTCTCCACTGAATTATTCACAACCACAACAAAAACATTTCTACTATTAGTCATTCCAATTAAACAGGGAATATTAGAGCTAGGTACATGTCTGAAGAAAGAGAAAGAGAATAGATTGCGGGACTTGGTAAGAAGGAAAGTAAGTGGCCCTGATACATCAAAAAGGACAGAATTGTTCAGCTAAATAGCCTTTTGTTATTCCTTAACGATCTTATGCTCAAAATGGTAATTCAAAAGGAGCTCTCCGAAATTAGATTAATTCCGTGTCAGCCGCTAACAGCCATTAACAAAGCTTCAGTCAGTGCTGCATTTCTAAAGTGGATTGGTTTCTGTATGTGGGAAACTGAGGGAGCTGTTAAGACAGATCGATTCAAAAAGTAGCAGGAGCAGACATGAACTCAAGCATCTTTCATGTTGGGAGGACGTCCGTAAACAATTCACAGGATTCACTGTAAAGTGTAGTGACTGTAGGCAAACACGACAGCCAATTTGTGCACAGTAAGGTCCCACAAACAGCAAGGAAGTAAATGACTAATTCTATTTGGGGTAAATTCCCTTCACTTTTTGAATAGTTACATGTTTTAACAACATGTAACATGCCTTCTGTGTGTGAGTCAATACCATTACATTTAAAGGCAAGTGGGGCTTCTATGATTGGATGCATACTGTGTATGCGTCACCTGCTCCCTGGACCCCATCCCTATCCCTCTCCTTAAATCCCAGCTCCACCTCCTTGCCCCACTACTCACCGACATCATTAATCTGTCATTGGGCACTGTTCCTTCCCCCTTCAAAACAGCCACTATCATCCCCACCTTGAAGAAACCTTCCCTTGACCCATCACAGCTATCTAGCTACCCGTCAATCTCAAATCTCCCCTTCCTATCCAAGGACCAAGAGAGAGCCGTTGCCTCCCAGCTTTGCTCTTTCCTCTCCTCTCACTCCCTTCATGAATTCCTCCAATCAGGTTTCCGTGCTGCCCACAGCACAGAAACTGCTCTGGTCAAAGTCACAAATGACATCCTGACCATGTGTGACCAGGGATCCCTCTGCCTCCTCATCCTCCTCGACCTCTCCACCGCCTTTGACACCGTGCACCACTCAATCCTCCTCCACCGCTTCTCCTCCCACCTCAACCCTCAAGGTTCTGTCCTTGACTGGTTCAGGTCCTACCTTTCACACCGCCTCCACTTCATTGCGGCAAATGGCTTCTCCTCCAGCCCCCGTAACGTCTTGTGCGGTGTTCCTCAGGGCTCTGTCCTCGGTCTCCTCCTCTTCACCCTCTACATGTTCCCCCTTGGTGGTGTCATCCGCAGACATAGGGTAAATTTCTACATGTATGCGGATGACACCAAACTGTACCTTTCTGCCTCCACCCTGAACTCCAGGACTACTGGCATCCTGACCGACTGCCTGGCCGACATCAAGTCCTGGACGAGAGCCAACTTTCTCCAACTCAACAGCAAGACCGAGGCCCTCCTGATTGACTCACGCCAACACCTTTGCACTTTAGGCGCTGGCAGCATCAGCCTCCACAGCTGCACACTCAACCTCACTAAGCCAGTCAGGCACCTGGGTATCTTGTTTGACCCTGAACTGTCCTTTCTCCCCCACATCCGCGCCATGACTGGCACTGTCTACCACCACCTCCGCAATATTGCCAGACTCCGCCACTGCCTCACCCCTCAGGCTGCCGAAACCTTCACCCACGCATTCGTCACATCAAGACTCGATTACAGGAACTCCCTCCTCATCGGCCTTCCCAACTCTTCCCTTCACAAGCTCCAGATCATCCAGGTTCCGTGACCCCATCACGCCCACCCTCGCCCGACTCCACTGGCTCCCCATCCCCCAGAGGATCGAGTTCAAGATCCTCGTCCTCACCTTTAAGGCCATCCATGGCCTTGCCCCCTCCTACCTCTCTGACCTGCCAACTCCCTACCAACCCACCCGCTCCCTCCGTTCATCGGGCTCCGGCCTGCTCCATGTCTCCTGCCCGACCCGCCGTACCATCGGTGGCCAGGCTTTCAGCCTCTCTGCCCCCACACTCTGGAACTCCATCCCACGGTCCCTTTGCCTCACTTCCTCCCTTGCCTCCTTCAAGGCCGGTCTCAAAACCCTTCTCTTCGACCATGCCTTTGGTCTCCTTCCCACCTCTTTGCCTTCCCTCACCCCTATACTATGCTCGGGTCATGACCCAACTGTGCAGCGCCTTGGGACGTCCTCCTGACGTGAAAGGCGTTTTATAAATGGAATCTTGTTGTTGTTGTTGTTGTATACCACCCCTACCCCATGCTCGGGTCCCGATACCTGACTGTTCAGCGCTTTGGGACATCCTCCCGACGTGAAAGGCGCTTTATAAGTGTAATTTTGTTGTTGTTGTGTATATTACAGCAGATCTGAGTTACTGGAAATGTATTGTACAATCAAGCACAGTTTCCTTCATTGTTCTTCTCCCTTCTGATCTGGGTTCTGATTCTTGGCAGACTTGAATTAGATTTATATTTGTTGCCCTGATCTACTTTTGGGAGATCTATAATAATAATAATATCCTCATTATTATTTATTATCATATTAGATGCATACCCGTTATTATGAAAATAAGATCTTAAAGAGAAACAGTGATCCAAAATGCTGAATATGTCATCAAGCACAAGAAACAGTAGACCACATATTATCATCACGTTGTGTATTTTGTAAGTGAACTCAGTAGCCAATTTGCCCAGAGCAATGTGCCACTAACTCCACAAAGTAAATGACCATTTTTTATCTGGGGGAATGTGGGTCAGCGCACTGGGAGAAACCTCCTTCCTTTTTCAAAATGTGCCATGCAATCTTAAATGCCCATCTGAACAGGCAGATAGAACCTCATTTTAACATCTCATTTGAAGAACAGCACATCTGACAATAAAGGCGCACTACATTAGAGTATTAGCCCCAGACTATGTTCCTGTTAACCCTGCAAGCCAACATTTTCAGGTAAGTCTAAATCATAAGTCTAAATATAAATATCTTGCTTTCTGGTACCAGCTGGCTGACTTGTGAGCTAATTCCATGGATATACGTAAAGGTTGAGATAAAAGCATAACTGACTTAGTAACAACCAGGTTGAACCACCAGTCAAAACCTCTCAACTCTTCAACCTCCCCACACTTATTCATAATATTTAAATCGCAAGTTTCCTTTTAGATTCCCTTTTGCAGACATTTTGCCCACAAATATAGTCAATTAACTTTACAGTATATTCTGTGAAGCGCTTTGAGACGTCTAGAAGACGTGAAAAGCGCTATATCAAATGCAAGGATTATTATTATTATTAAACTATCGGAATAACCTTTCTTGCATTACTTCTCTTTCCCCCTCTCCCAGCTGATGGGTGATGCACTGTTCACTCCCTGTCGGACCCCTTTAAAACTATGTCATTTGGTCTGTTTTTCTTGTTAAAGGACCTTTTATGAATATGGTATTGATATGAAACTTGTAACATTTAACTGAAAATTATTTAATAGGAATTCAGTGGCAGAAACACCTTCAAGAGATCTGCACTAAAGAACATTTTTGCCTTTTTTAAAGGTTCAAGTCTAATTTCTATATTCCTGCAGATAACATAAGAATAATTAAATATTTACAGGACTTTCTGTTCAAAATATGTGCAAACCTATGTAAAGGAATTAATTCATCACCATCTGGGTTGCCACAATTATCCCCAAACTATCCTACCTATAGGTAGGTCAGCACATGTATTCTATTTACAGTTCCCATTTCAAAAGGTGCTTTCACTTTTCCAGGTGAACTTGAAAGATTGATCTTGCAGAATCTATTTCACATTTTATACAAAAGAAAATGACATTGCTTGTGCCTTGTAGTTCAGCTAAAGAAGATTTCTTGAAATAGCACTTATCCAGTGAAATGTCTCAGTGTTTTGCAAGTAATTACCATCAACTGCAGGGATTTGTCTTACAGGCAAATGCAGAAGCCATTTGCACCAACATGACCCAGAAATAATCATGAGGTAAATGACCTGGAGAATCGTTTGCCAAAACATCAGGTAAACTGCCTATTTTTTTGAACAGCTTTGTGGGATATTTAATATCGTCTGAAGTCTGGCTTTTAACATTTAATTCAAAAAGTGGCAATTCTGACTGTGCACTACATCCCCCCTCACTGTGGTGAGTGACAGTCTAACTACAAACTTAGTCTTGATTTGGGGCTTGACCGAGAACCTTTAGCTACCAACTGAGCCCGCACTAGGCTTCGCGACCTCTCCCACCCTAGGCTCTGTGACCCTATCACATACATCCTCGCCCAACTCTACTGGCTTCCCATCACACAGAGGATACAGTTCAAAATCCTGGTCTGCACCTTCAAAGCCCCGCATGGTCTTGCTCCCCCTTACCTCTGCGACCTCCTAAGTCCCTCCTATCCTGCTCGTTCTCTCTGCTCAGCTGGCTCCGGCCTGCTTCCCGTCCCCCGCCTCGCTTGCCCCACTATTGGCGGGTAGGCCTTCTGCCACTCTGCCCCCACCCTCTGGAACTCCATCCCGCAGTCCCTCCTCCTCGCCCCCTCCCTTTCCTCCTTCAAGACCGATCTCAAGAACCTCCTCTTCAACCACACTTTCGATCTCCCTGCTTCTTCTCCTGCCTTCCACCCGTTACCCCCCCCCCCCCCCCGCCCCGACCTCCAACTTGTGTACGAAACTCTGTCTGTCCAGCACCTTAGGACGTCCTCCCAACGTGAAAGGCGCTTTACAAATGTAATTTTGTTGTTGTTGTTGTAAGCCAAAATAACTAGAGTTCCAAAACCCATTTTATTACATATCCATCTTAATTGAACATTATTATACATAACATTTCACAAACAGTTTGTGGTAAAGTGTTGGTTTCTTTCAATACATATAATTTAAAAAATTCCTTAACAAATTGAAGAAACCCACAGCGTTTTACAACTAAATTAAACACAATACATAAAGCTGTGTCAGTGGTCCGTAAGCCTGAGGAATTATTTCTTGATGACAGAATCCATTATATCTTTTGCCTCGTTGATCTTGGTAGCCAGATACGGAGATCCTCCTGAAAAGATGCAACATTTTAAATTCAGATCATAAACTGAGCTTTACTCATTCTTCATCTGCAATAAAAACACCATTGTTTATCATGACAACCTCCAGAGATAGCCATGTTTCATCTGCACTCAGATCAAAAGTGTTGATCAATTTATCAGTTTTCTTCTCACAAGATGCACAACCATGATTTAAGCAAATTTCACAAACAAACTCGAATACTGTGAAACTCTTTGCATTCTCATACATAAAAGCGTAATGATTACTAACTCCCCATTTGGCCAATATTTATTTACTGGTCATAAAATAGGCGTCCCCCTCAAAGTGGGGCACAATAAATTTAGAATTATTTTGAGAATTCAATTAGTTTGAACTTGGATTCAGCTCCAGTTTTCATTCAGTTAGAATAAATTGACTAAACCAACTCAGGTAAGCAATTGGGAAACTGAGCAGGTCAGGCAGCATCTATTGGAGAAAGTGAGTCAATGTTTCGGGTCAACGATCAGTGCTGACATCAGAACAGTTCTGACGAAGGGCCGTGGACCCGAAACATTGACTCACTTTCCTTTCTCCATAGATGCTGCCTGACCTGCTGAGTGTTCCCAGCGACTTCTGTTTTTGTTTCAGATTTCCAGCATCTGAGGTATTTTGCGTTGGGTTCTAGCAAGCAATTGTTCCACAAATCCTTCTCTAGGTAAATACTTCATACAGTTTCAGGTTTGAGTCACAGTCCACCAAAAATACTCAGGAATACTCAGTTTTTGTGAAATTATTCCAAGAGGAAATTTTTGTTTGTTTAAACTAGTTTCAAAAAATGCTCAGCTGCAAAAAATACATCCACTTTACAGTGTATGAAGTAAGTGCCTTGAGTCATCTTGACAATGTGATAAGGTGCTATATCAAATGCAAGGATTATTTGTAGTATTATTGTTATCTTTACCTCCAATTTTATTACCCTAATTATATTACAATCTGAAATTCTCCACTATCCTTAAATATAATTTTCATAAAAACTGATTCTGCAAAGCAGGGTAATTCCTGCGAAAAGCTTAAGGCAAAAAAGCAGCCTTAACAGTACACTGTTTTCTTCGATTCTCTCTCAGTACCTTCACACTGTGGACATCAGGCATCACTTTATCTACGTCTACCCACTTCTCTCACCCGCCTTGTCCTCTATTCAACTCATGGCCATTCATGCGACCTTGCTGGCTGCTGTGTGCTTACAACAACAGTCACTACACCTCACAGTAATTTGTTGGAAAGTACTTTAAAGATGGTTTGCTATGCTAAATTGCTGCAAAGGTCCAAGGTTTTTATTTCAGAGTGTTTTTAACCTGCTGAAGACTCTGAACAAATCTCCAGATTGTTATCATAATTAATGATCACACAATCACAATATTAGAAGATGGATAACATGTGGACTTATTATAATATCATTAAACATCTTATTTTACCAAAAGGTCGTTTCACAATGCATCTTTCATAAAGACAAATTGTGAAAGTGGCAATGCTTTTAGTTTTCCACCCAAAAATGTACATTTTAGATAAATTACGTACAACAAATAACACCATCTTCAGTGATTTGGAGGAGATGTCACAGGCAATGTGCAACAGCTGTGAGCATCTACGTTTGTTCTCAAAATGGCAATTGATACACATACACCAAAATATTGCTTTAGAAATCGTAATCATCTGTGACAGAGGTTTAGTGAACATCAGTAATCTCATCATAGACTTTTCCACTGCCTCCCCTCTGTACTCTAATCTTCCTAACTCAAGTATGTGCTGCACTTGTGCAGCCATCAAAAGAGAATTAAGAAGATGGATAACATGCGGGCTCATCAGCATTGAAATTTAATGGATTCTCAAACTGCTTTAAAACCAATTTTCATGCAAATTTCAATCAACCTACAAATGCACAAGCACTGTAGTTTGTAGCTGCCTGCAGAGAACGCTCCTATAGTGGAGATCATAACAGCTTTTAAAAGGGATTGTGCAAAAAAAAATACAAACAGACATATATTACAAAGGTTGGGGGGGGGGTGAAGTGGGGGGTGGGTGGGAGGGGGAGGAACCATTCTCCCTCTTCTTTAAAAGCAAATTGCATTGTGTTCATTGCCAGTGGTTATAATTCAAATATATAAACTTTCATAGTTATCCACTATTGGTGTTTAACACAGAAATGACAGTGACGGCCAGCGCCCAAGACCAGCGACACCTACACCACCAGCAGGCCTGACCCTCCAATTATTACATTTAAGAATGAGCACGACACCCACCCATCCCCAACGCTGCTCCCACCTTCCCCCAGCGCTGCACCTGTGCCCACCCCCAGCACCACACCTGCCCACCCCCAGCACCTCACCTGCCCACCCCCAGCACCACTCCTGCCCACCCCCAGCACCACTCCTGCCCACCCCCAGCACCACTCCTGCCCACCCCCAGCACCACTCCTGCCCACCCCCAGCACCACTCCTGCCCACCCCCAGCACCACTCCTGCCCACCCCAGCACCACTCCTGCCCATCCCAGCACCACTCCTGCCCACCCCAGCACCACTCCTGCCCACCCCCAGCACCACTCCTGCCCACCCCCAGCACCACTCCTGCCCACCCCAGCACCACTCCTGCCCATCCCCAGCACCACTCCTGCCCACCCCCAGCACCACTCCTGCCCATCCCCAGCACCACTCCTGCCCATCCCCAGCACCACTCCTGCCCATCCCCAGCACAATTCCATTCCAGGCAAAGGTAGATTTCTGGCATGTCTGGAATTCTCAAGTTTGTTTTTTGTGTGTGTCAAATACCTGTGTGACAAAAAAAAAAGCATAGGATGGTTAGACGATAGAATCGGGCGTCCATAACTACAGTAAAAAGGAACTGGATAAATATGTGAGGGAAAATGAAATGGTATGGGGTAAAAGTAGGGGATGAGATTAGTGTGGAAAGCTGATAACACAAGCACAATTGATGGCCAAATTGTCTCCTGGGTTCCATACTTTCTATAGGTGCAAGAAGACTCATCGCTGACAATTAAATCGTAGCTTCTAAATGTGTATAATGGTATTTGTTCCCAATAGGTGAGAACCACACAAAGAATGAACAGCCTATAAGTATCATTCCACTCCAGCTGGATCAGTAATAAGGAGTTACTTATCCTTGATAGAAGTCAGACTTTGAAACTATTTTAAAACATTTACCTGATTAGTTTACCTTTTAAATTCTTACCTTTGTCAGGATGATTCAGAACCATAATTCTTCTGTGAGCTTCTCTAATTTTTGTTCTACCAGCTGATGGGCTGGAGAGAGAGAGAGAAAACAATATTGATCGACTCTCACCTTTACTGGTAGCATCAGGAGTAAAGAGACAGCCGAAACCACATGACTTACAACAGAACCAACTTTAAAAAATGTCTGGTAATGGGTTTTAGAGAGCATGCACATCGATTTTAGTGACTCTCACAGCATGTGGTGTAATAGCTTTGCTTTATAAAAGTTTTGTTTGTTATGGGAAACATGGCTGGATATCACTGAATCTTCCCTCAAAGCTGCTACTCTAGCCCATTGACTGTACACTGCCATTGTTCAGCTTATTAACACTTTGCCATGAGTATACATTATAGAAGTAAAGATGACAAATTACATGTTTTGTCAATGTCTAGATTCTGGAAATGATTAATGCCAGAACAACCTGCTCTCACACAGAGGAATGAATAGAGTTGCAATACAAGAATTCCCCCTTGTGGAAAAAATAAGGCATTACAAAAATGATAGAGAAATGGCTCTTCGCATTAACCAATTTTATCAGTTTTAGCAGCTATCCTACAGCTCACCAAAGAATTGTAACACTTTCCTGCTGCTATCTCATTCAGTTTTGTTTTTCTTAATGCATTAATAGCCTTTCACAAGCTGCTAATAGCTTCTCAGCTGCCTCCCGGTGTTTGGAAAAGCAGAATAACATTAAAACCATAGCATCTCCCACGTAGGGGTCCTGAGCCAAATGTCTCACGAGGAAGCAAGGAACAAAGGGAGGGAGGGAAGGAAGGAGGGAGGGAAGGGAGAGAGGGAAGGAAGGAAAGAGATAGAAATCAGAAAGGTAATCAAATCCTAAGGGTGATATTTTGCTTCAAAACATAGCAAATTTGACAATACACACTTGAAGAATTTTACCCCCATCGTTATACCATTCGGCTAATTGTTCCTCCCTCCTTTCAACGGTCATTTAATTCCTCTCCCCTCTCTTTAGAGGGTTTTAATTGTGTATGAACACGCGCACACACACACACATACACACATACATGCTGAGGTTTCCAACAACCCAAAAGGTAACCAGAAGCCCCCCAAAATTCTTAGATTCATATTACTGTGCAAGGGAAAGAGCTCAAATATATATTTACTGATGTTCCTGGAAAAGTAATTGAAAAAGAGAGTGAAGCCACTTACCTGATACCTAATATAAGACTGGCTTCTCGTTTATCCATTCTTGTTTCAAACCCTCCTTTGTAATATGCTGCTAAACTCTGTAGATTAAAATGTAATAAAAATGACTGCAGGCATCATCTCAATCATCACAGTCTCAAGCCTTTTCTATTAACATTCCAGGCTCCTCACCTTGTGAAAGCATTAGGCTCTTTATTCCTTCTATCGTGGCACAGTTCTACGCTTTATGTCCCTGCCCTATCCGTCCCACCGTCGGAGGGGGCTTTGAGCCCCAATCTTTGGAACTCCATTTTGGAGTCCCTCCGACTCACTCTTTCAAAGTTCCACCTGAAGACCTCCCTCTTTGACTGCAGCTTCGATCATCTGTACCCTTCCTAACCCCTTCAGCTCCCACCTGTAGACTGGGTGCCAAGTCAGGATTGTTAAGCACCTTGGGTCATCTTCCTGAGATGAAGGGCTCTATATAAATGTAAATTTATTGGAGTGTGTTGTTATTGTTCTGCAGGTGAAGGAAGACATTCCGAGAGGCCATTACTCATGTGTGATGCTCAACAGTGAGAGTTGGCAAGCGTTTTGACCATGTGAGTGATGGCAGACTCTGAGCCTCTCACATACACAAATGAAGAAAAAAGAACCCAAGGTTAATTTTTTCCCCTTCCTAATCCTGAACGACTAAGGTCATTCTGTACCCGACATATGAGATCAGCTAACTTAGCAGAACCTGCTGATTTGAACCTGCAACTTCTGTATGCTGGTCTGTATGGGCCGGTTCTTCACCTTTACTCATGACTGAGGCCATTCAGCAACTGTGAATAAGCAAACTTACAGGATTTGGAATGCTTTTGACTGTTTCTGTGATCAGTTGCTCGAAAGGCTTCCGGAGACGAAGGGCATAGCGACCTGTAAATCCAAACATTGAATTTCTAATCGTCACTTTGATATTAAGCTAAAACATTTTATTTTAGATGCCCTGGGCTAAAATGTATTCTGCTCAGTAGACAAGTTACAAAGAAAAAATTCAGCGGATTTCACATGTCCACAATACAGATACACAGGAGTCAATGCAGTAATTTATGGTGTTTGTTAACTTTGCTTACTTAGAAACAACAAATTCTATGACCGGCTATGAACAGCTACACAAAATACTACTTAATACCTTAATATCTATGGGAGTGAACTGCAATTACAGATAAGTTGGCAAAATACATTCACATGTCAAAGCACAGCCTGGCTCAGTTGATAGCATTCTGTGTTTGAATCAGATGGTTTATGGGTTCAAGTCCCACACGAGCACTTTGAACTCACAGTCTAGGTTGACACTCCAATACAGTGCTGGGGCTGTGGTGCATTGTTGCAGGTGCCAGGCTTTGGATGAGACATTAAACTGAGGTCCTGGCTGTTCCGGTGGACATTAAAGATGCCAAAGCACTACTTGAAAAGAGAAGGAAGTTTCAACAATTCCCCAGACCAAAAAAAAGGTCATTCACTTTGTGGTTGTTTGTGGATATCGCTTGCATTTTTTTTAGCGTCTTTCACATCAGGAGAATGTTCCAAAGCACTTTGCAGGATATACTGTAAAGTGTAGTGACTATGTATTTTATAGGCAAACGCAGCAGCAAATTTGTGCACAGAAATGCCTCACAAACAGCCATGAAGTGAATAATATTATATGAGGAATTATTGGCAATGAAACTGGAAAATACTTCCTTCTCTTTTCGAATAGTGCCATGGGATCCTTAGCATCCACCTGAACAGGCACAAACTGCCTTTGTTTAATATCTCATCCAAACGATGGCACCTCCAACAGTGCAACATACCCCAAGGACTGTATTGGTGTGTCAGGTTAATCTTGCTTTATGAAGACCTACAAAGTATGAACAGTATAACCTTTGCCTACCTGTAAATGCTACAGCAGCGACACCAAGTCCGACTGCTAATAAAGTGTGGCCCTAAGGAAAAAAATGAAAACAAGGTGTTCAGTGGATTTAAGCATACACCAACCATATGAATTTTACAAAGAAGAATATAGTATGTTGGGCCTGATATGCTTCACAAGGCCACTGACATCTCTATTGGCTTGTCGCAACCAGGGTCAAAGTAATTTCCCCTGTAATTTTCCCTTGTTATTGTCTTCACTTACTCTGCACCTCACAGAATGTGTTCCATTTGTTGATCAGTGCCATAGAACTGTGAAAATGTACCACAATCTAGAAGGCCATTTGGCCCTCTTTTGCTGTGGTGGTGAATCCATCCATCCTAATCCCAATTCCTTGCCTTTTTTCCTACGGCCTCTGATACTTTTCCGTCCTCACGTGCTTGTACAATTCTCTTTTAAATGTTCCCCAATCGACTCTGCTTTAACAGCTAATCTGTCAAGTCATTCCATCAAACATTCTCTGACCACCTTCTGGGAGGTGTTCTTCCCCATCTCTTCTTTTCTTCCCCATCTCTTCTTTTCTTCCCCTAATCACAGTATTAATCTATGTTGTCTTGTCCTCTAATCCCCTACCAGTGCAGTTTGACACAGTCAATTATTTCATTCGCTTAAATAACTTATTTACCTCTCAACTTCCCTCCTCCAATGAAAACAGTTTGCACCTCTTTTAACAAAGTTTTCAAATAATACAATATTCTCATTTTTTCCTGATGACAAGACACAAACCTTTATATTTGTAGCACTCATTGAATGATGCAACAACAACAACAAAATTACATTTGTATAGCGCCTTTCACGTCGGGAGGATGTCCCAAGGCGCGTGACAATCAGTGTTTTGGACCCGAGCTGGGGGTCGAGATCGGGGAAGGTGGAAGCCGGGGGGGGGGGAGGAGGGTGACCGAAGGCACGTTCGAAGAGGGTCTTAAGACGGGTCTTGAAGGAGGCAAGGGAGGGGGCGAGGTGGAGCGACTGTGAGGATGTCAGTCAGTCAGTGACGATGTCAGTCAGTCAGTGCGGATGTCAGTCAGTGCAGATGTCAGTCAGTGCGGATGTCAGTCAGTGCGGATGTCAGTCAGTGAGGATGTCAGTCAGTCAGTGAGGATGTCAGTCAGTGCGGATGTCAGTCAGTCAGTGAGGATGTCAGTCAGTCAGTGCGGATGTCAGTCAGTGCAGATGTCAGTCAGTGCGGATGTCAGTCAGTGCGGATGTCAGTTAGTGAGGATGTCAGTCAGTCAGTGCAGATGTCAGTCAGTGCGGATGTCAGTCAGTCAGTGAGGATGTCAGTCAGTCAGTGCGGATGTCAGTTAGTGAGGATGTCAGTCAGTCAGTGCGGATGTCAGTTAGTGAGGATGTCAGTCAGTCAGTGCGGATGTCAGTCAGTGAGGATGTCAGTCAGTCAGTGCGGATGTCAGTCAGTCAGTGAGGATGTCAGTCAGTGTGGATGTCAGTCAGTCAGTGCGGATGTCAGTCAGTCAGTGCGATGTCAGTCCAGTGCGGATGTCAGTCAGTGCGGATGTCAGTCAGTGAGGATGTCAGTCAGTCAGTGTGGATGTCTCAGAGTCAGTGAGGATGTCAGTCAGTCAGTGCGGATGTCAGTCAGTGAGGATGTCAGTCAGTGCGGATGTCAGTCAGTCAGTGCGGATGTCAGTCAGTGAGGATGTCAGTCAGTCCGGATGTCAGTCAGTGAGGATGTCAGTCAGTGCGGATGTCAGTCAGTGAGGATGTCAGTCAGTGAGGATGTCAGTCAGTGCGGATGTCAGTCAGTGCGGATGTCAGTCAGTGCGGATGTCAGTCAGTCAGTGAGGATGTCAGTCAGTGTGGATGTCAGTCAGTCAGTGCGGATGTCAGTCAGTCAGTGAGGATGTCAGTCAGTGTGGATGTCAGTCAGTCAGTGCGGATGTCAGTCAGTGAGGATGTCAGTCAGTCGCAGTGAGGATGTCAGTCCCCCGCCCCAACCGCCCTACCAGTGGGGATGTCAGTCAGTCAGTGCGGATGTCAGTCAGTGAGGATGTCAGTCAGTCAGTGCGGATGTCAGTTAGACCGTGCCTTCAGCTCCCCTCTCGACTCTCTACCCCCTCCTCGCTTCCTCCCTTCCCTCACCCTGAGGATGTCAGTCAGTCAGTGCGGATGTCAGTCAGTCAGTCAGTGCGGATGTCAGTCAGTCAGTGCGGATGTCAGTCAGTCAGTGAGGATGTCAGTCAGTGCGGATGTCAGTCAGTGAGGATGTCAGTCAGTGAGGATGTCAGTCAGTGCGGATGTCAGTCAGTGCGGATGTCAGTCAGTCAGTGCGGATGTCAGTCAGTGAGGATGTCAGTCAGTCAGTGTGGATGTCAGTCAGTCAGTGAGGATGTCAGTCAGTCAGTGCGGATGTCAGTCAGTGAGGATGTCAGTCAGTCAGTGCGGATGTCAGTCAGTCAGTGCGGATGTCAGTCAGTCAGTGTGGATGTCAGTCAGTCAGTGCGGATGTCAGTCAGTCAGTGTGGATGTCAGTCAGTCAGTGCGGATGTTAGTCAGTGAGGATGTCAGTCAGTCAGTGCGGATGTCAGTCAGTGAGGATGTCAGTCAGTGCGGATGTCAGTCAGTGAGGATGTCAGTCAGTGCGGATGTCAGTCAGTGCGGATGTCAGTCAGTCAGTGAGGATGTCAGTCAGTGCGGATGTCAGTCAGTGAGGATGTCAGTCAGTCAGTGAGGATGTCAGTCAGTGTGGATGTCAGTCAGTCAGTGCGGATGTCAGTCAGTCAGTGTGGATGTCAGTCAGTCAGTGAGGATGTCAGTCAGTGTGGATGTCAGTCAGTCAGTGAGGATGTCAGTCAGTGAGGATGTCAGTCAGTCAGTGCGGATGTCAGTCAGTCAGTGTGGATGTCAGTCAGTCAGTGCGGATGTCAGTCAGTCAGTGAGGATGTCAGTCAGTCAGTGTGGATGTCAGTCAGTCAGTGCGGATGTCAGTCAGTCAGTGCGGATGTCAGTCAGTGCGGATGTCAGTCAGTGCGGATGTCAGTCAGTGCGGATGTCAGTCAGTGAGGATGTCAGTCAGTCAGTGTGGATGTCAGTCAGTCAGTGAGGATGTCAGTCAGTCAGTGCGGATGTCAGTCAGTGCGGATGTCAGTCAGTGCGGATGTCAGTCAGTCAGTGCGGATGTCAGTCAGTGAGGATGTCAGTCAGTCAGTGAGGATGTCAGTCAGTCAGTGCGGATGTCAGTCAGTGAGGATGTCAGTCAGTGAGGATGTCAGTCAGTGCGGATGTCAGTCAGTGCGGATGTCAGTCAGTGCGGATGTCAGTCAGTCAGTGAGGATGTCAGTCAGTGCGGATGTCAGTCAGTGAGGATGTCAGTCAGTCAGTGAGGATGTCAGTCAGTGTGGATGTCAGTCAGTCAGTGCGGATGTCAGTCAGTCAGTGAGGATGTCAGTCAGTCAGTGCGGATGTCAGTCAGTGAGGATGTCAGTCAGTGAGGATGTCAGTCAGTGCGGATGTCAGTCAGTGCGGATGTCAGTCAGTGCGGATATCAGTCAGTGAGGATGTCAGTCAGTCAGTGTGGATGTCAGTCAGTCAGTGAGGATGTCAGTCAGTCAGTGAGGATGTCAGTCAGTGCGGATGTCAGTCAGTGAGGATGTCAGTCAGTCAGTGAGGATGTCAGTCAGTCAGTGCGGATGTCAGTCAGTCAGTGAGGATGTCAGTCAGTCAGTGCGGATGTCAGTCAGTGAGGATGTCAGTCAGTCAGTGCGGATGTCAGTCAGTGAGGATGTCAGTCCAGTGAGGATGTCAGTCAGTCAGTGTGGATGTCAGTCAGTCAGTGCGGATGTCAGTCAGTCAGTGTGGATGTCAGTCAGTCAGTGAGGATGTCAGTCAGTGTGGATGTCAGTCAGTCAGTGAGGATGTCAGTCAGTGAGGATGTCAGTCAGTCAGTGCGGATGTCAGTCAGTCAGTGCGGATGTCAGTCAGTCAGTGAGGATGTCAGTCAGTCAGTGTGGATGTCAGTCAGTCAGTGTGGATGTCAGTCAGTCAGTGCGGATGTCAGTCAGTGCGGATGTCAGTCAGTGCGGATGTCAGTCAGTGCGGATGTCAGTCAGTGCGGATGTCAGTCAGTGCGGATGTCAGTCAGTGCGGATGTCAGTCAGTGAGGATGTCAGTCAGTCAGTGTGGATGTCAGTCAGTCAGTGAGGATGTCAGTCAGTGCGGATGTCAGTCAGTGCGGATGTCAGTCAGTGAGGATGTCAGTCAGTCAGTGCCGATGTCAGTCAGTGCGGATGTCAGTCAGTCAGTCCCCTACCTACCTGCCCGTACCCTCCGTTCCTCCGGCTCCGGTCTGCTCCACGTCCCCCGCCCCAACCGCCCTACCATCGATGTCAGTCAGTGAGGATGTCAGTGCCTTCGCCGCCTCCTCCATCTCCTCCTTCAAGGCCGGTCTCAAAACCTTTCTCTTTGACCGTGCAGTCAGCTCCCCTCTCGACTCTCTACCCCCTCCTCGCTTCCTCCCTTCCCTCACCCTGAGGATGTCACCCCTCCTCGCTCCCTCTCTTCCCTCCCCTCACCCTGACCATTTCCCCCCTCCTCGCTCCCTCCCTTCCCTCCCCTCACCCTGACCATTTCCCCCCTCCTCGCTCCCTCCCTTCCCTCCCCTCACCCTGACCATTTCCCCCCTGCTCGGGTCAGTCACCCAACTGTGCAGCGCCTTGGGACGTCCTCCTGACGTGAGGATGTCAGTCAGTGAGGATGTCAGTCAGTGAGTGCGGATGTCAGTCAGTGCGGATGTCAGTCAGTCAGTGAGGATGTCAGTCAGTGAGGATGTCAGTCAGTGAGGATGTCAGTCAGTGCGGATGTCAGTCAGTCAGTGAGGATGTCAGTCAGTCAGTGAGGATGTCAGTCAGTGAGGATGTCAGTCAGTCAGTGAGGATGTCAGTCAGTCAGTGCGGATGTCAGTCAGTCAGTGCGGATGTCAGTCAGTGAGGATGTCAGTCAGTCAGTGAGGATGTCAGTCAGTCAGTGCGGATGTCAGTCAGTGAGGATGTCAGTCAGTCAGTGAGGATGTCAGTCAGTGCGGATGTCAGTCAGTGAGGATGTCAGTCAGTCAGTGAGGATGTCAGTCAGTGTGGATGTCAGTCAGTCAGTGAGGATGTCAGTCAGTGCGGATGTCAGTCAGTGAGGATGTCAGTCAGTGCGGATGTCAGTCAGTGCGGATGTCAGTCAGTGAGGATGTCAGTCAGTCAGTGTGGATGTCAGTCAGTCAGTGCGGATGTCAGTCAGTCAGTGTGGATGTCAGTCAGTCAGTGAGGATGTCAGTCAGTGAGGATGTCAGTCAGTCAGTGAGGATGTCAGTCAGTGAGGATGTCAGTCAGTCAGTGCGGATGTCAGTCAGTCAGTGCGGATGTCAGTCAGTCAGTGAGGATGTCAGTCAGTCAGTGTGGATGTCAGTCAGTCAGTGCGGATGTCAGTCAGTGCGGATGTCAGTCAGTGCGGATGTCAGTCAGTGCGGATGTCAGTCAGTGCGGATGTCAGTCAGTGCGGATGTCAGTCAGTGAGGATGTCAGTCAGTCAGTGTGGATGTCAGTCAGTCAGTGAGGATGTCAGTCAGTGCGGATGTCAGTCAGTGCGGATGTCAGTCAGTGAGGATGTCAGTCAGTCAGTGCGGATGTCAGTCAGTGCGGATGTCAGTCAGTGAGGATGTCAGTCAGTGAGGATGTCAGTCAGTGAGGATGTCAGTCAGTCAGTGAGGATGTCAGTCAGTGAGGATGTCAGTCAGTGAGGATGTCAGTCAGTGCGGATGTCAGTCAGTGAGGATGTCAGTCAGTCAGTGAGGATGTCAGTCAGTGCGGATGTCAGTCAGTGAGGATGTCAGTCAGTGCGGATGTCAGTCAGTGAGGATGTCAGTCAGTGCGGATGTCAGTCAGTCAGTGAGGATGTCAGTCAGTCAGTGAGGATGTCAGTCAGTCAGTGAGGATGTCAGTCAGTGAGGATGTCAGTCAGTGAGGATGTCAGTCAGTCAGTGAGGATGTCAGTCAGTGAGGATGTCAGTCAGTGAGGATGTCAGTCAGTCAGTGCGGATGTCAGTCAGTCAGTGCGGATGTCAGTCAGTCAGATTGTCAGTTGATGCGACGTCACGAGCCGTTACCATTCCGCGTTCCATGGCCGCCGCGCGCGGCGCGTGTGTCGAGTCTCGGGGAGTCTCGGAGTCTCGCGGTCTCGGGCGCGCGGGGCCGCCGCTCGGCACAGCCCTCCAGCACTACGGTCCGCGATAGCGGCCAAAAAAAAAACAGAAGGTGCGACCGGGACTCGCCCCCGAACATCCGGCGCCACTTCAAAACCGCCCGCCCGGCACCCGCCGCGGGGACCGGAGAAACAAACGTTTGTTATTTTTTTTTTTTTTTTTTTGATTTTTGCCGTTGTCCTGTTCCTAAATATGTGTCTCACCCAACTCACAGCCCCGGCAAAACAAGGCGAGGCGGCAGGAAATCAGGCAGACAGGACCCCTGGGCTCTGCTGGTCCAGGAGTTGGGTTTGGACCCCTGGACCTCACCCTCAGGACAATTTGAAACCGAATTGAAAGACTCAACCTGGTTTGTGAAAGCGAGAGGCAATGGCTTGGCCTCCGGGTCGGAGGGTCCCGCAGCCGGCCTCGAGCAGGGCGGCCAGACGCCACCCTCCGTGCGGCGCTTCCCGGTCACGGTCCTCGCGCGCGAGATGGCACCTCGTCGCGTCTTCCAGGACCCCTTCCTTGGCGGTTCGGGGAATACACCGTAAAGCGCGGCGACTTGCGTGTCCCGCGGAAGGGAACGGGGCGGCCAATTTGCCCGCGGCGGGGTTTGTCCCCCCCCCCCCCCCCGCGAAGAGTCGGTCGCGAATTTGGCGGCCAAATTAGTATTTTTAAAGTTTTCCGGAGGAATGGTCGCTCCCGGAAGCGTTCCGCCGATCGACTTAACAACCGGCTTACGGCTGGGTAAACGGAAGCGTGTGGATTGAGGAGACCTGCCGAAGGTTTTGCCTCGCCCAGGAATCGAACCCGGGCTCTTAACCAATAAGCCACAGGATTCTCCATGTTGTATGAATGGGCAAGTTATATAAATGGGAAACCTTGGGCAAGTTTCCTTACTCCACACGGAGCCTAATAATAATCCCTCCAAAACCCAAAACAATGATAAATTGGTCATTTTCAATCCACGGCTGTTTGTGGGACATTGCTGTGCGCAATTGGCTGCCCCGTTCGCCCAGAAATACACAGTCAATTCACTTTACAGTGTGTTCTGTGAAGCGCTTTGGGACGTCCTCCCAACGTGAAAAGCGCTATATCAAATGCAAGGATTATTATTAAATGTAAATTTGTATTGCATCTCCCTTTCTCATACTCAGCAAGATGGGATTGTACAATTCAGATTGTATTCAAACATCCAAACCGATCAAAAGATTCATACTTATTCTAACCAGTGATCAAGCTGTTGCTAATATTTAAATATTAATGTAAGCAGGAAGGCAGAAATTTTCACCCAATGACATAGGTAGAAGAAACATATTAGCTTTATCAATAGAACCAACAATCACTATATTAAAGGTATGATACATTAAAGGAGAATATGAACTGTTACCCCACCAATTCCCAATTGTGGAGTCATGTAGCTTAGTGGTTAGAGCACTCGCCTCGCAAACAAGAGACCTGGGTTTGATTCCCGTCAGGGTGAAATTTTGGGCAACTTTCCTTACACCACAAGCTTCTGTTTACCTAGCAGTAAGTTGGAGCCAGTTTGTTTGTTAATCATTTTTCCAGGATTGCTTTTCCGGGGGTAATAATCTCTAAAACAAAAATGTGACCACTCAATCCATAACCGTTTGTGGAACACTGCTGTGTGCAATTGGCTGCTGCATTTCACCCACAAAATATAATCAATTCACTTTACAGTATATTCTGTGAAACACTTTGAGACATCTCAAAGACATGATAAGGCACAATATTAAATGCACGATTATTATTCTCACACAATTAGAGATTGTATCACAGGTAAAAGAATATACAGCAAAGCAATTTGATACAGGAAGCACATTATGTGTACACAATGATGTGTTTACCAATAGAGGTAGAAAAATGATTTAGGTGGGGTTATAAATCAAGAACTAAAATCAAGTCTATATGAAATTACAATATCAATAAATCCAGTTATGTGCCAGCTTGAATTGATTGATGTTGGATTATAAGAAAGTAATCATAATTAAACACCCTCTAAAGGGAGGAGAATGAGCAAGTGTAACAAGCACTATCAAAATATTTTGTGGCATAGGTGTAGGTACCAAAATATACTTGCGTCAAAGCAATCTCCACAATATTTTTAGTGTCACTTGGCAATGCTCAGGCAACAGAAGATACTAAAGCTTGCTTACGTCACTTGCTTCATTTTTTTATAGAGACTATGACCTCAACCTGTATAATAAGTGAGTGCACTGCCAAGATAATAACCAACTAAAATGAATAACATTCAGACCTTGGTTGTTTCATTGTTGACATAAGTTATGAGTCTATTGTTGCAGTCAAGCTACTTAAACATCCAGTATATAGTAATTTATTTGCTGTATTATTAATTTTGTGACACAAAAATAAACATTTCAAACAAAAATGAATTGTTCCAAACACTTAATTCCTGGTCTTTCATTGCTATGCAGTTTGTTTTGGGATTTCAGAATACTATCCTCTAACTTTTCTATAACTTTCTTGTTCAACATGAAGCTCTCCCGTTTCCACTTTTTCTGTATTCCAGAGGTGGGCCACATCATTTACAATTAACTTCTGGTTGAAACTATTCCAGGCTCTGTTGTCTCAAGCAACTGGGAATGGGGAGCGGTAGTGGAGGTAATCGGAGTCTCCTTGAAGCTGAACTGCTTCTAACGTGATGTGCTTGGCAACAGAATGTCTGAATCGGGTCAATCTTCTGTGGCTGTCTCGCTGAGCCAGGAAGGTCTGCAGCACTGCTAATAATGGATGAGCTCGTCTGCAAGACATCGAGGGGCAGACACTGGCTTCCCATTCAGTTCCTATTAACCCTGTGAGTCAAATCCTTAATTGGGTACAATGGTCCTAGCTAGAAAAGCAGCTGAAGCTTGCCACACAGTGCTTTCAACTGCAAGCCATGCTGTTTTAGATGGTTAGATTCCAGCAGTACCCCAACGCACACAATGAGGTCCCCAAACCTTGGCTCTTGCCAACCTGCACCTAAGACTCTCTGGAATTAGGTAAGCAGGATGTGTGCCTCCAGGGAGAGAGTGCATATTCCATTCCAATCCAGATGGGGGAATTTCCACCTATAGGTGGGAGTCTGGCTTGGATCCACATAGTGATGTAGTCCTGTGCTTAGTGATTAGAGCACTAGGCTCGCACACGAGAGACCTGGGTTCAATTCCCGGCAGGGCGAAATGTTGGGCAAGTTTCCTTACTCCACATGCTTCTGTTTACCTAGCAGCAAATAGGAACCCAGTTGTTAGTCGATGGGTGGATTGCTTTTCCGGGTGTAATAATTCCTTCAAAAAAAATTGGTCACTTCAATCCACGACTGTTTGTGGGAGACTGCTGTACGCAATTGGCTGTCGCGTTTCGCACACAAAATACACAGTCAATTGACTTTACAGTATATTGGAGTCCTGTAGCCCAGTGGTTAGAGGACTCGCCTCTCGAGCAAGAGACCTGGGTTCGATTCCCGGCAGCGTAAAATCTTGGTCAAGTTTCCTTACTCCACATGCCTATAATAATCCCTCAAGAAAAAAAAACAATAACAAATTGGTCACTTCAATCCGCGACTGCGTGTGGGACACTGCTGTGCGCAATTTGGCTGCCGCATTTCACCCACAAATGTACAGTCAATTCACTTTACAATCTATTGTGTGAAGCGCTTTGAGACGTTGAAAAGTTGTGAAAAGCGCTACATCAAAATGCAAGGATTATTATTATTATAAAATGCTTTGAGACGTCTCAAAGACACGCTATATCGAATGCAAGGATTACTATTATTATTATGACATCCAGGAGGCGTTCATACTTGGCGTGTGTCCAAGTTCACAGATTAGGATCCGGCTGCAGTCACCTGGTCACATATTTGCCACATCACTCACAGACGGAGAGAGAGAGAGAGAGAGTACCTTAGTGACTTGGGAGGGACCTGACTGGTCACACAACTCCACAAAGTCAGCAACAGAGTCAGGTCCTACAGTGGAGGGAATGAATCGGAGATTCACTAACAACCCCATGAATCCAGAGCATCACCAGAGGCATCCAAGGGAGCAACGAGATGAAGTGGACGAGCTCAGCCAAGGTCAGGGCACGGGAACACCCCCAACACCTGGAGCCCAACCGCAACAGTAAGCACAGAACTTTTGTCCCAATATTATTGATGGCTGAATTGTACGTGGAGGTGACTTTTTTTTCAAAAAAAAAGAGTGTCAGGACCAGGGCAGTGCATGGGGATAATTAAGCCCTTCGTATCTTTCCACTTTGCATTCCTATTGCATTTTGCAGGAGACATCACCTTTATTGACGATTGTATGCATGTGTACATGTGTACATGTGTGTGCATGTATGCAATGCATGTTCTTAGGACGACATGAGAAGATAAAACACGAGAAAATGACATGCAAACACGCCCAGCCGATACTAACCTACTTAAGGTCTGTGACATTAAGTTACTATCAGTTTCGATTCCTAGAATATAGTGGGTTCGTTGGGGAAGTGTTTCAGGAGCGAGTTCAGCCTTATATATACATGGAAATCCCAAGTGTGAACGTTACTCTTATTACTCTTGTGTTCCTAGATTGAACCCATCTATTGATTCTGGGGCAGAAAGAGCTAAAGAAGAGGAAGCAGAAGAAGAATAGTACCAAATAACAGCAAAACGTTATTAAATAAATATTGTTCATCGTAAGAATGCCAAACGAAAATGATCCTTTCACAAAAAAAAAGACAAAAAAGTTGATCACAAGAAGGGGAAGTAACTAAATACAAATAAAGTCTCTGCAACTAAAATGAGAACACTTACAAGGCCAACCATTATTGTAATCCAATCATGTTGTTTAACAGTCAGGATATTATGCACTAAGTAAGGATATAGTGTATCAGTGTATTTAGTAGAATATACCCTGTGTTTTACACCATTCTAGATATCCATGGTGGTGGCTGCTAATCCTGTTACATAAATGTGATAAATGTACTGTACCTTTCATGGGCAAGTTAGGATGAAGATGAAAATCTTCAATTATCCACGCTTATTCTCCTTTGAATTGCTTTCATTTCTTACTTTGACATTAATGCAGTATTATTGAAACTCAACAGTTCTTTTTAATCTTGCCTTCTCCTGCTATGGTCCTGTGTGAGCATTTATATTGACACACTTTATCTCATACACTGTATTGACTGCAACTGTAATTTACCCCAACCCATCCCCCCACCCCAGTGTCTTGGGTACTTAAAATTAGACCCCGTGTTCTAACAGGTTTGAGAAAAATAAAGCCGGAGATCTCGCTTCCAGGTCGTCAGGTTACTGCTGATACCACTTCTGTCTTTGGAAGCAGGAAGACACCTGCTCCAATCGTGAGCGTTTCTGGTGCTAGAAACATTGGTGAGAGCAGCCATGGCTGACCCATTGGCTTCCTGTTAGTTGTACCCATGTGTAGGACTCCGGCCAAAGCCAGAGGTGTCCCACAACCTCAAACTCGTGTCTAGGGAGGCACTTTATAACAGTGTTACAGATATTGACAGCACGATGACTTAAGTGGTAGTGACAAGTTAAGTTAGGGTCGAGTTATCAGGAATTTACTGTAAATATAAAATTGTATTTGTGTCCCTGCAGCATTCCACATCATTAGGATCTCAGCTTTAATTGTTTTGATTGGGATTTTAAGGCGCCGGCTTTATAGTAGAGCATCATTGAGCTGCATGTCTGCTTGTTTGGATGAGGTTCCAATGTGAACATTTGGACGCAAACCTGAGATACCAGCAAAAATTGTGTATGTATGAAGATGTTCAGAATTTCTCAGATTCCAGCTATGTGATCCTGGCAACTTCCAGTGTATGTTCTAGGGGGATCTGTTTTGCCAATCACAAAGACAAGTCTTTGTACTTTAGTGTACAGTTTAGGGTTAAAAGCAGAGATGTTGTAAAGGTAAGAGAAAAAGATATAAAGTTAAGAGAGACTCAGAGATAGAAAAGTGCAGGCTCTGAGAGAGAGGAAAAATCCCTGTGAAGCGCTTTGAGACATTTTGATACAATATCAAATACAAATGTTATTAGTATCATTCTCTCTACTGTATTTCCTGATTCCAGACTCCAGCTGTTGAGACTTACCCAAGACACATGTGACATGAGGCATGTAGCAAATCATCACTCTGCTCTCCGCACCGTAGTGTTAATAGTATCTCAAGAGGGGAGGGAAATAAGCCTAGAAAATGTTAAAATTGTACTTAATGTGCTTGAAACAAAGAGCTTAGTGACAATATACACTCAGAACAATGATACGAAAATCATTCTTTCCCAATAAATAAAAATCATAAAAATAATCTACTCACTTACTCTATTGCTCATCTATGGAAACTGAAACACATCTGAAATGCATAATAAAACGGCCCATTAGTCAGCTTATATCTATACTTATTCTTGTTGAAGAATAAAGAGAAAAAGTGTATGGGAATGAAGCAGAGACAATAGGAACGTGTAGGTAACTAACATAGCGCAAGCTCAATGGCCCCCTGTGTTGACATGTTAGCATTGTTTTTTAAAGGATTTTTATATAAAAAACTTTGAATAAGGTAGCCCCTGTTTCTTGAAACCATGTTAATTTACATTTTTAACATTTATTTGTGTTTATATCCAAGTGAGTTGACAGTAATTGGCAACATTGTTTATAATTGTGGCATTGCTGCTATTCACAGAAGTGAAATGAGTTATTTTGATCTTTTCAAATTACAGTGTGGGAGGATATTCAATAACTGCACCAAATCAGAGCAGGAGAGATAAACTACAGGCAAGTAAGTATTTAAACATGAAAATGCTAATGGAATACGAAGAGAATAATAATAATAATAATAATCCTTGCATTTGATATAGCTTCTTATCACGTTTTCAAGACTTCTTAAAGTATATTTACAGAATATACTATAACGTGAACTGACTGTATTTTGTGGGCGAAATTGTGGATGAAAAAGATATATTTGGATGGCATGCTTTTATGTTTTGGGAGAGATGTTGAATGGATTGCTCTGTCTATGTTGTTTTCGCTGTTTTTACAAACCTATGTGGTAATGACACAGGATTATGGTAGACTGAGTTCCCACTCAGTTGTTCAAAAGTAATACACTGCTTTAATCCTTGCACTGCCAGCAGTTCTGAGGAACGTCCATCTCGCTACATATTCAGCTCATGTTGAAAACAATTTTAATTTTATGGTAGTAGCCTTATTAACGTGGCATTGGGGTTTAATTTTCAAATCAATATTTCTGAACAAATTTTTTAATTAAAAAATGTAACGAATTTCTTAAACAGCACATTCAAGGTTTCACAAATTCAAAACATACAACATGTTTCATGTTCATTATTATTATTCATTTCTCATTAAGAAATCTATTAACAAAGCCAATGCTAGTGTAAGAAAGTTTCAAAGATGAAATTACAATTACTTCCAAATGAATCTCAAAACAACATTTAAATAAACATTTTTTTAAACATTTTTCCTTTGTTTGTCTGGCTGCATTTTGTTTGCTCCTATTCTTTCTCTTTGGTTTAAACTGAACGTTACCTTTTCTCTACATAATCCACCATATCATATCATTTTTAATGACATTTTTGCTTTTTCTTAAAACAAGGTCTTTTTAAAGTAAGGTATTTTAAACCTTCCTTTTTTTATGGTCCCCACTGTATAAGGGCAAGCTTTTTTTAAAGTACAGTTTTAATTGTATGACAACAGGTTTGAAAAGTTGGTCTCTCAACAAACCAAAAATCCGCAATAGAGTAATTGACAAAGTTGTATTCCAAATGTGATCAAGTCTATTGTTTATGCATAAAAAATGCAGCCCAGTAAGGTCAGTAGTGGTGAGACATGTGCCAACCAATGAAGTGTAATAATCAATGATGGAAACATGCCAATTTTATCGTAACAATTTCAACTTATCCATCAGCACAAGCCAGGGTCGGGCAACTCGGTATTTTCATGAAGCAGTTCATAAGAACATAAGAACATAAGAATTAGGAGCAGGAGTAGGCTATTCGGCCCCTCGAGCCTGCCCCGCCATTCGATAAGATCGTGGCTGATCTTCTGACCTAACTCTAATTACCTGCCCTATCCCCATATCCCCTAATCCCTCTATTTTTTAAAATATATCAGTCTCGGCCTTGAAGATGTTCAAGGACTGAGCATCTACAGCCTTCTGGGGTAGTGAATTCCATAAATTCACTACCCTCTGAGTGAAGAAATGTTTCCTCAACTCTGTTCTAAAAGGCTGACCCTTAATTTTAAGACTGTGACCCCTGGTTATAGATTCTCCTACCAATGGAAACAGTGTCTACAGTGCCTACTTTATCCAGCCCTTTAAGAATCTTATATGTTTCATTAAGATCTCACCTAATTCTTCTGTAATCTAGAGAATATAGCCCTAGTTTATTCAGCCTATCCTCATAGGTCAGTCGCCTCATCCCAGGAACTAACCCAGTGAATCTATGCTGCACCCCCTCTAGGGCAAGTATGTCCTTTTTTAAATAAGGAGACCAAAACTGCACACAATACTCTAGGTGCGGTCTCACCAAGGCCCTATACAGTTGCAGCAAGACTTCCTTACTCTTGTACTTTAAACCTTTTCCAATGAACGCTAACATGCTGTTCTTTAAAAGAACGGCATTTTAAAAGTTCTTTAAAAGAAAAAGAAAGGTTCCTCTTAAGAGCAGGACATGGTTCTCAGAATGCTGAAGGCTCCGAACTGGTGAAGGTGGAGAGAGCATGTGTTCCTCCAGGTGGAGTGGAGTACGCTGGGTTTGCCCTGACAGCTTTGGCAAGACAGTGTAATACATCGTTCAGTGTGTCAGAGCCTGGAGACTTCCAATCTGACATTTTACCTTCAAGAATGATACACCATTCAACAAGCAGTGTGAGCTTTTCTTCCCTAAATGATTGAATATTTATATCAATTGGGTAGAGCTCCAAGCAAATTATGACAATCTAGGATGTGAGTTGATGTTAATAGTAGCAATAGGCTTTTGTCTCGGGTGGAGCTAGAAGGAAAATTTTGTTACCATAGAGAATAGAGAATTACACTGTCTTGCCAAAGCTGTCAGGGCAAACCCAGTGTATTCCACTCCACCTGGAGGAACACATGCTCTCTCCACCTTCGACAGCAGTCGTCCCACATTACTCAGCTAGTAATCTGTATCTGGACCTGGGTGCTAGATGTTACATACATTTTTTTAGTATATTCGTTCTGTACTACACTTAATAGTCACTGTTTTTATTTAATAGCTGCAAACAAAGAACTGGAAGATCTGGAAAAATGGAAGGAAGAACACAGATATGGGCCAATCAACCTGACTCCCATAGAGCTAGGTATGATTCACTGACAACAACTTTCATTTATATAGCTCCCTTCATGTAACATAACGTTTCAGAGTGCTTTACAATGACAACTACCACATGTTGACTGTATTTATACTGCGTACTTTGCATTCTCTAAACCTCCCGATGACAAATGGTTCACAAGACCAGCACCACGTATGCAAATAGTGCTGCATAGCTACACCTTGAACTGTTTATGCTTTAATAGCTTCAAAAGCCAAGCGTTCTATCTGGCTAGAGAGGACGGTAGGACAGACGATAAATTACTCTCCAAACAAAAGCACTCAAAGTAAGGTGATCATGGGATTGAATATTTTATTTGTGCAGCACAAAGAATGGCTTTATAATTTCACACCATCTCAGGTTATGTTATCTTCCTTACTCCTTCCAAGTACCTAATCTTTAGTAACTCATATTCTTTCTTTAAGGTGGATCCATTTCACAGACTGAAGCAAGGCAACAACAGCAAAGGAAACAACAACTGTCTAAGTATCAGCAGAGAGTTAGTATCCAGATATTATACTTCATAGTATAAATTTGGCCTTCATTCAACATTAGTCCCTTTAAAAATGACTGAAACCCCAAGAAATTTTAAGGCAATATTTTTTAATATTAAGGAGACCATAGAACCAAAGAAATTTATGGCACAGTAGAAAGTTATTCAATCAACTGTATTAATTAAGTGTCTGCTCCTCCAATGAAGCAATCTGTCCTGATCCCAATTCCCTTTTAAATGCCCCCCAATCGATTCTGCTTCAATAGATACCTTCTGGGAGAAAAAAATCTTCCTAACGCCCCCTTTCACTCTCCTGGTTAGTTTAGATTCCTCATCATTATCTGCTTTCTATATACACCATGCAGCAGTGAATTCACAGCTTATCCACATTTTTCTAAGACGTTTTCTTAAAGATTGACTGCATGTTAAAAGGCTGCTTTAATGACTTCTTAATGATATTTTAGTGGTTGCCCCTTAGCTATGTTCTCAACAAAACCCAAGATTAGATATTTTTTCTTCATTACACATAAGGCATATCACCTAATATGAAATAAAGCACATTATTTGACTGGTGACTAGTGAAAAAACATAGAAATTTATGGCACAATTGGAGTTTGTTCAACCATTATATTCATGTTAGTGTCTGCTCCTCCAATGAAGCCATCTATCCTAATCCCAATTCCCTTTTCTTTCCCATACTCTACACCTCCACAACATATGCTTATCTGATTCCCTTTTAAATGCTCCAATTGATTCTGCTCCAACAGTCACCATGGGCAAATCAAGGTAAAAATCAAAGATGTTCTGGATGAGGAAAATTGCTGGTGCTTGTAAACAATTTAGGTTCCACGGATATAAATGGTGGGGAAAATCAGTACTCAAGATAATAAATGTAGTCAAAAGCACTGTTTGGACAAAATTGCCATGACAACCACCTCCCCATATAAATCCGACATAAGACTCATGAACTCACGACAAATCATGCTGGAGATGGTTTTACTCTTGCTGTATAAATGATCAAATGCAAGGATTTTTAACTCTTCGTGATGCACGTTGATTCACCCTCTGCTCAACATATCCTTTAACAATCTCTTGAGTGGTCCAGTGAACTTTAAGGGGATGTTTTTAATAAGAATAGAGTCAACCGCCTGACCACCTCTTTAACAACATTAAAAACTAACACTAAACATTGCACAGTAAACTTTCCTCAGCTCATGAAGAGGGATTTGGAGCAGAAATGACAGTAGAAACCCATTATAGCGAATAACCCATGTTCACTTATAGGGGTGTGGAACTGACACTTACTTGCTTGTTAAAGATACCACATGTGTGCTTCAGCCAGAAGCAACAATAACAACAACAAATTACATTTGTATTGCGTAATTTGACTTCCTACACTTGTTTTACCAGGCTAAGAAAGAAGAATATGACAGGAAGAAGAGAGAACAGGAAGAAGCTGAACTCCAGAAAATGAAAGCGATTCAGAGGGAAAAGGCTAATAAACTTGAAGAAACCAGGAGACAGCAACAAGAGCAGAGGAAAGCTCAGCTACAAACAAACCACTATCAGTAAGTTTATAATCTAGAGAATAATCTAAGAATAATCATTTAATAATCATACGAATGTCATTTCTTCATGTTCTGTATGCACAGTATCCCACAAGAATATTGAGAGAACATTGTCACCGTGCTGTTGCCCACAAATCTCACACATAGAACGATGGTTGCACCACTTGGAGATGCAGGGCTTGATTAGCAGCTACTTACCTCTCTGTGTACCAGTTAAGGTACATACCAAGCCCTCAATATATAAATGTGTGTTCATGAATCCAGACCCCAGACAACACGTTTCTGTAGCTCTCATCCCAAGCCTCAGGCTCTCCTCATCGGCTATTCAAAGGACATCTGTATTCAGTGTAGTGGGAGGACCTTTACAGAACAGCATGTAACGTGCCAGCCTCCTTGATGTTCTAGAGTTTGAAGTCCAATGCCACGTATCAGGTTTACCCAACACCAACTGTTTAATCCAGGATCTCGTGTGGGGTTTTGAAGAATTAAATAACAAAAATCTTGAAAGGAAAATTATTTCAGCCAATTCAAGACAGAATTAACAACAGCAACAATTTGCATTTATATAGCACCCTTCACATGAGGTAGCCCCCTGGAGCGCTATTTGACCAAAGTTTTACCAAGCTATTAAGTAGCTATTCGACCAAAAATTGATTGAGGGTTCATGAAAGATATTTTCCTTTGGTCCTGGCCAGATGGATTGCAATGTCCATTTCCAGTCCTGTGCATTTCTAGGCTATTGTATAATGGGAGTTTGCCCAGTGACTGAGTTGCTTGTGTTGTTTGTATGTGACTATTGAAGTAATAGTTTTCACCTCCATTGTCTAATGTCTTTGCAGCACCAACCAGCAGTTCTTTCAGAGGATGGACCCAAACAGATATTCTGCAAATTCATATCCAACTTACAGCTCCCCACAGCCATCTGCTTCATGGGTAAGAACTGCAGACAGAAAAACACAGAGTCCACGAACTAAGATTCATCATCTATAGGGAAGCAAACTCAGTCAGTCTGCCCCTGAGGGCATCACTGCTCGCCAGCACCTCCGCATCCACCGGGCATGGAGGCAGAAAGCATGATGTAAAGTAATAATAATAATCTTTTCATTTGATATAGCGGCTTATCACGTCTTCCAGACGTCTCAGAGCACTTCACAGAATATATTGTAAAGTGAATTGACTGTATATTTTGTCGGCGAAAATGTTGCTGTATAAACATAAATCGTATTGTAAATTGCTTTGTATATCCAATATTCCACTCAAGCAGTTTGGTTCTAGAAATCCTCGTCGATGCAGTCAGAAATGGGAACTCATTTAATGGGAAGTAAACCTGAAGCAATGTCACATTTGGAGAACTTGTTAAAGGTGCCATATGTGTACTTCAGCCAGATGCAGTTTGACTTCCTACACTTGTTTTACCAGGCTAAGAAAGAAGAATATGACAGAAAAAGGAGAGAACAGGAAGAAGCTGATCTCCAGAAAATGAAAGCGATTCAGAGGGAAAAGGCTAATAAACTTGAAGAAACCAGGAGGCAGCAGGAAGAGCAGAGGAAAGCTCAGCTACAAACAAGCCACTATCAGTAAGTTTGTAATCTAGAGAATAATCTAAGAATAATCATTTAATAATCATACGAATGTCATTTCTTCATGTTCTGCGTGCGCAGCATCCCACAAGAATATTGAAAGAGTATTGTCACCGTGCTGTTGTCCACAACTCCCACATATAGAACGATGGTTGCACCACTTGGAGATGCAGGGCTTGATTAGCAGCTACTTACTTCTTTGTATACCAGTAAAGGTACATACCAAGCCCAAGTGTTCATGAATCCAGACTCCAGGCAACACGTTTCTGTAACTCCCATCCTAAGCCTCAGGATCTCCTCACCGGTTATTCAAAGGACATCTGTCTTCAGCGTAGTGGGAGCACCTTTACAGAACAGCATGTAACGTGCCAGCCTCCTTGACATTCTAGAGATTGAAGTCCAATGCCACGTATTAGGTTTACTCAACACCAACTGCTTAATCTAGGATCTCATGTGAGGGGCTTTGAAGAATTAAAGAAGATTAAAGAACAAAAATCTTGAAAGGACAAATTATTTCAGCCAATTCAAGACAGAATTAACAACAGCAACAATTTGCATTTATATAGCACCCTTCACATGAGGTAGCCCCCTGGAGCGCTATTTGACCAATGTTTTACCAAGCTATTAAGTAGCTATTTGACCAAAAATTGATTGAGGGTTCATGAAAGATATTTTCCTTTGGTCCTGACCAGATGGATTGCAATGTCCATTTCCAGTCCTGTGCATTTCTAGGCTATTGTATAATGGGAGTTTGCCCAGTGACTGAGTTGCTTGTGTTTTTTGTATGTGACTATTGAAGTAATAGTTTTCACCTCCATTGTCTAATGTCTTTGCAGCACCAACCAGCAGTTCTTTCAGAGGATGGACCCAAACAGATATTCCGCAAATTCATATCCAACTTACAGCTCTCCACAGCCATCTGCTTCATGGGTAAGAACTGCAGACAGAAAAACACAGAGTCCACGAACTAAGATTCATCATCTATAGGGAAGCAAACTCAGTCAGTCTGCCCCTGAGGGCATCACTGCTCGCCAGCACCTCCGCATCCACCGGGCATGGAGGCAGAAAGCATGATGTAAAGTAATAATAATAATCTTTTCATTTGATATAGCGGCTTATCACGTCTTCCAGACGTCTCAGAGCACTTCACAGAATATATTGTAAAGTGAATTGACTGTATATTTTGTCGGCGAAAATGTTGCTGTATAAACATAAATCGTATTGTAAATTGCTTTGTATATCCAATATTCCACTCAAGCAGTTTGGTTCTAGAAATCCTCGTCGATGCAGTCAGAAATGGGAACTCATTTAATGGGAAGTAAACCTGAAGCAATGTCACATTTGGAGAACTTGTTAAAGGTGCCATATGTGTACTTCAGCCAGATGCAGTTTGACTTCCTACACTTGTTTTACCAGGCTAAGAAAGAAGAATATGACAGAAAAAGGAGAGAACAGGAAGAAGCTGATCTCCAGAAAATGAAAGCGATTCAGAGGGAAAAGGCTAATAAACTTGAAGAAACCAGGAGGCAGCAGGAAGAGCAGAGGAAAGCTCAGCTACAAACAAGCCACTATCAGTAAGTTTGTAATCTAATGTCATTTCTTCATGTTCTGCGTGCGCAGCATCCCACAAGAATATTGAAAGAGTATTGTCACCGTGCTGTTGTCCACAACTCCCACATATAGAACGATGGTTGCACCACTTGGAGATGCAGGGCTTGATTAGCAGCTACTTACTTCTTTGTATACCAGTAAAGGTACATACCAAGCCCAAGTGTTCATGAATCCAGACTCCAGGCAACACGTTTCTGTAACTCCCATCCTAAGCCTCAGGATCTCCTCACCGGTTATTCAAAGGACATCTGTCTTCAGCGTAGTGGGAGCACCTTTACAGAACAGCATGTAACGTGCCAGCCTCCTTGACATTCTAGAGATTGAAGTCCAATGCCACGTATTAGGTTTACTCAACACCAACTGCTTAATCTAGGATCTCATGTGAGGGGCTTTGAAGAATTAAAGAAGATTAAAGAACAAAAATCTTGAAAGGACAAATTATTTCAGCCAATTCAAGACAGAATTAACAACAGCAACAATTTGCATTTATATAGCACCCTTCACATGAGGTAGCCCCCTGGAGCGCTATTTGACCAATGTTTTACCAAGCTATTAAGTAGCTATTTGACCAAAAATTGATTGAGGGTTCATGAAAGATATTTTCCTTTGGTCCTGACCAGATGGATTGCAATGTCCATTTCCAGTCCTGTGCATTTCTAGGCTATTGTATAATGGGAGTTTGCCCAGTGACTGAGTTGCTTGTGTTTTTTGTATGTGACTATTGAAGTAATAGTTTTCACCTCCATTGTCTAATGTCTTTGCAGCACCAACCAGCAGTTCTTTCAGAGGATGGACCCAAACAGATATTCCGCAAATTCATATCCAACTTACAGCTCTCCACAGCCATCTGCTTCATGGGTAAGAACTGCAGAAAGAATAATAATAATCCTTGCATTTTATACAGCACCTTATCATGTCGGATGAATTTAAAGTAGATTGACTGTGTATTTTGTGAGCGATAAGTGACAACCAGTGGCGCACAGCAATGTCCCACAAACAGCCATGGAGCCAATGACCAAACGGTTGCCACAAACTGAGATTCAACATCTATAGATAAGCGATCGGCCTTACGTTTTTAGTTGCTGAAATGCTTTCTCATTTAGTTATTCTGAACATCTGTATTGGGAGGAAACGTCCCCTAGCTATATGAAGCGTGCAGACTATCTCTGCCAGTACAGCTTAGTTTTGACAATGATATTCTTAAATTAGCCACTAGTGGGCGAAAGAAAGCAGCAAGGAAGGGAGAATTTGACATAGCTCCTGTTCCGATCAAATTGTCTTACAACATGAGTTACTTTAAAGTGCAGTGACTTTTGTTACACGGGCAAACAGATGCAGTAGCTAATCTGCTGTCACAACACTCCACAAATGGCAATCAGGAGAATGGACAATTTTAATCTCTTCTGGTGAATTTGAATGAGGGACAAATAATGACACTAGGCGAAACTGCTCTACTATGACACTGAATCACTGCTATTCCTGTACCTTCTTGTTGAGAACCATTATTTTGTACTTTCCCCGTATATTTTCTTATTTCTTCATGTTTAAATAATGACTATAGTCATTATAATGATAATGACTATAATTTAATGGCACCAACCAGCAAGGTGCCACTAAAAACCTTGAGATAATTGACTAAAAAAGATTAGAGATCTTTCTTTATTTTTCTTTATTCTTTATTATTATTTTTTTTTAACCTTTGTTTTATTTCTTCTTTTTCGTTATTTATATTTCTCCCTTTCCTGTTGTTCCCGTCCATGTGGAATTGATGGTGCAATAAAATAATGTTAATAATGAAATGGTATTTTTGGCATCTTACATTCCCTTTTATCACCTGTTCAAACAGATTTGATTGAATACGATTGTGAGTGAATTACAGTGCATTGCAGTACTGACATTAGATTTACTTTTATTTCCAAGAATGATCTCCTGGAAGGAAAGGAGTCTGAGATGGAAGAAGAAAGACAAAAACAACTTAAAGAAGACCACAGGAGGTAGGGATTCATATACGTTGAGAAAATTAAATTGTCTCCAACATTTGCAGTGGCGAGGCAGGAAAAGCGCTCAAACATTAAAAAAGTGTGTTGGGTGTAAAATGATTTGCATTCAGTATATCATACTACATGTATGATATACCGACTTGTAAGAACTCTGCTCTGAGGCAGTCTAGGGTCAGAGCTGAGTTCTCACGAGTCTGTGTGACTTACATGGGGTTCTCTACATGGGATGCATCCAAGTAGTTCTGTTCCTGGCACTCACAACATTTATGCTGCCTTTTCCAGCTATTTTAACCTCAATGTAGAAAGTCAAGCTATATAGTGCTCTGGTCAGACTGCAGTTAGAGTACTGCATACAATTCTGGTCACTGTGACATAGTCCAGGTTCAAGAGGCAGTGCAGAAAGGAGACCAGCGATGATGATCCCCAGTGTTAGAGGAATGAGCCATGAGCAACGATTAGACAAGCTAGGGAACTTCAGTCTTGAGAGACGACATCTCAGAGGGAACCTCATAGAAGTGTATAAAATGGGTTGGAAAAAATAAATCCAGTTCAATACCTTAGGATGTATCAAGACAGTAGAACAAGAGGAACAGGTTTAGAGTTGTAAAGGGCAATTTCAAGAGAGATACCTAGAAGTCTTTTTTTATTCAGAGAGTAATTAATAACTGGAACAGATTGCCAGGAAGAGTGTTTGAGGCCAGGATACAGTACTCATCTAAAAAGCAGCTTGATGCTGTGATTGGGAGGACATTAGAGTGGATATTCTGGAAGGATGAAATCAGATGGGCCAAAGAGCCTTCTTCTTCCGAAATAATCTTGTTTCATCTTGTGGTTAACTTGTGCCAGGTGATTCCCTGGTTTCCATGTATTTTTACAGCTAATTTTTTTGATCCATGAAAAATATTTGTTAAGTAAGTCAGTACATAAACCTATTTTAATAAAGAATATTAATGGATGCCTTGTGGTTATTTATAACCAGTACACTTTAAGCTTGTGCTTTCCATGCTGTATAAACAAAACTTTAGAAGCCATGATTAGCGCTGATGACAGACACTGTTGTTTTGCCTTATTTTTTGTGCAATTATTTTCTCCTCCGGAGGAAAAACAACACTTTTCTGGACAAGTTGGAAATGAGGAGCCAAATGGGTGAGAATTCCCCCAGCTCCTCACTCGGATTACCTGCCAACAATGATTTGTCTGAACATGATACCACACTGAGGCCTGAGGTTGCACATAACTTGTACAGTGATTGGGAGGATCAGACATACTGTGTTAATAGTACTGAAGGTAAGTTACTTTCACGTTGTGTTTACCTTGCAAAATAATTAGTTCAAGCCAGTTTTCACTTAATTCAAGGCACTGATCCCAGCATGAAAAGAATGGTGCAAAATCCCACATCCGGTGGTTTCTTCTTCCCTATGTGTGACTTTTGTTTGCTGCCTGCAGCCTTTCCTTATTCAATGGCAAGCTACGCAGTTTTAGTTGGTTAAACTTCAGAAGTACCACAAGCCAGCCTCCTCCTAGGCTCTTGTCAGCCTGTGCCTAATACTCTCTGGTATTAAGTAAGAAGGGTGCACTCCTCCACAGAGAGAGTGCATATTTCATGCCATACACAGGCACATTTCTTTCTCAGTGATATACGTCTGTGGAATTCTCAGCCCAGTTTGGATGCTGTTAAGCATGTTCTTGGCTGTTTGTGGGATTAGCAGCTAGTTTTGCCTAGAAAATACATAGTCACTACATGTTACAGTAAATCCCTGAAAGGGCTTTTGGACATCTTCCTAATGTGAACGGTGCTATTTCAGATACTATTATTATTATAAGTTTAACACCATCACTTACAGCTATTTATTATTTCAGTAAATATGTTTCAAACTCTTCTACAAGGTCAAAACATGTAGACTTGGAAAGCATTTACAATGGATTGCATTTTCGTAAAAGAGTAAAAAATGTTTTTCCAGTGTTATTTATAAATTTGGCTCTGTACATAGTCACATTTTGAGGTACAATTAAAACTATATTCTTATCTCTGCTGAGGCCAGCCACATCCCACAAGAGAAGTGTAGGCTTTGATACTTGATACTGGGAGCTTGTACACCTAGCAACTGTCCTGATAAGGAAGCTAAAAATGTCAATTTGTAATTAGTGGTCTACATTGACAACTGGAGAGAATGTCAGCGTTGAGAATTGAATAAAGCACAAATTAAATCCAACATGAGTTGTCCCGAGAGTCTCAGAGGTTTCAGAAGGGCCCCTGTACGGACAGCCTAAAACTGCTAGCCTGGAATCCGAGGCAAAAGCTACAACAAGGAAAGATTTGTAAACATTCATGCATCACTTGGAATCTGCAAGCCACCACTTTGAGTGATGATAGAAACATAATATGACTTGCTGTGTAGTCATGGTAATAATAATTGACAGGAAAGATAATGATCAAAAATCCTGTATCGAGTATTGCTATGAGGGAAATTGATTGGTTGCAACTTTGCCAAATATGATTTGAGTGTGGTTGAATCCTGAAAACAGGAATCCAAGTATAGTTTGCGCTCCACTGTCATAATCAGTAATCTTTGCATTTGAGATAATAATAATAATCCTTGCATCTTCTAGACGTCTCAAAGCACTTCACAGAATATACTGTAAAGTGAATTGACCGTATATTTGTGGGCGAAACATGGCAGCCAATTGCGCACAGCAGTGTCCCACAAAAAGTCGTAGATTAAAAATGACCAATTTATTATTGTTTTCTTTGGAGGGATTATTATTAGGCATGTGGAGTAAGAAAACTTGCCTAAGGTTTCGCCCTGCCTGGAATTGAACCCAGGTCTCTCGCTTGCAAAGCGAGTGCTCTAACCACTGAGCTACTGAGATAGCAACTTATGACATTGTCAAAATGTCTCAAAGTGCTTCACAGGATTTTAAAATGTAGTGACTGCGTATTTTGTACCTTGGATTTATGTAGTGGCTTTCATGTAAAAACAAATGTCTTGAAGAGCTTTACAAAAAGTATTGATTAGAAATGGTGCTCGTCTGGCATAGCCTATTTCCATGCCATATCACACGAACAACAATAAGATGAGCAGTGAATTAATTGAAAATTTAGGGGCAAATTTGAATTAGGAGACAAAGCTTTTAGTTTCAAATAAAAATCAAGACTAATTTACAGAATAATAATTCTATAGATAGATATGTGAGGAGGACAAATTTGCAGGGCTATGGGGAGAGCGCGGGGAAATGGGATTAATTTGGACAGCTCTTTCAAAATACGAAACGGATATGAAAGAGGCGGAATGGCCTCTTTCCTTGATGTATAATTCTATGATTTCATGATGCTAATTGCGACAGCCAGCCCAGGTATTCATATTCCTTGGTGATCAATAACAACTGACATTAAAACCAATTGACTTGCAGTTGCAAGGTATACCATGGAAATATTCGAATTGTGACAATAATACGTTACTGTCTCTATGCCACAGATGAAGACTACCAGTGGAGTTTGATGAAGCTGCAGGCCTCCTTTCCTCACTATGAAAAAGACGTGCTTGAAACTCTTTTGAAAGAATGCAATGGAGACCTTGAAAATGTCACTCAACTGCTTCTGTAAAGGAACTGGAATGAATAAGAATTACTTGGGCTCATATTTTTGGTGCTCCAGACTCTTTGTTGTGGAAATTCTTATTCTGATTTGATTTCTTAGTTAAGGCAACAGCTTTGTAAACTTAGAATGACATAAAGATTTGGTGCAGATACCGACTGACCTTTGGCATTTCTCATATGCAGAGCGGTAAGAAAAACAGACCATTTTAATTTGATGGATATCTCCTGGCCAACAATTCCCCACAAATAAAATTGGTCACTCACTTCCATGGCTGTTTGTGGGACATTGCTGTGCACAACTGGCTGCTGCATTTTGCCAACAAAATACACAGTCAATCCACTTTACAGCATATCCTGTGAAGGACTTTGAGATGTCTCAACAATGTGATAAGTTGCTATATCAAATGCAGGGATTGTTATTACTATCTCATCCAAAGCTGCCTCCTGTTTGTCTTGTCTTATTTTATTTTTTCTATCAAACATACAATTATCTTGATCCTTATAATGTTTTTACACTTTCTAAATTCCAATAGTTTATTGAGTCACAAAAAAGCAAGTTGTATGCAAATTCAAATAGTTTTACAGAATATATAAATCAATAAAGTGTTTATTAAAGCTGTACATCTGAGAATGCAAGTCCAAAGTATTCAATGAAGTAATTGCATTACTTATTCTACAAATAACGAAAGATACATCAGACAGGTTGAAAATGGATGATATGTCTTAGTGTTCATCTTATTTCTTGTTTATTCACAATTTAATGCCTGGAGTACTCTGATCCTGGTGTTGGGAGAATGAATGAGCATTTGATATATCGATACATTCCTTGATAGGGTACTTGGTGGTCTATCAAATAACTGATTTGTGTTCTGTAATATGGCCTGTGAAAGGATTGGTTTGACTGACTGACATGTTTATCACCTCAAGGCTGGACTATGGGAACTCTCTCCTCGCCGGCCTTCCCGGCACCTCCCTCCACAAGCTGCAGGTCATTCAAAACTCTGCAGCTCGTGTACTGTCCCGCACCAGGCTTCGCGACCACATCACTCCCACCCTCGCTCGCCTCCACTGGCTCCCCATCCCCCATCCTCATCCTCACCTTCAAGGCCATGTATGGCCTTGCTCCCTCCTACCTCTCCGATCTACTATCCCCCTACTTACCTGCCCGTACCCTCCGTTCCTCTGGCTCCAGTCTGCTCCACAACCCCCGCCCTAACTGCCCTGTAATCGGTGGCCGGGCTTTCAGCCTTTCAGCCCCTAGGCTCTGGAACTCCATCCCCCAGTACCTTCGCCGCCTCCTCCCTTTCCTCCTTCAAGGTCGGTCTCAAGACCTTTCTCTTCGACCGTGCCTTCAGCTCCCCTCCAGCCTCCTCACTCCCTCCCTTCCCTCCCCCTGACCATTCCCCCCTGCTCGGGTTCCGACCCAACTGTCCAGCGCCTTGGGACATCCTCCCGATGTGAAAGGCGCTCTATAAATGAAATCTTGTTGTTGTTGTTGTTCTGTTAAAGTTCTGGATTGCACAGTGTAACATGGTCTATTAAAGTCCTGGCTTTAAATGTCAAAGGAGCTTTTTCCATTACATGCTTCTGTGTAGCTCATTATCTCATTAGGACATTAACAGGTAACAATGAATATATTCAAATAAAGTTTCTGTTACAAAATAAATCCAATCTTCTAGCAACATTTTTAAGGATATTTCTTGTCTTAAATTATTAAAATGATCTTCTAGATTGACCTTCAGCTAAGCTTCACAAGAATATTTCATTTGACTGTCTAACCACAATGGGTTCTTTAGAACTCAGACCATCAGAGATTGACTGCAAAATACCCTTCAATTAGAATGAGAAAGGTTATAAAGTTAAAGTTGATAATGAAATTCTATGGCTTTCATTGTCACCAGGTGTTTCTGTACAGTAAGTATGTCGACATTTTGATCAAGTAAAGAGGTATCATTCTTTCACTTAAGAATAGACAGAGTGAAAAATAGGTAGAGTAAGTTGTCTTTTAGATTAATCATGGTTTTGTATTGAACTGCAACAGAGGTGGGGAGTGAACGTAGAGGAGTAACTCTCAGTTTGGTTTGGATACTCATAAGTATGGCAATAGGTTTCCACACATCAGAAACCCGGTTGACCAAAAAAAAGAGTGAATGTAACTCAAAAAATGTCATATTAAAATGAGTCTAAAAGTGTAAAGAAAGATTTCAAACATTTAGGAAGAATATCTAATATTCTGAGAAACATCAGGAACAGTGAACGTGGCCCACAATTGACTTGTATTAACCCAAAACCACTTAATGAAGATACACTGGTGTACAGTTTTGAAATGAAGGTCAGTGCACTCGGTGCTGCAGGCTGTTAGAGCTCTTATGGTCTGTGGCACATTTCATTATCATTCTTGCCAGTAATAACCTGTCAGCTTCATGCGAACAATTAGTTACTTTTTTTTCATTTGGATATTAAAAATGAAATAGATGTTGTAACTTGAAGCCCCATTACTTAATTTCACCATTCTTAACGAGCAAATCAGTCATGAATAGGGTCATTGTACAAATCACTCTTTCATATAATGTTCACATTATTGTAAAATAGTCTTTCCTAGCTGCTCGTAAACTCCACAGTGCATCGTTTAAAAGAAACGTTATCTCCATTCCACGCTGTAACTCTATTCATTGCCAGGAGCCAGCAAACTGAGGAATGTTCTGTGAAGCGCTTTGAGACGTCTTGAAGACTTGATAAGGCACTATATTAAATGCAAGGATTAAAATTCTTATTATTATTATATGGGAAACAACAAAACCAGCCCAAAAAGTGGAGTCCTGTAGCTTAGTGGTTAGACCACTCACCTTGCAAGCGACACACCTGGGTTCAATTCCAGGCAGGGCGAAATCTTAGGCAAGTTTCCTTACTCCACACACCTAATAATAATCCCCCCAAAACAATAATAAATTGGTCATTTTCAATCCACGACTGTTTGTGGGACACTGCTGTGTGCGATTGACTGCCCCGATTCTCCCACAAATATACGGTCAATTCACTTTACAGTCTATTCTGTGAAGCGTTTTGAGACGTCGAGAAGACGTGAAAAGCACTATATCAAATGCAAGGATTATTATTATAAGTGACCAGATGTTAACATTTATAAAAAACTTATGATTCTGAATATTTTTTGTCATCTTTATTTTTGTTTGATATCTTCACACTTCGCATTTGATAATCTCCATTTGCATTTGGAAATTTCTATGTTCCTTTGCAATTAAACCTTCAATAAAAATATCTGTGTCACCATCTGCCCTGAATGTTCCCTAGGAAATTACAAGAGATATGTCTTGAACAGACTACAGAACAGAAGGAGTGGGTTGCACTCTCAAGTGCCCTTCTCCAATATGCACCTATAATTCACTAATATGGGAAAAGGCCCTCCTATCTATGTACAGGGAGACACAGGAAAATTTAGGAATATATAGAATATCAGATCCAAGGATTATCAAATGCAAGGATTATTAATATACTTTTTATAATCCAATAATAATAATCATCCTTACATTTGATACAGCACCTTATGAGGTTGTCAAGATGGCTCAAAGCACTTCTCAGGATATTGTACAGTGGAGTGACTGTGATAATGTGTGGACAAACACAGCAACCAATTTGCACACAGGAATGTCCCACAAACAGCCATAGAGTGGAAACCAATTTCATTTGGGAGTTTGTTGGCCAGGACAGTGGTAAAAACTCTCTTGTCTTTTCAAGCAATGTCATGGAACCATTAACATCCATCTAGACAGGCAGATAGAGACCTCTGTTTAATTCTCATTGAAGGATGGCACCTCAGTCAATGCAACACATCCCCCGCACTGTGTTAGAGTGTCTGCATAGATTATATGGGTTCCAGGTCCCAATATGGTGCTTGAACCCACAATCGTTTGACTCAAAAGCAAGAATCGTAGCAACCCAACTGAGCAAGTCTGACACACTGAGCCAGGCTGATACACTATATTTCTTAAAGGGAGATGTTCCCTAGAAAAACAGATATCCTTTTCAACTGAATATTTATCAAACATCATCTTGTACTATTTTAGTGCCAGTTTACAGAATTCACAAATATACATGGATACCTGGGCTGTCTAAAACTACCGAATTCACTGAGAATTCACTATGCTGCCTCATCGATAAACTATTAATGAGATTCAATTAGTGCATGAACGATAGGGCTGTATTTTTCCACTACCAAGAGGTTAGTTGACTTTGCATTTTTCATTGCATGCACTGTGTTGCTCTCAAAATTCTATCATTTACCCCCACAGCATTACAAAAGTTTTTTTTCCCATTGGTGGGCTCAATATGCTATATGTGTGCTGTTAACATACTAAGAACGTTTAACTGAGGACACCATGCACCTATGAAACAAGTGATCTCTACACCAATTGTGTTTTGCAGAAACAAGCATTGGATTCATGAAAAGTTTCCAACATTTAGGTAGGTCACTGTGCAGAAATGGAGTCACCTTCAATACTATCATTTAGATGCCTGAAATACAAATGTGTAGCCCTGGTTTCTATACATTTTTAATTTATTGTGGGTGTCATTTGATTGCTAGGAAGTAGTGAAATTGGATAATTTCAAATAGACCAAACCATGTAACGCTCAATAAAACCGCCCCAGTGGTTAGATACTTTTCTATTTTACGCATTTGAAAATAGCGACAACTTTCCGATACTACCCGCAGCGCAGTACCAATAAGTAAATGGACATTACTTGGGGAGGTTTAACTGGTAAAATCAGAATCCTAATAATAAGCCTCCTCCTGTATTACATCTATTTTAAATGGGTGTAATGCGACACTGTGAAGATAATGGGGTTCAATATCCCAATGAACCCACAGCCTTCTGATTCAAAGGTGAGAGTGCTATCAACTGATCCAATTGACCCTTACATTTCTAATGAGCTAGCAAAGTTTAAACCTGAATGCAAGATTTAACTGCTCATACACAAGAGGCTCGGTAGTCTTAAACTGTTAACCTGACTGACAATTGGTAGCCACTGATCTGATTGTCACTGTACATATAGCTGGCGATTTGTTTTGATCATTCCCATTCCTGTACCAATTACAACCCCCTCAGGCACTCAGAATTTAATCAGGAATGGGATTACCAAATCCTTCATGGTTAGCAGATGCTTCCGCTTTCCAAAATTTCCTATCATCCATAGAGACTAAATCAGACGTCCACCTTCGAAAGATGGAATGAGGTTGCAAATTTTGTTTCATAAGGATCCAAACAAAATAAAGACTTGCGATATTTTAGAAGTCCCTGATATCTCCAAATTAGAGATTTCATGACTTTACCAGAGGTAAGACATAGTCAGCAGAGATGGAGATCAAATTACTAGATTCCAAAAGGTCTCTCCCACAGTCAATACTAGATTGTTCCTTTTTGCCCTAATATACCCTGATGCTACTGTGTTGTACTCCTGCACACTGTGCGAGAATGTAAATCGCGTACATTTCAGTCTGTGTTCCACTGATGTATCAACCCGTTGTGCCTCTGAGGCGTCTCATGATGTTTTAATGATGTTTAATGATGATGTTTGTGGAGTCCTGTAGCTCAGTGGTTAGAGCACTCGCTTTGCAAGCAAGAGACCTGAGTTCAATTCCCGGCAGGGCGAAACCTTGGGCAAGTTTCCTTACTCCACACAGAGCCTAATAATAATTCCTCCAAGAACCAAAAACAATATTAAATTGGTTATTTTCAATCTACGACTGTTTGTGGGACATTGCTGTGCGCAATTGGCTGCCGCGTTCACCCACAAATATACAGTCAATTCACTTTACAGTGTTCTGTGAAGCGCTTTGGGATGTCCTCCCGACGTGAAAAGCGCTATATCAAATGCAAGGATTATTATTATTATAATGTGTTGTCCTTTGGCTGCGGTTAAGCATTACCAACCAGAAGCCGTTAACTTCAAATCATCAACTTAGCAGATCCAGTTCTGGAATTTTGCTTGTGGTGTCCTCTATTTAAAAAAAACTTATAAAAATAACGTGATTATTTATAAAAATGTATCCACGTTGTATCAAGTACAATGCTCAATCAGAATTTGCACTGGCTGATGTTTAGCAGGATTTTGATGCAATTCTAATCCAGTTTTTTCGTGTTTTTCCCACAAAATATAGTCAATCCACTTTACAGTCTATCCTCTGAAGCGCTTTAATACGCCTCGATAACAGGATAAGAGGCTATATCAAATGCAACAATTTTTTTATTAATCCACCATCTGAACCTCCCTACCTGCGACAGTCAACGAAGTTTGAAAATAGTCCCCCAAAATGTCAATAATACATAAAGCAATTTTTAAATTGGAAAGCACAAAAGTTTATTAACAATTCTGTAGTATAAAACTTTTTAGTAAAAAATGCTATTAAAAAAGGTTAGTAATGGTCTAAATATACAGCAAATACCAAAATATATCGCAAATATCTAAAATTCTCTTTATATAATAAAGGAAAGGCAGTCTTTTTCTTTTATGTAATGCTGATAAATCAGGATCAATAGGTGCCACGCGCTTGAAAACAAGATATAATAAGCTTTGTTCTTTTTGAGTTGCAATATGCTCCACAAGATACCAGAGACCTGTGACCAAATGCGTTTAAAACTCACCTGTTAATAAAATATACTTACGTTGGTAACATAATAATGGGAGGGACCAATTTAACCCATCAACTTGCTACAGCATTTTATTAGACCATCACAAATCTTTTATCCGTATTTCCCCTTTTCTCCATATCTTTACTTGGCAAGCTATCCATTTAAACGTTCTAATTGACTCTGAAACTGCGGTCCTGGAGCAATGTAATCTATATTCTCACAAAGACTTTGCTTGAGGAAATTTTTTCAGATCTCACTTCTAACTGGCTTAGCTCTCATTTTTAGTCCATCTACAGGAATGAAGTTATCCCCTATCCTGCTTGAAGAGTCTTCCCATTTTTATAAACACCTCAGTCAGAGCACCCCTAGCAATCCTCAGATCTAAGGGATTTAGCAAAATCCTTACAGATCTTTACATGGTGAATGATTGCTAGATGTCCCCAAGGCTAGAATATTCTTCCTAAGGTAAGGCAAATATCTAAGGCTAACCAGCACTCTGTAACTGGAGCACAACTTCCTAACATCTATATTCCAGCATCTTGTTATATCGATCAATCCATGACTATTTGTGGGACACTGCCGTGCACAATTGGCTGCTGCATTTCACCACAAAATATTCAGTCAATTCACTTTGCAGTATATTCTTTGAGACGTCTCAACGATGAGATAAGATGCTATATCAAATTAAAGAATTATTGTTATTATAAAGGAAACTTCAGGACAGACAACAGCACATTTTTCTTTACCTAGAGGGCAATTAATGACTCATACAATTTGGCAAGAATGGTGATTGAGGCCAAGACACTGGACACATTTAATAAACAGTTTGATACTGTGATGGGAGATGGTAGGGTAATTATTCTGGAAGGATGAGATCAAATGAGCCAAATGGCCTTCTTCATCCACACCAATTCTGCAAATAGCCCTTAACAGGATATGTTGCAATGACTTCTAAAATATTCTTGGGACGTCCTCCCGATGTGAAAGACGATATACAAATATAATTTTGTATTGCATTGTATTCAAAAGTAGCAAACAAGATAGTTTAACTGTACACACTATAAAAGGGGTGGACAGTGTAAGCGAGATCTTATACGACAGAGAGCATGGATGCCCAGCCAAGCGAGATGTCCTCCTGACATGCTGTTTAAGTGGAAAGTTTACTGTATTATATTGTATACCATAACGTATATGAAGATCTGGTAAAAGTGCCACGATGCACAAAAAGCACTCAACTTAATTCAGTTTGAATGCTCCCAAGTAACTGGATGTCTCATCGGCATCTACTAATGAGATATTCGATACAGTCACAAATATTTCATCGCCTCGGTGCAGATTGAATACCCCTCCCAGATAAACAGAGTACAAGTTATGGTTTCCAGAGCACCAGGTGCCGGCACCCTTCAAGATCAAATGTGGTTTGCGGTAGTTGGCTGTTTTCCAGTAGACGTATTGAACTAACTGATACTCTTCTGTGCTTATTGGATTTTCTGCATGATATCGAAATAGGATCTGGGCATAGATGTAGTACAGGCCATGGTGCTTGATTTTCAGTAAGCCTTGGTTGTGTGACATTTCTATTGTGTGTGCTATACCTATTTTTTCCTCCCAGGATGTTATTGGCTTCCCTTTTAATCCAATAAATTTGGTTTTGAGATCTAAGAGAAAAACACAATTTAAGTCTTATTAAAGCAATGATTTGCACATAAATATTGTTTTTCTATTTTCCACATAAATTTAATAGAACATTTTATAGAGAAAGTTATGCTCGTTATTCTTGTAAAACACAGATCTGAATCACTTTCTTTTGATGGAACCTCTTTGCTCACACCAGAATAAGCCTTAGCATGCCTAACACTTTATTTTACTTGTTTTATTTGCCTGAGGTACAAAAAGATAGTTTAAATGTAATAATAATCCTTGCATTTGATATAGCACCTTATCACATCTTCGAGACGTCTCAAAGCGCTTCACAGAATATACTGTAAAGTGAATTGACTATATATTTGTGAGCAAAACGCAGCAGCCAATTGTGCACAGCAGTGTCCCACAAACAGTCATGGATTGAGTGACCAAATTATTATTGTTTTTTTTGAGGGATTATTATCCCCAGAAAAGTGATCCATCAATCAACTAACAACGGGGTTCCTACTTACTGATAGGTAAACAGAGACGTGTGGAGTAAGGAAACTTGGCCAACATTTCGCCCTGCCGGGAATCAAAATGAGGAATGTTGAGCAATTAAAAATAATTGAAATGCTGTACACTGTCCAGCGCATTGGGATGTCCTCCCGACGTGAAAGGCACTATACAAATGTAATCTTGCTGTTGTAGTAACTTAGGAGACAGTGAGGTGCAAGGGGCAAGACAGAAGTCTTTGACCTTCAGAATCTGTATTTGAATCCAGGCCAGACCGAGGAGATGAAAGTGATGACAGAAATTCTTAGCTCCTGTTAACTTTAATGGTAGGGTGATCCTAGCTGGGCAAGCATCAGACAGTGCTCTCATAGTGGGCACTACGTGCTTTTAGTAGATTAAATTCAACCATTCTCCGGGATCCCGAAATCCTGGCTCTCGTGCCTAATACTCTACAGAATTAGATAAGATGGATGTGACCCTATAGCGAGAGAGTGCGCACTCCATTTCAGTCTCTGGGAAATTTCATTTCATACGTGAAATTCTCTGTCTGATTTGAATACTCTGAAGTATGCTGATGAGTTTCTGCATCTGGTTGACCAAAAGGGAACTGAGGAGATGAAGTTGCCTCCGTGGTCGCAACCCAGTTTCTGATAGGCAATGACTCAGAGCATAAAAACACCCTAACTGGCCCGAAGCACTCAGAGAGACCACAAGGAGGCTGGTAGGAGCATGGAAAATGTCACACTGATAAAGAATATAGGTTTGAGTTAACAGTTTTAGTGGAAGCTTTCTCCAAACACTTGTAATCAATAATATGAATCTACTAAAAGATGGTAATTTACCTGGGGAATCCTTTATTCGTTTCATCGTGAGATGTGCGCATGGTGTTCTCTGTGGATGATGACTCTGTGATGATTCTGGAAACGAGGACACATATTGCTCATATTGCTAGACTAGAGACAATGAATCTGTAGCAATTTGCACCATTAAGACGCACCCACCCAGTTCATTCCACCCGAGTTCAGGAATTTCAGTGGGGAACATAGAGACTGGCAGTCATGCAAAAGAGGTGTGAAAACACAGCATGATAAGAACATGTTGCTTCTGTGTTGTATCAGTGAGAAGACTATGTTGTTGACTCTGTAGATGACACATAGGACAAAAATGCCATAACTATGCAGGCAAAAGATAAAAATGCACAGAATCAAACCTATTGTGGATGATACTCGACAGGATACATCATGTAACCAAGATACTTAACTCAGACCGTGAAAGTATAAATAGAACAACTCTTGTTTCCGCAGCCCTGCCATTACCTACACCACTTGGATGCGCATTAGAGTAAGTTGATTCCCTCTCTCTCTTTCACTGGATATCTTACCGACAGATCAGTTGAGATCCAGGACTGTCTATGAGAGAATCACGATGGAGGAACCACCACATGCTACTGGAGTGAGACAAGGGTTTTAAAGCCTGATGCCCCAGCTCTGAATTGGATTGAGGTATTGTGAGAAGCCATTTGGTCACAACTCCACTGAGTGAGTCACGTGGGAAATTTTATTTTGAACCTGATCAAAACGTGAAAGGCGCTATACAAATGTAATCTTGTGGTTGTTGTTGTTTTCCACTGAGTCTCAAGGCAATGCTTACCAGTGCTCTCTGTGATGTGACCTGTAAAACAAAGAACTATAGACTTTTAGAAACATATAACCAGGAAAAGCAGAAAATTGAGGCCATCTTCCAGCCTCCGCTCTACAAACATTTAGCTAGTCCCACATATGAACTTCATTAAGATTTCAACATAAGCAGCTTTATTTGTTGAACCAGCAGCTTATATAGAATTTTACTTATATAGTATGTAAAAGGCTACAGTGGCTTTTTGAGCTCTTTGACCTCTGCAGTAAGTATTCTGATGCCTGGATACTCCAACTCAAAACTTTCAGGTTCTCAGTGGTATACAATTTCCCAATTTTATCCAGCCACAATATTCAAATGTAGCACACAAAACATAAGCAGAATAAGGCAATAAACATTTGCACAGACCCCTATAACAGTGAGCAATGTCAAGCACTTTAAGAGATCTGCTCCCGACGTGAAAGGTGTTATATAAATTGTAAAGCTTATACAGGCCTCAAAACAATAAGGAGATTGCTTTGCTCCAAAGAAAAAGAATATACATGATTTAACTGTGTATAACTATATAAACCCAATATACACAGCCTTATCTGTATATACAAATTACAGTATAACATAGCTTACCTGTGTGTCTTTGTCTACTTAAAGCACTGTGCACTACCTGAGGAATACAAAACATTGCCATTGCATGTCAGGATCACCATATATATATATATATATATATATATATATACAGACTCTTTGCTCCGGTATAATTTACAGCATTTGCTTAGGGCAGTCGTTCCCAAACTACAGCCTGTGATCCATTTTTGGATCGCAAAATTCTTAAAAACAAGCAATAATAATAATCCTCGCATTTGATATAGCGCCTTATCACATCTTCGAGACGTCTCAAAGCACTTCACAGGACACACTGTAAAGTGTAGTGAGTCTATTTTGTGGGCGAAACACGGCAGCCAATTGAGCAATCCTGCTTCCTGAATCTGCTTCTATGTGTATTGCAGGATTCAGATGCAGTCCCAGATTGAATTGACTAATTAAGTGCTCATCTGCTCTTGCCAGGTTCAAGTCAAATGAGTTTGAATCATGCAGCTCACAACTGACAGACTGGACTTGCAGATGCAGAGACGGGAACAACCCAAAGGTGGCAAATGGATGTGAGTACGGTATAAGGGCAGAGAAAGAAAAGGGTGAGGACAAGAGATGCCGGGGCAATAACGGGAAAAAGACAGTGAAACTTGCGGGGTTCATGTGAATGGGGAAAGAGGTTGTGCGGTTGATATAAAGCACAGGTTTGTGTGACCAAGGGAATGGGCTCAGGAGAACAATGAAGTAAATTGGGAAATTAAACACTAAAACATTTGACGCACAGGAGAAAAATATAATCATATAATAATAATCTTTGCATTTGATATAGCACCTTATCATGTCATTCGAGACGCCTCAAAGGACTTCCTAAGATTTTCTGTAAAGTGTAGTGACTGTGTATTTGTAGGCAAGTGTGGCAGCCAATTTGCATACAGCAATCGGATCGATTTAAACAATTGTCTATGTTGGGGTTCCTAGTGATAGTCCGAAATATGGCATTGAACAGTATTTTATATGGATCGTGCACATTCCTGAAGCAATGATATTTTAACCAGATCTCAGTGAAAGGATCTCCTGTAAATGAAATCAATAAGTCATACACGAGCACTGGAGATGTCCACATTTCAGCACCATGCAGAACAATGAAACACAGTGCTTTGAAGCTGATCAAAGGGATACTTGCTGAACATACTTTCATCAAGTCTTCCAACTACTCTAACTGCTGCTGCCTGTGATCTAACACCTGTGACAGAAAATAACACAGAAAATGGTGCTTTTCAGAACGAGTGCAAGCAAATCATGCTGTAAAGCCCATTGTGTAAAACATGGTAAATTGTCTTGTAAACCCTATTATGTAAACAATTGATACATTTTAAGACCTCTGAGATGCTACCCTGCATGAAGGTTGCTATATAAATGCAAGTTATTGTTATATATTGTCCTATAACGTCCATTGTGTAAAAAATGCTATGTTACTTAACACAAAGTTATTTCAGACTCTACCTGTGACAATTATACAACACTACTCCTCCCACATGTCAGGATGGGTTTTCAGCCCCCTGTTCTGTTGGTGGATATCAGCATTTGGAAACTTGCCATTTTATTGAAGAAAATAAAACCATTCTGAGGGTAGCTTTTACACGCTTTTACATTCAGGCCGATGACCTTTCGTCATTTTTGATGAGACTTTCTGATGAATCTGAATGACGCGATAAGGCGCTATATCAAATGCAAGGATTATTATTATTATTAATTATAGATCAGTTTGAAAATCAGCTCTATCATATCCCCTCTCAGCTTCTGACCTCCAACGAAAAAAGCCCCAGTTATTATTTTTTTTCAAGCATTTATCCAATTCCCTTCTAAATATTGTTATACACTTGGCTTCAACAGGCATTTGTGGTAACATAATCTGTGATAACAATTTATGGAAACATTTGAAAAATTGTTACCCAATTTTTCTTATGATAATCCTCAATTTATTTCCTGTTGTTTCTGACTCGCTTTCAAACTTTATTTACCAAACCAAATAATTTAACAAAAAAACTATTTTCACACAACTGTCTCCATTTGAAGTATAATTTGAGTGTGCTCTGGTTTCAGGTCTTTCTCCAGTTAGAAACACAAAAACACTTGTAACACGATGCAAAAACTGATTCCTCACAGGGTGAAATGTTGAGCAAGATTCTTTACTCCACACGCCTCTGTTTACCTAGTAGTAAGTAGGAACCCGGTTGTTAGTTGATTGGCAGATCGCTTTTCCCGGGGTAATAATTCCTTCAAAATAAATAAAAATAATTTGGTCACTCAATCCATGACTGTTTGTGGGGCACTCTGTGCGCAACTGGCTGCCGCTTTCACCCACAAAATATACAGTCAATTCACTTTAGAGTGTATTCCGTGAAGCACTTTGAGACGTCTCAAAGATGTGATAAGGCGCTATATCAAATGCAAGGATTATTCTTATTATAATAGGTGCCAATGGTAAACGGCGATCACATACAAATGAGTGTGTCCCAACCAAACTAACATTACTCATGGACGTTTGATCAAGAGTTCGAATTATGTTTTCACGTAAGAAATGTACTTCACCTGGTTAATGATGTTCTTTAATCCTTGCAGCAACTGGGAGCAAGGTTCAGAAGCCATCACCATTTCCACCTCTGTTAACTTTGCGGAGCTCTGATTAAAAGTGGAAATCAACTTCAGACACTGCAAGTGACCTCCAGAGACTTCACTGAAGTCCCTCTGTGAAGAAAAAAACCCCATAATAATGTTTGTATTTGATACAGCGCCTTATCACATCTTCTAGACGTCTCAAAACGCTTCACCCCATGTTACTTGATTGCATAGTACAGCCTCAAACCCCACCTTAAAGCCCACTTTCAGTGCAAACAGGAAAAATTTCATTTTCATAATGTCTTCAAATCCCTCCACTCCTCTGCACCCCCTATCTCTCTGACCTCTCTCCTCACAACGGTACCCGTTGCCTTTGTTCTTCCACATCTGGCCTCATCCTCGTCCCGAGTCCTCCGCTCCACCCTCGGCGGCCGTGCCTTCAGCCACTATGCCCCGAGGCTCTGGATCTGCCTTCCTCACTCTCTTCGTCTCACTCCCTCTCTTCCCATTTTTAGGTCTCGCTGAAGACCTTTCTTTTCGACCGCACCTTTGGTTACCTTCCTCCCCCTCCCCCTGGCTCTGCCCCGGGATCCGTAACTGTGAAGCGCTCTGAGACGCCGTCCTGCATGGAGGGCGCTATATAAATCCAAGTTGTTGTTGTCATCTCAAAGCGCTTCACAGAATATACTGTAAAGTGAATTGATTGTATATTTTGTGGGCGATCTATATTTTGATCTGCATCAAATCTGCAGATCAAATATACAAAAATAGACTGTGAAAATGAAAGTAATTTCTACATAGAGTACATTTTCAACTGTACTCTAAGGGAATCGATGGCAGGTTATAGATGCTGTGAGACACTATCCCCTCATGAAGAGCACTATAAAAAAATTGTCAGATGTAAAGATATAATGCAAATAAATAAAGGAGAGAACTGTCATTTGTATAATGCACCACGGTGTATTTTGAATGATGTTGAAATGTCTCAAAGTGTTTCACAGATAGTTACAGTCAAATGTAATAACTGGCTTTATAGTCCAACTCAGCAACCGTTTCATAAAATCTTAGAATGCTACTGCACAGAATCAGGTCCCTAACCCCATCAAGGCTATGTCCCCTCATTTTGGATCTCTCTACAAAAGAATCATTGTCTTTCTAGCTTCTGAATTCTCCTCATTATTTTAAACACCTTAAATAGATCAACCCTTATCCTCCTCAGCTCCAGGCGAATATAACGAAAATTTATCCAGCCTCTCACCATAGTAAGACCTTTCATTTCAGGTATTAATCCAATGAATGATCACCGGTCTATCTCCAAGGTTAATATATCGATCTTAAGCCTGGGTGCCCAAAATTTAACACAAGACTGTAAATGAAGTCTGACTACTGCTGTATACAACTACACAAGTGCTTCTTTAGTCATTCATAATGCCACTGGAATAACCTTCATTGTCTACTTATTTTCAAAAACAAATCAAGAGAGTATTTTGCCCTGGTATGGAATTTGTATTAATTGAAGAGAAGGAAATGTCTTTTCAGACCAACATTACTCATGGACATATATAAACTTTTGATCAAGCAAAGAGAGATCAGTAAAGCACCTTCCATCTCAAGTAGCTTAGTCGGTTAAGCACCAGACTTGAAACCAGAAAGTACTGGGTTCAAATTATGAAGGGTAAACTCATAGAAGCATTGATTCTACGGCCATTCAGACCATTGTTTCTGTGCTGGCTCTTTGAAAAGCTATCCAATTAGTCCCACTCGCCCGCTCTTTGCCCTGTTGCCTAGCAATTTTTTTCTTTTCAAGTAAATATCCTTTTGAAAGTTTTCTCTTGACCTGAAGTGATGCCAAGAAGACATACCTGGCCAAATCAAGCAGTCTGTACAGACATGCACTCACCTCTGCAAACAAAAGTACTAATATTTAAGGTGGTCCATAACGGGAAAAGCACCACGAGATTAGTTGACATATAAAAGTGTTCCTTATATGTGTTGGAACTCTACCAGCCACAGCTCTACTGTAATGAACCAGACCACAGTAACTACATGTTCCACTCATACAACAGCAGCTAAATGCCACACTTAGATATCTATCTCTAAGTGGAAACAACATAAATATCAAACACATTACTGAGCAAATTGTGAACCAGTGCGAAATATACTGCAGCACAAATCTTGCAAGAATCCAGCAATATTTTTTGTAGCACAAAGCTTCATTGCTAATGGTAATTGCTATCTAACCACAGCATTGCATAATAGGCACATTACTCTCCAAATGTTGACACTTAGTCAAAACAAAACTTAGAATTTTCGCCTACGAAATACTGTGCATAGTCACTACAACTTTACAGTATATTCTGTGAAGCACTTGAAGACGTACTCGTGATGTGAAAAGCGCTATACCAAATACAAGGCTTATTATTATTATTGGAAGAACAATGCTTTTGTTCCAGATTAAAACTTCCATTAAAACTAACAAAAAAAGTACTGTTAATATCCATTAAAACTAACAAAAAATGTAAAATAAATATTTACAGCGGGAATCTATATTACCTGTGCTACAAATAACGGTTGCTGCTATTTATTTTCATGCAGCCGTGACAATTTAGCCAAATTGCACAGAATCCTTAGTTTGACTTGTAGGTACCATTTGATTGAGATAAAATATGATACCACCTTGTGTGATATTTTAATACAATTTTGAACATGTTATGCAGTTAAAATAGCAATTTCTATCTTCCTTGGAGTGGGTTGAGGTGAGCAGGGTCCCATTGCAGCTGAGGTGAGCTGCCTTCAAGATGACATGCTTGACAACGGAAAGTCGGAATTGAGTCAATAGATTGTGGCAGTCTCCGTAGCCCAGTTCCTGAGTCAGGAAAGGTCCACGGTACTGCTGTTGACAGACCAACCAGCCTTGTTGCCAGCATTTGGAGGGACAGACTGTTCATTGGGTAATGAACCATACAAACAGGGTAGTTCCAAAGTAGACAGATAGTGGGAAGAGCAGGCAATACTCTCAATGGCAAATTATGTATTTAACTGGTTAAATTCCAAAACCCATTCCAGAATTATCTAAGCAAGAGAGAGAGTGTGCATTCCATTCCAGACACAGGAATATTTCCATATGTAAGTGGCATATATATGTGGAGCTCTCAGTCTAGTTTGGATACTCTTGAAACATAGTAATTGGTTTCTGCACATGTCAAACTCCAGGTGAACAAAATAAAGTTTCCTTTTTTTGTTTTATTTTGTAATTATTTAAAATTTGGTTCTCCGACCAAGAGCAAGATTTTAATTTTGCTCTACTTCCTTTACTTCTTATATTCTGCTTCATTTACAGTTAAATTCTGTAGGGATTTTAACTTCACTATCCCCCTTTATTTTAATCTTCCTTTTGATATAGCATCTTTCACATCACCAACAACAACACAACAACAAGATTCCATTTATAGAGCGCCTTTCACGTCGGGAGGACGTCAAGAAAACACCCCCAAAGCATGTCACACGATACACTGGAAAATGGAAAAAAAACTGTATTTTGTGGGGAAACCAATATGCCTAACATGCCTGTTTAACACGTCATATCTCACATATTAACCCGAGGCACATACCTATATCCAACAGACATAACCCAATCCACACATGTATATGCAATACACCTCTGAAGACAAATTCCCAATTCCCGTCTACATAGCAATAGCACCGGTCATTATGTGGTGGAGCACTAACTTCATGCTAGATAGGACAGACTAAGGACAGATCTGGACCACAAAACCGAGCAACATCACGCACTGGGGACCATCAGCAGTGAAATCTTGGCTTGGGATCAAGCTCCACTATGATTAAATGCTCTGAGACGCTACCCCACGTGAAGGGCACTATATAAATGCAAGGTGGAGGTGTTGGTGGTGGTGTTGAACATCACCATATCTATAAACTAATGGCCTGGCACATCCTTAAATTCCTCATCATCATTAAGCTGGAAGACCAACCCCTGTTCAATTAGACATGTAGAAAGGTGTGCTGGCTACAAAATCAGGTGTATCTTAAAATGAGGTGCCAACATAGTGAAACTGCAACATAGGGCTGCCTGCAACACAATATTGAAAGTCGAAAGCAAGATGTTGTTATAATATCTAATAATAATAATTTATAAAACAAGATGTTGTTGTTTAAGATAAAGCAATCCCATAATTGATCAAAGATCCTTGAGGCGCAAAACTGAGCACCATCATGCACAAAGCAGCCACTTCCAGTCAGATACGATGTGCAATACTGAGATAATCAGACAGTTGTCAGGAAGGAAGGTTTCATGAACCTCCCCATTCTCAGGATGAGAATGCAAAGGGTAAAGATGAAGTGTTTTTGCAAGTCTTCATTCAGGCAAAAGTGCCCATATCTATCTTACCTAACCTGCTGCAAACACCCATATAATCCCTCCAAAACCAAAAACAATAATAAATTGGTAATTTTCAATCCATGACTGTTTGTGGGACATTGCTGTGCGCAATTGGCTGCCGCGTTCGCCCACAAATATACAGTCAATTCACTTTACAGTGTGTTCTGTGAAGCGCTTTGGGATGTCCTCCCAACGTGAAAAGCGCTATATCAAATGCAAGGATTATTATTATTATTATTATATTATATCCATCACACCTAACCTGTTATTCACAACCATATTCATTACACTTAAAGAATGCCAAATTGGGCAAGGTAGGCAATCAACACTTGTTGAATCTTATCCCAGGATGAATTTGTGCCTTCAGGAGGAGAGAAATTTGGAGGGGGATAAAACCTGAAAGTTAACAATGACAGTGATGCAGGAGGATATGTTCAAATTAAAAGTTACACATAACAATCTAGTTTTCTTGAGTGTTAGAAATGATGATGATATATCCAGGCAATATTAATATTAATAATACTTAGATTGGATAAATTTATGGCATAAATCAAGAAATGTTCAATCAACAAAATGTATTCTTTTTGGCCGACCATAAAGTTGGCCAACACTGCTGTGAAGTATAGTGACTGTGTAATTTGTGGGCAAGTGTCCAATTTTGCACACAGCGATGTTCTACAAACAGCCATGAGGTGAATAACAAATTTTATCTGGAGAATTGCTGGCTGGGACACTGAGAGAAACTACCTTCTCTTTTTGAATAGTGCCATGGGATCCGTAACATCCACATGAACAGGCAGAGGGGACCTGGGTTGAACATCTCATCTGAAGGAAGGCACCTCCAACACTGCAATGTGGTGTCAGCCTAGATTACATGAGTTCAAAATCCTAATGTGTTTAAATATTTTTTAAAAAGCCCGACTCAAGAGTTTAAAATAATGTATTGTGGAAATCACGGATTGAAATGAATTAACACAATTAGTCTAATTTAAAAAAAAACAGGTCAACCAGGGCACAGCTTTAAAAACAGATCATGTTCTCAGGATAAAACACGGTAGGTAGTGTTCACTTAAACTTACAGTGTTTAACTTTCACCAGTTTGTACACGGGTTTTGTGAACGAACCGGCCAGGTTTGTAGACTCAATTTGCACATCACTTTTAGTGAGCTGGAGTCACACTTGCACTGAGCTGGAGACCTGTTTGTAACAAGCAGGTGGAGGAGTATGTGCAGTTTGTGCAGTGTGAGCTGGAGTAGTGTGTGCAGTGAGTGTGTGTAGTGAGTGTGTGCAGTGAGAGCTGGAGCAGTGTGTGCAGTGAGTGTGTGCAGTGTGAGCTTGGAGCAGTTTGTGCAGTGTGTGTGCAGTGAGTGTGGGCTTGGAGCAGTGAGTGTGTGAGTGAGTGTGTGCTTGGAGCAGTGAGTGTGTGCAGTGAGTGTGCGCTTGGAGCAGTGAGTGTGTGCAGTGAGTGTGGGCTTGGAGCAGTGAGTGTGTGAGTGAGTGCACAGTGAGTGTGTGCTTGGAGCAGTGTGTGTGTGCAGTGTGTGTGCTTGGAGCAGTGAGTGTGTGCAGTGAGTGTGCGCTTGGAGCAGTGAGTGTGAGCAATGAGTGTGTGCCGTGAGTGTGCGCCTGGATGCAGTGAGTGTGTGCAGTGAGTGTGTGTAGTGAGTGTGCGCCTGGAGCAGTGAGTGTGTGCAGTGAGTGTGCACCTGGATGCAGTGAGTGTGCGCCTGGAGCAGTGAATGTGTGCAGTGAGTGTGTGCCTGGATGCAGTGAGTGTGTGCAGTGAGTGTGCGCCTGGATGCAGTGAGTGTGCGCTTGGATGCAGTGAGTGTGTGCAGTGAGTGTGCGCCTGGATGCAGTGAGTGTGTGCAGTGAGTGTGTGCCTGGAGCAGTGAGTGTGTGCAGTGAGTGTGCACCTGGATGCAGTGTGGGTGTGCAGTGAGTGTGTGCAGTGAGTGTGCACAGTGTGTGTGTGCAGTGAGTGTGTGCAGTGAGTGTGCACAGTGTGTGTGTGCAGTGAGTGTGCACCTGGATGCAGTGTGTGCAGTGAGTGTGTGCAGTGAGTGTGCACAGTGAGTGTGTGCAGTGAGTGTGCACAGTGTGTGTGTGCAGTGAGTGTGCACAGTGAGTGTGTGCAGTGAGTGTGAGCAGTGAGTGTGCGCCTGGATGCAGTGAGTGTGTGCAGTGAGTGTGCACCTGGATGCAATGAGTGTGAGTGTGTGCAGTGAGTGTGAGCAGTGAGTGTGCGCCTGGATGCAGTGAGTGTGTGCAGTGAATGTGCACCTGGATGCAGTGAGTGTGTGCAGTGAGTGTGTGCAGCGAGTGTGCACCTGGATGCAGTGAGTGTGAGCAGTGAGCAGTGAGTGTGAGCAGTGAGTGTGAGCAGTGGTTTACCTGCCACAAGTAGAAGCAGCCGCCGGCGGTGGCCGCGAGCTGGAGGAGGCTGAGCACCAGCGCCGTGTAGAGGAGCCGCCGCGGGGCTCGGGGTGGGGGGGACCCGGAGTCAGAGTGCCGGCGCTGGGGCCGCCGCTGAGGCTCAGGGGGTCCCATGGCTGAGGAGCGCTGTGACCGCGTCAGACTGAGAGGGAGAGAGGAGGAGAGAGGGAGAGGAGAGGGAGAGAGGGGGGACCACAGCAGCACAGGCAGCGGACATCCACTGAACAGCAGCCCAACCCCGTCAGCCCAGGAGGCAGCACAGAGCTGCCACAAAGCGCCTCATTTACCTAATTAATTCGTTCACCCAATTAATGTACCCAATAATCATAATAATAATAATCCTTTGCATTTGATATAGCGCTTTTCACGTCGGGAGGACGTCCCGAAGCGCTTCACAGAACACACTGTGAAGTGATCGACTGTATATTTGTGGGCGAACGCGGCGGCCAATCGCGCACAGCAATGTCCCACAAACAGTCGTGGATTGAAAATGACCAATTTATTATTGTTTTGTTTTGAAGGGATTATTATTAGGCTCTGTGTGGAGTAAGGAAACTTGCCCAAGGTTTGGCCCTCTGCCTGGAATTGAACTCAGGTCTCTCGCTCGCAAAGCGAGTGCTCCAACCACTGAGCTACAGGACTCCACAATGCATCGCACTCGCTGCTGGGAGTCACCCGCACAAACGAAACGTGTCTCACTCTCCCTTCAAAGTTAAGATTAAATTTCAGAAAAAAAAATTAAAAATTAAAAATTGTGGTAAAGCCGACTCTTGGGGTTTTTTTTTCCCCGGCGGCCAAACCCTGTTTTGCTTTTCGCAGGTAAAATTCTGCTTGTTACAGAATCTTTCGGTTCAGAGAGAGAGAGAGAGAAAAAAAAACACATGTAAAAAGGAAACACATACATTTGCAGCTGATTCTATGAGAGGCCATAATCCAATACAAAATGTTCTTGTCAGGGGCTGAACTGCACAAAACATTTCCAAGTTTTTTTTTTTGCAGGACACTTGAGCATCCAGAGCTACTTAAAAGTGAGTGTAACCTATTCCCTAAAGTTGGGTGGAGGGGAGGAGTAATAATGATCTTTGCATTTGATATAGCACCTTATCACGTCTCAAAGACGTCTCAAAGTGTTTCACAGAATATACTGTAAAGTGAATTGACTGTATATTTTGTGGACGAAACGAAGCAGCCAATGGCACACGGCGGTGTCCCAGACAGTTGTGGATCGAGTGACCAAATTATTATTACTTTTAGTCCAGATACACTAAATTCAGGTTTTCAAATATGATTCATTTCATCAAAGGCTTTAATTTTTTATGGTCTTTATTTAAAGCTTCTAAACCAATCTTAAGACAACAACTTGCATTTAAATAGCGCCCCTCACGCAATTTAGTGTTCCAGAGCGCTTAAACAATGGCGGAGCACAACACCGAACCGTGGGTAATGACTATAGGCATGGTCTTCCATTCCTGGAGTCCCTCCGACTCCATTCCTCCCTCCCCTCTTCAAGGCACGTCGAGACCTAACTCTTTGACCACGCTTTCAGTCGTTTCCCCTTCCTATGCTATCTCTCGGCTCCCCCTCCCCACCCCCCCAGCCGTCAGTGTCAAGATGTCCTTTCAACATGAAAAACGTGTTGTGTGAATGTTGTTATGTTTCTGGAAGGGAAACATAAAATATTGCTTATGCGACCCACAGACCTTTCTCAAATAGAGACTCCGGCCCTCAGCAGCCAAAAGGTGGGTCAGTGACAAACACAAATAAGGCAATGTCTAATTAATCAGGCATTCTGGTGCGTTTGTATAAAGATAAAGAAGGAATCCAAAGCAGAAGGCATTTGGTGTAACATCTGGTCCAAAGGATATCTGTTTAACAATATGGGCCGCAAATCTGCTTCCCAATTTAAAAGCAAAATCGCACACAAAGCAGGTAACCTGTTGAGGTTTATTTTTTAGCCATTGCTGGATAAACAAACAAAAACACCAACATAGTGCAACTTGCATTTTATAATCTGGTAACAGATTGTACAGGTGAAGTAATAGCTGGGACACAAAATCATTGCTATAAGTTAAACGAACATCACTGCTGAATTTTTGGCATAGTTCATATAAATGATTAGATGATTACAAATACTAGGTACTGTACATATTCTTTTTTTACTAGTGTGCAAATTTATGCTGAAATTAACACTGCACAAATAATAAAATAAGTACTATCCAAATCTAATTCAATGTTTTCACTTTCAGTCATCAAAGCAGCATTACTAAATACTACTTGGATTACAGCTGAGGTTTGGGACAAAGGAATGTACACCTATGGTACATAACATAAAGTGACTAAGTCATCAAGATCATACACACCATTGGTTAGTCATGTGATACAAGGTGCTGTTGATATCACTGTAAGTTAAAGTTGTGTTGAATTAAAAACAGTTCAAAAGGCGGCCAAACAACAAAAGCTGCTTGTGAATTTGTCCAAATCAAAAGCAACGTTAAATTTATTCCGCATGAAATGTAATAATGCTGTTGTGATTCGGCAGTTAGGCAAGTTTTCAACAAACTTCATTGACAGGTTTAACGCTCTATGCACACTGTCTATTGTTTACTTATGTGGATATCAACACTGATATTTGACATTCAGCATATTGACTGCATGCAAGACTGCAATTCTGTAAATGGAGAACATTGGGGTTTAAGATGCAATAATTTTTAACAGGATTCTTCAATACTATCTCAGTTGCAAATAAGGTCTCCTGACGATTCGAAGTACGTCCTACAGAAGCTCTGCGTGGATACAGCCTAAAAGTAATGATTGCATTTGATCTACTTCTAGAGTTCCCTCATGGCAGCATAGTGTATTTAGGGTTATGGGAAGAATCCATCCTCTTTTGCGACTCAAAAAGGGTTATTGAGGAATTCTGTCAGAAATAGTCATATTTATAGTCAAAAAAGTAATGCATCATAAAATGACAGAATTGAAAATGAAGTAAAACCAACTCTGAAAACAACTGTTGTATTGTAGTTGATATAATGATACAATGAAAACCCATAAAAATTTGTCGGTGTTTCAGGACAAACCATTATGGATGTATTAATAATAATCTTTGCATTTGATATCCCTTCATCACTTTGAAGGATCTCAAAGCACTCCACATAGCTTTTTTGTAAAGTGCAGTAACTGAGTATTTGTATACGAATGTGGCAGCGAATTTGGACACAGCAATGTCCTACTAACAGCCATGTTTAACTAAGGAATTGTAACCAGAATACAGGGAGAAACTCCCTTTTATTTTCAAATAGTGCTATGGGATGTTTAACGTCCTTACGAATAGTGCTTGGTTTGTTTCACCTGAAAGACGACACCTCCAACAATGCAGCACTCCGCCAGACATGCACTACTGTGTGAGCCTACACAGTAGTGCAAAGTCCCGATGTGGGATCTGAACTCACAACCTTCTTACATAGAGGCGAGAGTGTTACCAACTAGCCCAAGCGGACACCTATTTTGGAGGAAAAGATTAATGAACTTTTGCAACACAATCAAGGACTTTGTTTCTCATCTCAAACTGTCTGAAAAAATAAAGTCTCTGGATATCGAGCAACATTTTCTTTATAGGCAACATTTTTAACTTCTTTGAATTTCATCTGGAAGATAGAGGGCCCTCCATCAATTGCTGGAATGGGTCTCGTTCATTTATATTTTGATCATTTATCTTTCCATAAAACAGTAAAACCAGATTTCACCAGGAACAGAGATTTCAATTCAGCCTGTAATATGATCATCACTGTAGCTTTCCAACATTATCAGGGTGCTGATGAAAGTATACAAAACATTGGTGGAAATTTTGTTTCTATTTAACCTGACAGGAGATACGTAGCAACATATCTCCCCCATTTCAAGATCTACCAGTTCCAGGTCGCTAATTAAAATACCAGGAATGTCAAATATAATACTTCAAAAATATCAACAACAGATGTGTGGTTATACAGCTAATAATGTGGCTCACTGATACATTCCTTTTTTTCTAACTTTTTTGCTATTTGGGTTCTTTTATGGTCAGCTGGGTTTCAGACCAATGCAGGAACCCATCACCATGCTTAAGAAGCATCCTGATACTTGCCAAATTAATGTACGACAATAATAAAGGGTTGCAATTTTAACCTGTGGGTCACTTGGATGGAACTGAACGGTTGAGAGTTTCTTATTTTAATTAAACAATGTCTCCTGTAATACTTGTGGCTACTTCTCAGACCAGCACAGAAATGCTAGTCAAAAGCATTTTAACAAACTTGCCAGAAATACATATCTCAGTAAATGTTATAACGAGGTGATTAAATCCAATGCAAAGATAAATGCTCATTTATATTAACCCATGAGCAGTGATAAGCTGCAATTTTCCTGGCAATTGAGGGCACCTGCAGGAGATGGTGTCATTTGCACCCACTGCTCCAGGATTAAGGTGCAAGTGCAGTTCAATACCACTCTTCTCTATTCCTAGATGCTCCAATGGATGGCCCAAGAACTTTCCTGGTTTCGATTGTTCAATGTTTTTAAAGGACCAGTCAAGTGGAAGCGTAGAACTCTGAAATTGGGTGTGTTTTTTTTAAAAAATGGGTCTGAGGCCCTGATATGAAGCAGGAAGTGTAAAGCACCACATCTCTATATTCAATCAGGAAAATAAGTTTAAGATCTTAATGTAATGTTGTTTCAATATGCATCTCCTTTATCTGTTTGAAATTCCTGGCATTTTAAAAGTAGACCTGTTAAGTGAGGCTTCCAAGCACAATTCTGCCTGCGAGATTTTACCATACTAATGGCATTAGGGTAACTTAGGTAGCTCCAAAATTATCAAACTTTTTGTAAATCAGTAACAGAGACTGCAAGAGTTATTGCATGGAACCCAGATGTCTCTGAAATAAACCACCACATACATAAAACACAGTCTAAAGAACATGTTGAATTCGACAACTTGATACAGTACTTTGAACCTTAATGATCTGGCAGGGTGCTTGAGCACAAGCTGAATGTTAAATAAAGCATTCCCACAGTCCGAGAACACAAACCTTGACAGGCTTTGCCAGGCTTTCGTGTTTGCCTGCTGACATATCAGCACCGATACTACACCAATGATGAGCACAAGTGGCTATATAGTTATGAAGATACTGATATGTATTTTTATAAGAAAAACTTTAACACACATCAATAAAGCTGCACAACATCAGCAAAGCTAGGATTTTAGTGCGCCTTAACCTCATATGTGTATATGGTTACAGTTTACATAATAAAGGAAACAGTTAAGTGGAGTTGAAAGGAGTGGACATTGTACAGTGGTCCTGGCTCACTTCATCTAGTTAAGCATCCATCACCCAAATTTTTGAAGGTGGCGATTTGTGCATTACTATACTTGCACCAAAATGTTCCAAGTCTCAAACTTTCATATTTGATCTTAGTGAGTGACTGTGGGCAGATTAATCCAATTTGGGACAGGTGGCTGCATCACAGACTAGCCCAATCCTGTGCAAAATGTGTTTCCTTTATAAAAAAAACAGCTAAGATTGTAAAGAGACTTTTTTTTAAAAAAGTGTAATCTCATAACTTCCTTTGATGTTGTCACTTCAAGTTTTAATTTCACTACAGACTGAGCTTTTCCATAAGATTTAGTATGAAGGAACGATGCCAATCTGACCAGAAACAAGTCTGAAGTGACAGCACTCTTTAAACGCCAAACAGGAGGCTATGTGAGCAAGGTTCAAAAGCAATATTGTTCAAATGAGTTCAAGGCTCCAAACCAATTCCCTTCCCAACTATGTTTTCCTGCGGGGAAGAGGAGGGGTAAAAGAGAAATTACAATGGATGCATTGCCAACCTCCCTCACGTACACACACTAAAGCGTTAATTTAACCTTTAGCCCATTGAATTTCATAGGTTTATTTCTTCTTGTGTATAATTTGGGATCTGTAATCTGTCCTTTTATTGTACATTACTGTGTACTTTTTAACCAATAAGCCTTCTGTAAGTATAGAACCCAGCTTACGATTCTGGATTTAAAAACCTGCACATTTCTTAATATTTTGCCATGTTGGAGCTCATGATCCTTCTCACAGTGGGGTCAAGTGCTATTCATTTATGGGTGAGTGATTTAGGTATTCTCCAGGAGCCAGTCAAATAGAGGCTTGTGTATGAAGGGAGCTCCAGCACCTCTTGGCTCCTTCATTTCACAGTACTTCACTACTTCCTGAAGCAGATCACAAACCTTCCAGTCCTTCTCTTTCGCTCTTCTTACCACTGCGAGAAACTGCAAAAATAACACTCATCAGGATTACAACTAGCCTCTCCTGACACTCAAATGTCTGTGAGGAATACACGTTACTGTGGGGTCATAATGCTGAGGTTGGAAATAAGGACACAATAATGCCATTAAAGACTACACCTTACTTTAAGGTTATAAAAATATTTTTGTAATTTTATCACTACTTACGTGAAATAAATTATAAGGAACACAACATTTGTTTCTTTTCCTCCCCTGAAGATGTTTTGAATAATAAATCATAATCCTTGCATTTGATATAGCGCTTTTCACGTCTTCTAGACGTCTCAAAGCGCTTCACAGAATATACTGTAAAGTGAATTGACTGTATATTTGTGGGCAAAGCACGGAAGTCAATTGCGTACAGCAGTGTCACACAAAGTCGTGGATTAAAGTACCAAATTATTATTGTTTTTTTTCATGAGGGATTATTATCAGGAGTGTGGAGTAAGGAAACTTGTCCAAGGTTTCACCCTGTCGGGCATCGAACCCAGGTATCTCGCTTGCGAGGCGAGTACTGAGCTACAGGACTCATTTTTCAAATGCCAGATAACAAATCCCTTTGTGACTATTTCCACACCCATTCAGTTCCATACTCACATGCGACAGCTCATTTTCAAACGATTCCTTAAAGTGGACCAAAGACAACTGAAACTGCGAGGCTGCTATCCACTGCAACACTGTTCTTAACTGAGCATCGAGACTCGAGACATCTAGGTCAACGTTCAGAATCAATAATGTTTCTATAATACCCATCAACCCTACAAGGTATAAAACAAAGTATGGTTAAAAAAGGCACTAACAAAAAGTTGTTCATCAGCAAAAAGGCAAGAGATGTCAGTGAAAAGTCCAATCTGCAGAGAACCTAATCTAAGTAACAAAAAAACCTCTCAACTCTCAACTTTCCTTTAAATCCCAGATCCATGCCTTGACCCATTCTGCCTTTCCTCAATTCCGCCACACTGCCTGCCTCCTCCACTACCTCTCCACTTGGGTCAACAAGACCCTTATCTTTGCTTTTATCATGTCTAGGCTGACAATGCCAACTCTCTACTCTCCAGACTTCCCAAATCTTCTCTCCACAAGATGCAGATGATTCAGAACTCTGCAGCTCATGTCCTCTCCCGCTTCTGGCTCCCTGAGCCTATCACCCCCCATCCTTGCTTGGGGCTACTAGCTCCCCATCCCCAGAGGATCCAGTTCAAGATCCTCCTCCTCATCATTTTTAAAGCCCCCCCTCTCTGTGAACCTTCTAAAATCCTACCAATCCACCTGCTCCCTCTGCTCGAGGCACAGGCCTGCTTCACATCCCTGCCTACCCCACCTTTCTGCCTCCATTCTGGAACTGTCCTTTTCCCATACCCCTTCCCCTGCCTACTTTAAGGTGTCTCAAGACCTTCCGCTTTGACAGTTCCTTTGGTCATTTTCCCACCTCCACCCTCATTGCACCCCTCCCAAATCCAACTCCCAGCCCAGGTATAAACCCTTGACTGTCCAGCAACTTGGGAAGTCCCCCTGATGTGAAAGGCGCTAGAGAAATAAGATTTGTTGCCGTTGTGATTTTCTGAATGAGTTAAGCATGCAGGAGACTTTGGTGCAATGATTTGTAAAGTAAGTTGAATGTGTTGATGCGGTACCTTCAGAGTCTTCTTTTTGTTCCTCTTTATCTTCAGCCCCATCACTGGAATTAGGGATAGAAATGGTCTATTTAGCAGTTACACTGCAGGTGGACAACCAGTCATTAAGTGCAAGCAAGACGGCAATGGTCAGATTTAGGAATACAAATTCAAAATAAAACTGATTGTTTAAAAAAGCAGTGGTTGAGTCGAGTGAAAGCAGTGAGCACACAGTAACATGCAATTACAATTAGCAAGTTTTAAGAGCCTTTACTACTTCTCATGTTATGTCACATTTAATAGCTCCAACTGCCTATTCTATTCAAATTTGATGCCATAAATGTTTGTGTTATACAAACGTCAGAAAACATGTATTGAACTGTCTAAAATATTGATAGTGAGCTACTATAGCAAGTTTAAACAAAACTAAAATCACATGCTTAGGAATGCAACAACTTGCATTTATATGGAGTAGTGGAATTTATATAGCTCCATTGACACAGGATAATGTTTCAGAGGGCTTTATGCAGAGCTGTAAGTAAAATAAATATACTGTTCATTCCATCATCTGCAGAATCATTATGCACACTATAGAGTCTCAATTCAAAGTCGTTGCAAATAGAAGACTTTTATTGCATTGGTCAGGACTGGATTCAATCCTCAAAGGGTTGAAAGGTGGATTCATCTCCATCTGACACTTCAGGTTAATTAATTGGATTTATTCTTCAGACTTTAGAATTATTTGTCGAAGCTGGTGAAACCTTTAGCTCTGCAATTCCTCATTACTTTTTAAAAAGAAAATCTGAAGTTTATACTAAATTAATAATAATCCTTGCATTTGATATAGCGCCTTATCACGTCTTCGAAACGTCTCAAAGTGTTTCACAGAACATACTGTAAAGTGAATTGACTGCGTATTTTGTGGGTGAAACAAAATAACAGGGATGCGCTTGCTTCATTTTACTCTTTTGAACCTTCAACAAGACGAGGCATGTCATTACTGAGGAATGTAATTTTGTTCCACTTTGCACTTTACTAACAGAACACAAGTATCTAAGTGGTATTTGTGCCTTTCTCCTCACATCCACCACTACACAAGAGTCATTCAATATGAAATCCCATGAGAAGTATGCTGTTGCGTCTTACAGAGAATTTAGTGGAAAAAAAAGACATTTTATAGATTAATTGATGCATGCACTAAGAAAAAAACTAAAATCTTTACTTTGGTCTGCAATATTGAGACCTTGATTTTTAAAAACAAACGTAAGCAAAATTTACATGTATTTATGATCAGATCTAACTATTGGTCTTTCATTGCAGACACATAGCACTAAGCACTTTGCCTCCTAAGCCATACTTCCATGCAGCAAATAAAGCTTCCTAACCCAAACTACTGTAGATTTCAGGAATCCTGAACTAGACCAACCTGTCTGATGGTGGAAAGGATATATTCTCCTCATATATATCTCCTTCTAAACCCAGACTGCTCCAGCTACTGCTGTTACCATTACTGCCAGAAAGGAAAAGAAAGGCAGTGGATGTTGAGTAACTGACAGTAGCTTCCCATTATCTGCCCCATCCCAACCTTGGTCAAACTGCATGTGAGCAGCATATCCAGACAGACATGGTGCACTTACTATTAACAGGCTTCATATCACATGCAATTCAAATGTTTTCATCTGTGTCACACATGCAAAACTAGGAAACATTTTCAGAGCAGACAAGTACTTCTGTGCTCTCGACATCATGTGTTCAGCAACTGTGTGTCTGACAGGTATAATGCCATCATTTATTTAATGTTTGTCAATATTATCCTTCTTTGTCTTTCATTAACCTTTTTTTTTCAAATTTCAAAGGTGGAGATTTTTTGAAACAGCAGGAGGACAGTAAGGGCAGCACTGGCACATAATGCATTAATAAGGTAGATCAAAGCAACAATAAGATGCTAGACATAGAATGCCATTTAGACAGAAGAGATTTGTTATTTTTAATTCTCTACAAGGAATCCAGACTAAATGGATTTTGCATTTAATGGCAAACATAGAGGTAATAGTACAAATTACTTTTTTTTAAAAAACAATCATTAGTAAACTATACTTCCTGACAAAATGTACACACAGTGGTATAATAGAATAAACACACCACACTTTATCAGATATAAACAACTAAGCCTTAAGCATTGAATGTCTGTTTCATGTTACATTTACACATATTAACCTTCTAGTTCAGTCATGTGCAGAAATGCTGCTGACAAGCTTAAATCTGAAATGCTGTACTCTGTCCAGTGCCTTGGGAAGTCCTCCCGATGTGAAAGGCGCTATACAAATGTAATAATAATAATAATCCTTGCATTTGATATAGTGCTTTTCACGTCTTCTAGACGTCCCAAAGCGCTTCACAGAATAGACTGTAAAGTGAATTGACCATATATTTGTGGGCGAAACGGGGCAGCCAATTGCGCACAGCAATGTCCCACAAACAGTCGTAGATTGAAAATGACCAATTTTAATAATAATAATCCTTGCATTTGATATAGCGCTTTTCACGTCAGGAGGACGTCCCAAAGCGCTTCACAGAATATACTGTAAAGTGAATTGACTGTATATTTGTGGGCGAACGCGGCAGCCAATTGCGCACAGCAATGTCCCACAAACAGTCGTAGATTGAAAATGACCAATTTATTATTGTTTTTTTTTGGTTTTGGAGGGATTATTATTAGGCTCTGTGTGGAGTAAGGAAACTTGCCCAAGGTTTCGCCCTCTGCCTGGAATTGAACTCAGGTCTCTCGCTTGCAAATCTTGTTGTTGTAGTAAACGTGGAAGAAATCTTTTGAATGAACACGTAATTCTAATGTTATAGATCAGTGTGGTCCAACTGGTGGCCCGTGGGCTGCATTCAGCCCCGCAAGTGATTTTATCCGGCCCGGGGGTTGATTGTAACCAGCCCGACACCATTTCCACATTCTAACTTCCACTCCCTCCCTGGTGAATTCCTCTCGCTGGCAGCGTGAAGAGCCGGGCGGTTGGGAGGACGCAGAGCGGAGAGAGTAAATAATTCTGGCCATAGCAGCAGTCTGTCAGGAAGGCAAGCGAACTCTAACCAACCAACCGCTGGCTCCTGCCGCTGCAGATTGTGATTGCCACACGACTGGGCAAGAGGGGGGGGCGGGAGAGAGGGGGGGGCGGGAGAGAGGGGGGGCGGGAGAGAGGGGTGGACGAGAGAGAGGGGGGCGGGAGAGAGAGAGCGGGGGGGTGGGGGTGGGAGAGAGAAAGGGGCGCGGGAGAGATATTGCTTATATTGAACAAAAGATTGCTTATGTGGCCCAACGACCTTTCTCAAATTGGGAATCCGGCCCACAGCAGCCAAAAGGTTGACCACCCTGTTGTAGATACATCGTATCTCTGGAGCCTCTCCTGCTGACATGCAGATTGGGGGCAAAATTCTGGGTCAATTTCAATTCGTGCTTTTTAAACTTTCTGGAAATTAAATAGACCACAAAATGTCAATTGGCCTCAATGCCCAAGGGTTAAGGAGGGCGGGAGGATTTCCAACCATTGATATTTATCCAGAGAACCCTGTTGGAAAGTGTACAAGTGCTGGGTGCCATGTATAGGCAGGATCAGACCCCACTGGGATGCCCCCTGTGAATGAATAGCCAGCCAGCACTCACAGTCAAGGCTCCCACCTGAACAACGGTCACTTGGGAGGTTCAGGAGCTTATCTGGTGCCTCTGTGAACCATGCCCTAGTATTGTAGAAAGAGGAAATATGTGTCTTAAGGAAAGAAGGAGAAAAATCTGAGAGAAGCAAAATTGCAAATGGTGGGACACAGAGCAGAATATTTCCTGCTCAAGATTGATGTTTATTAGAATGCAGTTTTAAAATAAAAACCCCAAAGTAACATTAAAAATGCAATTAGCGACTATTTTATTGACACGCACAGGATTCATATTTAAAGGAAAAATATTCAAGCTTTGCAGTTTCCACAATATTTACCCTTTTAAATGCTTCCTTTTCAAAATAAATTCATTTTAAATGGCACTATACAATGGATATTAAACATCTGTAAGCAGGTATTGAATAAATGAGTTTTAAATAAAACAAACTACTTAATGACCAAAACTAGTTTGAGAACAAACTCTGTTTTTTGTCAACACTTAATTTCTTGAGTGCACAAATTTCTTACCTTACATTGATTGAACACTGAAAATGCTAAAAGGGAGTCAGATGAGACAGTTCAAGTATCTACATTAGGAGAATACTAACAGATTTGGTAATACCACCACCACATTTGCATGTTCGAATCTTACCCAAAGGCATACAGATAAGCTACAAATTCCAGTAAATATTCAAATAGATGTTTTAAATACTCCGACTAGGAAGGTAAACACTCTTGTATTTAAATTCACTTTCTGACCTGTTTTAAACATAACCTAGTAAATTCCATTGATGACAAGTTCAAAATAAAGACGGCATAAATATAGCTAGTAGCAGATCTAAAAGGGAGTTTAAGAGGAAATCATTACCCAGAGGATGTAAAAATATGGAACTCACTGCTGGAAGCTGTAGTTGAAGCAAAAAGCATCAATGTATTTAAAAAGGAAATTTGAGACATACATGAGGGAAAAGCAAATAGAAAGGGTGGAGGAAAAGGGAATAGGAGGTGCAAGTTCGTGTGTGGCATAAACTCAGGTGAAGCCAGTGTGTCCGGCTCATTTCACAAACAACAACGATACTTCATGAGCAGATGATAGGGTGGGGTTTAGGAGGATGAGATCTATTGGGCCAAAAAGCTTTCTTCATTCAAACTTGTGATTTTGACCACCTCAGTTCTTAGGAATAGAAACTTGTATACCATGCCTCTCATAACTAAGCCTTTTTCATCCCAGGTACTAACCTGGTGAAACGCTGCTGAACTCCCTTCCCAAGGCTGCATACACAAAACAGAGCACAACACTCCAAATGTGGTCTGATCATTGCTCCATATAAATGGAGCAGCATTTCTATGTCGCTAGACCACTTGTCATAAAACTCAGCATTCCTTTAGATTTTTTGATTGGTTATTGGGTATTAGAATTCTTTTTAAAATCTAATTTGAAGTAGATTTTCAAATCCCTGCATTTATTTACCCTCATAAATAGCCCCATCTAGAGCGTGTTCCCATCCTCCACTTTTGCATCCACAGTATACCACCTTATGTTTATTTTGTGTATTGAACTCCATCTGCTATAGCTCCACCCACTCATATCAATGATAAAGAATTTTTCTTTAGATGTGAATTATTCATTGGTGTTATGGATCCAGATTGGTCACTAATTATAAGCAAAGCTAGATAGGACTCTAGTTGATATTTAAAGCAGTTCACGTCACATCATAAAACATTAATTGTGCTTTATAAAAATAACATTTAGTGAGTTCACAATTACCTGTCACTGAGGTGCAGGAAGCTGCTGGTTTCATCTGGGTGTTCGTCTTCAAAACTCAGGTTAGACCAGCTCCCAGTACTGTCATCACCAACACTGAGGCTGAGCTGCTGGCTAGTTGTGGCCGAATCAGCAGAGCACAATCCGTCTTTAAGACCACCACTATACACAGACAATGCAAAAACTTCATTACCTTCATCAACAAAAATCAATGTATCAAACTTCCTTGCACATCAATGAATTGCATCTACAATTTTTCAAATAACTATTGATCAGTTTAGTTCACCTATAAAATATATACAGTGACTATACTGTACTTGCCAGACTGCAAGCTATTCGGCAAGCAATGGCAAGCTGTGTGGTTTTAGCTAGTTAGACTCAAGCATTACCCCAACGCACACTCTGGGGTCCCCAAGTCTTGGCGCTTGCCAACTTGTGCCTAATACTTTGCAGAATTAGGTCAGCACGATGTGTCCCTCCAGGGAGAGAGTGCGCATTCCGTTCCAACAATCTATCTCTGGGATTTCCATACATAGGTGGGAAACGTGGAAATTTCAGGTTGGTTTGGATACTCTTAAGCATAGTGATGGTATCATATGTCTGATACCCGACTGGCAAAAAAAATGATTATCAGTGAATTCACTGAAGTTTCAGAATAGAGCATATTTAAATGTGCCGTAGATTGCTAGAATTTAATCTAAATTAGGACCCAGGTTTCTCAAATTTTGAAGAATATACTTACATATCCAGGCCACAGTGGTACAAATGATGAAGGTTTTAAAGAATTTAAAGATACCTGCTTACCATTTAAAGTGTAGAAGATTACGGTTTATAAAAAAATTAAAACATACATCAAAATGCACAATGCTTGGGTGAAAATAAAGCCACCTTGGTCCACCCCCTCCCGAATCAAATCCCAGCTCAGATGTAAACCCTCGACTATGACAGGGCCTTAGGCCGTCTTCACGATGTGAATACCGCTATTTGACTGCAGTTTGTTGTTGCTGTTTTTGACTGTGACAACTTGATCCACAGATTTCTTAAAAGTAATGTTTCCCCGGACGATGTTCCCAAAAGGATGACATGAATATCCTAATTAGCCCGCGGTGAGTAGAGTGAAAGAATTCTACCAAACATAAAATGATGGAAAGGCCAATGTTGGTTTACCTTATGATGGACTGGCTGGCATTTATCATGGCTGAAGTAATTATTTCTGCAGCAAGACTTTCAGTGAAGCTTATTCCATCATGTCCAATACCACTATCTGCTGCCAAGCTTGTATTGCTGAGCTCTCGTTTGGCTTTTTCAATAGCTGCTGAGATCATATTGTCTACAAAATATCCTCTCTGTTCCCCGTCAATGTGGATCCGAGGTATATCCAGCTGACACGCCACTGGTGATCTCTGACAAAGGTGCTCTGGTCTTGGTCGCACGATTGGTTTAACAGAATATTTGTCGTGCCACTGTGATCGTACTGTGTTTTTGTTCAGCAGCCCAGTAGTCTGGATTCTATTAGTGCAACATCTTGATCCATTGTCTGTTAAAGATGATTGTAAAACCATTTCTGACAATGTTTCGGCATATGCCAAACAATCTTTCTGTCTGTTGTTTTCCTCGGCTTCAGTGGCATTCAACTCGTAAGCGGGATTGACCACTTTCCCATCATAATGTTGCAGTGACCGATGCATATCCTCACAGTTATAGCCGTAATCATTCAAACTTCCTGTACTATGGTACAGTTTGTTTCTCTGGATGATGGGTTGAATTGAACAAGTCCATGTCTTTTTAATAAGATCTTCAGCCATTTGTTCTAGCTGCAACCTCTTGTACAGACAAGAATCTGTAAGGGATTTGGGTAACCCATGAGCTACAGTCGTTGTTTGTAATTTCTGCGTGACTTCATAGGTAATATTTTGTGCAACCGATTCTGCAAACCTTAATAGATCTACCGAGTCGCATCTGATCATTCTTTGATCACTGCTTCCTCTGCTTTGATCCGGATCATGATTTTGCTCCCTGGTCAGAAATTTAAAAAGCTCTTTAGCTGTATTCTCACCTCTGAATTGCTGGGACAAGAGTAATCGCCTCTTATACTTTTGCTTAATTCGCCTGGCTGCTTGTTCCAGACCTGCTTTTACAGTCCTACATGCAAGCCTGTTAGCATAGTGATCCAATATTAACTCACCATTTCCACCCTCTCGACTAATCATTCTTATGATGTATTCTGCATATTCATCAGTCACACTCTCACAGCTTGAATGCTTAGACAATAACCCAGTGGTATTATGACTTTGGGGTACGTGAAGTACGGATTCCATAAGCTCATGCGACCACTGGTCTGCCACAACATTTAGTTTTTCCTTCCCACCATTTTCCTGATCCCCGTAGCTGGACTCATTACTTTCAGTTTGCCAATAATCTTTGAATTTTCTCTTCTTATACTTTATGGAACCGATCATTTTTTTGGCATCTCGAATGACTTCCCCTGCCACCTTGCCTGCGTAACTCCACAAAGGGTTAACAACTTCGTCTGAAAGTTCTCTTTCTGTTAGTGTTGAAGGGGAAATGGCTTTAGCATGGAACTCGCTCCGAACTCCTGATTTCCAGAGTTTGTTGGGGGAGATCCTAAAATGCTTTGTATCACCATCACATTTGCCAGTATCTTCCAAGCAAATTGCAGCTATTTCGGTTGCCATTGAAACTATGCTGGACGCCAATTGACTCGCATATTGTAGAGTGCTTCTTTCAATACCTAACCTCAACTCTTCTTTTTCCAGAACTTTTGCTTTTGCTCTCAAGTTGGAGTGTGTTGGACGTAAGATTCAGCTTTTCCCGCAAACAGATCAAAGTTTCCATCCTCGTCATCATTGCTCAGAACTTCCTCAGACAAAGACCTCATCAGTTGCAGCACAAATTCTGCTTTCTCCTCCGTGTCCTGAGTCAGCTGTGCCAAACATGGAACCGAGTGCCTCCGCGGGGTGGATGGTGGCGTTACTGGCAGGAACTCTTTAGCCAGCTCTCCTTTCAGTTGTCTGGTAAAATTCTTTATATTATTCTCATGGCAAGAATGCTGAGGCTGATGTGGGGTTGGCGGTGGCGTGCCAGGAGACCTGCTTGAGCATCTTTTGCTGCCGATTAAGTCTTCCTCTGAAAATAAATTATCCTTGTTAAGTTTGATCCTTGGCTTGCCAAGCAATCCTGCTCCTATCCCTAAAGTCGCACTTTCTTGGTTATACTCTTGAATCTCTACTGTTGGGTTGCCAGGAGTTGTAATTGAGACTTCACTTTGAAGTTGTTCAGTCAATGACTTCAGAGTATCTGCAAGCTCAGGACCGCCCAGACCTTCGGTACTTTCCGTACCTAAATTCTTTCGAGTGATCGTAGGACTAGGTGGCGGAGTACATGGAGGAAACTCTTCTGCTAAATGACCCTTAAGTTCTTGGGCAAAGCACCTGGGAATAGTCAAACGTTTGAAGGCAGTAGAGTCAGCAGGTGAGACCGGAGGTGTTCTCAGCAGATCTGGTGACTGAGAAAACGCACCTTTCCGTCCATCACATGGAATTAGTCTTCCAACTGATAACGCTTCTTGACATTCTTCAAATTCACCAATTCTCTGGTGCATTCCTCTGGCATTTTCTAAGGCATCGGCCTGTAAATCTGCCCCATACATTACATGAGATGCAGCCTCTTGGTTTTTGATACCCATTGTTGTCACTTTAAACACTGAATTATTTACAATTGTTTCCGCTAACACCTCAGCAAATTGGTTTTCAGGAATTTCTTTGTTGCCAGACACACAGCTGGTAGATGGTATAACAAGTATTTTTCTATTCAGTTTTGCAGCAACATCTCCTGTGGTATTCTGTAGTTTTGATGGAGTAACCAGGTCAAAAGAATGATTTACTACCAGATCAACCATTTCTCCTGAGAAACTGCAGCTAGGTATTTCCCAGTTTGGGAGTTCTGCAGCAGCAATTGCACAGATGTCCTCACCTTTGCCTTGCTTTGGTTTGCAGTCAGTGTCACTAGCCTCAGTGCACAAAAATATGTTTTCAGGGGAAACATGTCCACTGCAGGGTGTGTGCCATTCAGGACCCATTGGCTGGTTCACATACCTCATCCGCAACACTTCCTCAGCTGTTTTACTCATGAAACACGATCCGCCAAGTTCAATACTTGCAGTTTTCGTTTCTGATGGTCCACGGGGACAATATGATTTCTGACAGCAATCTGACGAATTCCAAATGCAAGAAAGCGCTTTTCCAGCAAGGGGAACAGATATACAACTCACAATACCAGAAAGACAAAGTAAACCTTTTTCCATAGTGAACCCCTTCTCTGTCAAATGCACATCGTCAAAAGTATTTTGCATCCCGTTCCGTGAAAGATGTCCTTCAGGGTTTCTAAAGAACGCCCTTTCCCGAACACTGACCTGCTCGCTCGAATTATGCAATGCCTGTGCTACAGTTTCTCCACCAACATCTTTTATATTATCCAAAGAAATGCTAATAGCTGCTTGAGTCATAAATGTAACATCCACTTGAGACAGTTCAATAAAGGCTTCCTGCAGGACTGATTCAGACAAATCCGTAGCATATGAATACACAACCTTCTCTTCAACATCAAAGGACCGATCTGTGGCTGCTGTAGGTGTTGTTGGGTGCGAGAACTGACAAACTTCCATGATTCCCTCAAAGACCAGTTCCTCTGCAAGATCTGTTGCAAATCTTGCTACCGCATTGTTAAAAATTTGTTTCTTTACAAGCTCCAACTCTTTCATGGCTCCTGTAATTGCTTCACCCACCAAATAGTTAGCTAAATTATTGACAGCACTCTCCTTCAGTGAAAACGCTCGGCGAACTCCTATCTCCTGAAAAGCCATTTGGATCACAGAAGATGTCAGTCGAGTAGCCAGGTGGTAAAGTGCACTGGTGCATGAAGAAACACCTTTTTGTAGATCTTTAAAGGCATTTCCAATACTTTTTTCAACTACTTCTGTAGCAAGTCTCTGAATGCCATTCTTTAATGTATTTGAACCTGCCTGTTTATCAGAAATAACCACAGGTACTTCAGAATTAGGGGTTTCAGCGAAAGTCATCTCTTTAGCAAGTCCCACTCTGCTTGTCAACTGTGCAGCATGACGGCATTCATCTATTTTACTCTCAAAATCTGCAGGATGCGGATAGCTGAAAACAGAATTAAGAATATCATCGGAAATATTGTCAGCGTAATCAGAATAGGTATTAAAAAGCCCTCCAAGATTCCGTGGTTTACTGTCTGTATCCATTCTCCCCAAACACTCTGAATTACCTAATGGGCTGAATGCAGACGAATGGATTGGACTGAACAATGGGCTACTCTCTTCTCCAGAGACATTCATTGGTCGAGGAGAGTCAGGGACATCAGACAGACTCTTGTAGGGTGATTCTGGCTTTCGAGGTGTAGGCTTCTTTACATCAGCAGGTAAGGTTGGATGGTCAAACTTATGTGGATTCATAGCAGCAGCTGCTGTAGTGCATCGTTTTAGTGTAAAGTCTGAAGTCAGCTTTTCTCCGAACTTCATTTTCGGAGATGGATTTCCAGAACTAGACTCTACTTTCCGTTTGGCAGATGTATTCACTAAGATTTGGTCCAGCTCATCAAACTGGTCAAAGCTATCGAAAAATTCACTTACTTCTGAATCAGAATCCTCAATGTCATCTTTAAGTATTGGGAGTTTGGGTATTTCCAGTGTTGCTTTCAGACTCTTCTGGTACCCTTCCTCATCCAAGAAAATTATTGGACTCGGGCTTGAACATTCGGAATCTTCAGACTCAGTTGGAGAGATACTAGGTACATATTCCTGCTTGACGTCTGATCTTTGCACAGAAGGGTTGCACACTATGTAAAAACTTCTTTGCTTTCTGGAGTCTGAACTTGTTGTAACAGAACTTTTAACAAAAGATGAAGCTTCTGGGCGTACAGTATTAGTGAGTAAAGGAGGAAGAGATTTTCTGGAGGCTTGGGTTGTAGGGGAGCATAAAGGAAGCAACTCAGGACAAGCGGGTAGTTGGAGTGGGAAGGTTTGCGAAGCCACGTCTCGCTGGTACTTGGTAATACTGGGGCTCAGTCCTGTGGTTTGCAAACAGGGAGAAAACATTTCTGGTTTAAAATTGGTGCCATTCCTAGGACTGTAATTATGCACAATGCAAAGATTTTAGTGGGATACATTTTAGATATTAAGAGTTCTTAATGCCACATAACAAAGGCACACTACACATAATGTTCAGTGTTGTCTTTGTTATGTGGCTATAATAGTGTAAACAATTACACTGAAACAGACCATTCAAAATATACAGTCAATTCACTTTACAGTATATTCTGTGAAGCGCTTTGAGACGTCTCAGATGTGATAAGGCGCTATATCAAATGCAAGGCTATTATATTATTATTCATCCCAGCATTTATACTCCACAGGAGCTTCCACCCCTCCTAATTCCCTCTCCTATACCCCTCCTTTCCCAGTTATTTTTATTTTAGTGACAGGGATACACTGATTAATTCTCAATAGCTTTGAATTACTTGGATCTAAAGTTCTTTCATGCTAATTACTTGTGATAAAGTACCCAGTGCATTGAATGAAGAATATGCTGTAAAGTGAATTGACTGTATATTTGTGGGTGAAACGCGGCAGCCAATAGTGCACAGCAGCGTCCCCAAACAGTCGTAGACTGAAAATGACCAATTTATTGTTTTGTTTTGGAGGGATTATTATTAGGCGTGTTGAGTAAGGAAACTTGCCCAAGGTTTCGCCCTGCCTGGAATTAAACCCAGGTGTCTCGCTTGCAAGGCGAGTGCTCTAACCACTGAGCTACAGGACTCCTAAATGTAATTTGTTGTTGTCCATCTCTTAGCCCACTCCTTACTCACCCCCTCCACTTGGCTAAATCAGGTTTGCTGCACCTCCCCTCCCATCCCCACAATAGTGGCCAAGCCTTCAGGTTTGATGCCCCTAACTTACGGAACTCCCTCTCTGTCATTAAATCTTGTTTTCAAACCTACATACTCCACCATATCAGTGGGTCACTTCTCTCTTCCTCCCTCCCCCTTTCAGAATTCAACCCAGTCTTCTATAATGTTATTCAATCTGAAGGGCATATAGAAATGCAAGTTGTTGTGAAAATCAGTATATGTACAGAAGGATGGATCTTTATAAGGATCCTCATGAAGCATAAATGAATCAGTTTCTAATTTAATAGATAATCTGAGGGCTTTCACCCTGGTACCATGCTGATAGTGCTTTTGGCAGTACTGACCAGTGTTCCCATGTGTGGTCCCTACTTCTTCTTCTTCTAAATGCTCAAAAGCAGTCACAAAGTCATCTTCTATGGAAGACACCGACTGGTTAGTGTCATCGTCCTCTGTGTGATATACATCCGTTTGGTATTTCTGTGCTGAATGAACATCTAATGAAGATTTTATTCCTATTGTGTATTTGCTTAGCATGGAGAATACAGGAGAATCAGTGCAGCTCCACAATGCAGGATACCTAACCACACATACCACTTCCGATGGGGAATGCTGTAAGACAGAAAAATAAACATTAATATAAGATTTAGAGAAATCACGTTGTAAAAAAAAAATCCCTCAATAATTGTGAACAGTACAATAAGAGCTTTGAAGAGGTTATTTTCAACTACAAACTGAATGGATTTGCACTGACTATATTGATACATAGGGTGCAAAGCGCTCTGTTCTTGCAAACCAAATTCACAAGGTGATCTCAGCAGTCCTGAACTGCTTCAAAATAATTAATCTTACCAGATTAATCAGTGTATTGACCTAATGTGCTGAAACTTTCTGAACAAATGGCAGTAAATAAAACAGTTTCAACTTTGAAATAGTGGTGCACCTGGAATGCAGTATTCTCTTTTAGTTTGGAGTGTTTCTTCAAATCTGTCAAAAGAGCAATTTCAGTGTTCTTTAGGCTGTAGAGCTGCAGTGAGCTTAGTAAACTAGGAAGCTCAGGGGAAATAGTAGTCAGTGTCTGTAAAACAGAATCATAAGAAACAGTATGAGTCAAGCTACTGGACTATGCTTCCAATTAAGCCATTCAACAACATGCACTTAAATAGCCTTACACATAGGAAAATATCACATCGTAAAAATCATCAGTGTAGATTCGATGGGCCTAATGGGCTTGTGTGCACTGCAACATTCTATTCTAATGATAGTGAAGAGACTTTCTAAATCAGTACACAGCCACCATTAGTCTTTTTCGAGATACAGGATGAACAGTACTATACAATTAATTATACATGCAAGTGCCAAGCTAAAATAGCAAGGCAATTGGAGCAAGAGGTAGGAACTTGGTGAAGGCTGCAGTGAAACACTAACAGCAAAAATAATTATTTGCTTATCTGCATCAGTGTCCAACATACAAGTGGGCAACTGATTTACTTTAAGCTACAGGCTTTATCCCTATTCACCAGATCAGATTTTGCGAGAATTTTTCCAATTTCTGGTGAACTTTCAAAGTGAAATGGAATTTGTGGACAAGTAGATGCCAAAATGTGTGTACAAATGGACAGTGCAATTTGTGGACAGTAATTTACTGGACGATAATCATTTACCTGGATTTCTGCAGCATTTGCATCTTCTTTCACACTGGAAAGCCCCACAAAAGTGACCTAGTAATATGAAATGTAATGTGAGTTATAATCAAACAGCTTCATACAAATAGAAAATATACTTTCCAAAAGAACTTCACACATTTACTTCACTCTTTTGTTTTAAAAAAGAAAATCCTCTGAACATCAAAACTGTTGGACGTATTATACGCTTTTTGGGGTAATAAACCCCTAAATAAAAATTGGACACACAATCCATGACTGTTTGTGGGACACTGCTGTGCATAATTAGCTGCCGCATTTCACTCACAAAATACAGTCAATTCACTTTATAGTATATCCTGTGAAGCGCTTTGAGACGTCTCAACAACGTGATAAGGTACAATATCAAATCCAAGGATTACTATTCACTATTATTATACACCTAGATGTATTACAGATATGAACAAGAAACAATACTATAATACAAAATCTGAGCGATACAATCAAGTGTATCATGAGTACAATGGTGTAAATGTATGCTACCATCCAAATGGCCTGCTCAGGTAAACGATGATTATTCTGATTCAATGGTAAAGCAGATTTTTGACTTAATCTCAAGAGGTTCAGCATACCTCAACACATTCATACCAATATTTCCTGACTGCCTCTATTCTAGTCCTTTAGCAACATTAAAAGATTAGAGACTGCCATCACCAAAATTAAAAACAAGAAGAGAATTATTTTCCTGAAATACTTTCAACTTTCAGTTTCTCAATTTAAGAAAAAGCCTATACATGTACAAACGCGTGAGGCTTTCTAGCGTGTCATTATTTTGTAGGCGAAAGCTCTGTGCAAAAGCTCTGTGACCAAACACACTGCTATATTTAAACAAGAAATTTTGCTCACAAACCAGAGTTAAATTTTCATCTTCTCTCCAAAACAGGCCGGCTGTTACACAGCATAGGGGCGTCTTACTCTGCAGCAAGGACCTCATTGAAATTTGCTGCTGGTGACTCAGCATCTAAACAAATAGGAATGTGATACAACACTTCATTTCTATTGTGCAAAAAAGGAAATTTAGAAGGTTAATCCTAAACTTAATCCAGCGACAGCACTACCTTCGATGCAGTGTGCTGCTGGAGTGGGGGGAGAGAAGGGCTTCAGTCAGGAGGGACTGAAGGCAACAGGGTCACAAGTCCAGAATTTGCAAAATACTGAATATCAGACAAATTAAGATGTAGCATCATGAAGAGCCTTGAAGGATTTTTGGGCTGTCAAGACTCCTAAGAAATGGTCAGGGCTCATTTAACATCTGATATATTGAACAACATGAGTCAGGAACAACATGGAACAACCTGGTTCCTTCAGTTCTTTCCACTTTAGTGGATCTAAGGGTTAACCATGTAAATGTCCACAAAAATAATGTAATTATTATTATTACAAAAATAAAGCAGGATAAGATAGAAAAAGATGAAAAAAAGGTAGGAGAAATGCAGCAAATTAAAATTAACTGTTTATTTGGACTATCTATAACATCTATTCATTCTCTTTACCTCCTTTTTTAGGGATGCTCTGGGTTTTGAACGACCACTTCTCATCCTGTTGTCCATGGTGTACGATGACCCTCAGGAACTGCCAGAGGTAATCAGCCTAGAGACTACTGCATACATAGGGAAAACACAGGAAGTAAAACAGGTTATGAACAGGCTAGTAAATCTAACATTTTACCCATATAAGACAGTCAATCCACTTTACTGTATATCCTGTGAAGCGTTTGACATTTCAACAAATTGATAAGGTGAGTGCAAGGATTATTATTATAACTTGTGTCTATATAACCCCATTTGTACAAGTTTGCATAATGTCTAACAGCGCTAAAATCTGAGAAAAGATCATTGTGACAAAAAACGTGCTGGCAAATTCTCCATTAAAAAAAAGAAAAAAAACTATTGACTTCCACTGGATGCAAGCAAGAAATGGTTAAGAGAAAAATACTTTATTAATTGCCATGCATGTAAAAATACTGGCGAGGACAACTATAACACTTCAAATCTGTGACGTGTCAGAAACATAAGAAAAAGAGAGTTGCTCACATGCCAACTGCTTCCAAGGTTACCAGTTACTGATTTTAATCCAAGTTTATTACAAGGGAAGTGCCGGAAATCTCGTAATAAGATTAACGAAGAGAAGAACTGGAAGGTCGGATACTCTGAATACTTACCCTAGATGTCTTATTATTTAATTTATGACTTAAACAAGTACTGTACTTATTGTTAAAGCATTGAGGTGACCCATTCTGCACACAATATTCTTTGACCCAGCCAAGGTCTCGTACAAATGCATCATTACATACTTGCTGGTATGTTCTATGGCTCAGGATATAAAACCGAGGACTTTTTTGGCTTTATCTACCTGCTACTACAAATGACTGGTTTATTGCACATCATGATCCTTCTGCTCTTCTACTCCATTTTAAATGTTACCTCTCCAGGTGCATTTCCTTTCCTTATTCTTACTACTGCTGCTACAATGAGAAAATGGAGAAGAAGCACTTTGAAGTATTCTGACGATGTTATAGGCACATCAAATGCAAGGACTTTCAGAGTCTGAGTATTAAAAAATTAGACCCAACTTTTGTTACATTTCATTATTCAAAATATCTACATGGATGCAAGGATGTGCCGTTAGATGCAACATCACGCTGAAAATACCAAATAAGTAACAGAATTGAGAACGTGACTTGTGCATTAGATTATCCCTTGGTTTCATATTCCATCTGAATACAATGATGCTCGTGGGGTAGCAAAGAACAACACTGTGCAGTTTCCCTATCCGGTCAATGAATCTGGCTAAAAGGTGCTCATAGGCGTGGATCCAAGTGCAGGAATCAGTATCAGGGATGGAATAGGAGGAGGAATACAATGCCAGAGGAGAAATGTTCCAATTCCCCGCTCCTTGCCCGGCTCCCTGGGATCCCCATCTCCCAGAAGATCGAGTTCAAGTTCACAAAATTAAAATTTCTGATGACTAGACCTGTCTAATGGGCAGCCCCTCCTCTTCCTACTTTGACAAGTTAGATGCGTCAGAGGTTGACTACGTCTATGATGTGACCATGTCATTCATTACCTTTCTAGCCTCTTATAGGCTGAAAACATGAAAGTTTGATTTTTAGGGTAAAATAGAATGTGAAAATAAGTAGTTAAATAATAGATTTTTGAACAAAAAAAGGAAACAACAGTAAGACAGAATTATAGTAATTCCATTTTTTTTAAAGATTTAATTGAAATTGCACTGTACTTTATGTAGCTGATACCAGGCAGTAAACTTTAGCAGCATTACTTTACTGTTTTGTGGTGCAAATGTGTTGCGTGTCGATTTTATAATAATCTTTGCATTTGATATAGCACTTTTCACGTCTTCTAGACATCTCAAAGCACTTCACAGAATATAAAGTGAATTGACTGTATATTTGTGGGCGAAACAATTTTAAATGTAATTGCAAAAGGTGTCAAATCCCTTATAATATAGTACTCTAGTCACAGGTCTAGTGTCATTCCCCTCTCTATGAGCTGACCTGTACTATGTTTCAACTCATGCCAACCTTACAGCAATAAAGCTGCTCAAATATCCAGAGCAGCTTTATTGCTGTAATTAATGCCTGCATCCCTATTTGTAACTGACTCCCAGGTCTAGGGTTTATATGTATGAAGATTCAATACAGGAACCAGGAGGTAGCGTGATTTACACAAGCCACCAGTTAAGGCTACAAGATAAGAGTATTTTAGTTAATTTGTAGACCACAGTATAGAAAATATATTACACCCATCGAGAGGATAGAGGAGAATCACTTGGATGATATGAGGGATTAGGCATTATATTTATGTGGACAGGTTTGTAAAGATGGGTTATTTTCGCTGGAGCAGAGACTATTAAGGGGAGATCCAATAAAGGTTCTACTTAGGAACGGCTACATTGTTTGTGGCTGTCTTTCAGATGAGATATTAAATTGATATCTGATCTGCCTGTTCAGGTAGACGTTATAGATCTTATGAAACTACTCGAAAAGAGAAGCTGCCCTGGGCACGATAAAAATGGGCATTAACTGTAATGACTATCAATGCAAACCGGCCACTACATTGTCTGCAAATAGAGTCACTACAATTGGCAATGTTTACCTGTGAAACTCTTGGATAAATTCACTTACAACAATGTGCCAAGACAACTAGTCGGTGTGCCCAACTAGTTGGGTATTCTATTTACACCACGCTTCACATTTAATCTTTTAACCATAAGGATTTCCCACAAGACTCAGAAAATGGTCACTGATCAGTCAAGTTTGCCTCTGAATGCTGTGTTATTGATTGAAAAGCTGTGACAGCCGGTTTCTGCCTACAGTGTTGCCATCAAGATAATTTGAGGTCTACTGAAAATCCCAGAATATGCATCAAATGGGAAATACTGTATTGATAGAAACTAAGCATGTTAATTCAAATTAAACAGCCTCTTTACACCCTTTCAGACTGATTTCCCCTTCTCAAAATTTAGAAAAATCCAGACAGTCTTCCAGTCACATCCCAAGTCAGTCAGACAACTTCACAATGAGAACATCTCATAACTAGTTCTCAACAACTCCATTCCCCCAACCTGCTATGAACCAAATGCCCTCATGGTAGTACTCTGTGGACTATGTCTCAAATCTAGATAGTGGGACAGACAATCCCACAACTCCTCTCCTAAGCAAGCACTGGCACAATAGATCACAATACAATTTACACTGTAAATTGCACAGAGTCAAAACACTTTGGCAGCTTGCAGTTGAATATATAATGTATAAAACACTGACCCTTCCCAACCCTGGAGTTGCAAATTTACTTCCTTGCCTGTGATTACATCATGGAACGCATGACTTTAATGTTGCGCTGACCTTTCTGTTGATTTATGACTACAGATTTCTTGGAATCAGAATACGTTTCTTCACCCACAAGGGTGGTGAAAATATGGACTGCATTGCCCCAGAAGACCATAGATGCAGCAACAATTGGGATGTTAAAGAGTGAGGCAGAAAGATACTTGGTAAGTAAGGTATCAAGGAATATAATGAAAACACAAGGAAATAAATTTTAAAGATTTGCCATTATCTAAAAACAAATGCCAGGAAAGTGGTGGGTGATCCACTCCTGGTTCTTTCAAACTTATTTACATTGAACATTACATTGAGGCAAAGGTCATAAACAAGCAGAATAACCATGGCCTTGTGTATACAATACTGTAAATAAGAGCACTGCTTCCACCTTTGCAGGAGTTTGAAATGTTGACAGAGGCAAGTTGAAGCAGCAGAGAATGAAGTTGGAGGAAATAAATCACTGACCAGCCTCAAATGCTGCCTCCTTTCTCCCCCCACCCCCCCACGTGCCATGCTCAGTCTCTCAGAGCCATACACAGTAAAATGTTCTTCTTCTTTCCATGTTGGTTAGGTCCTCTAAATATCACAGTGCAGCATCAAATATTTGCACCACTTCCCTTATGCGAAATTGTGCTAGTATTAACTATCAGCTCCTCACTGCTCTCACTTCTCTTTTCAACTGCTTTAATTCAGATAGCACTAATGATTTCTGTATTTTTTAATAATCAGTATCCTGTCAACTGCGAACTGACAAACTGATCTAATAATAATCCTTGTATTTTACATAGTACCTATAACATTTAAATATCTGCACATGAAACTGCTATCAAACATAGTCACTATATTTAAAATAAATGCAGCTTAGGCAGTTTATGTACAGCAGGGTCCCACAAACAGCATCTCAAAGAGCTTCACAAGATTTATTGTGAAGTGTAGTAACTGTATTTGTAAGGGAACAAAATAGCTAATTAAAATGAATACCGAATTATATCTGGGGATTGTTGGCCAGGACACTGGGAGAAACTCCTCTTTCGAATAGTGCAATGGGATCTTCAATGCCCTCTCAATAGGGAGATTAGACCTTGGTTTGATGTTTCATCTGAAGGGTCGCTCCTCTGACATCCCCAGCATTGAACTGGAGTGTCAACCTAGAACTGTGACCTCAAAATACGGACATGTATACCTTGACCCTACAACCATAGGTGAGAGTGCTACCAACAACCAGGCTGATCATTGTCCAAGTTCTTAGTTTTTCATCATTTCTCCCTTCAACCAAAGGCAATGATTATTGCCTGAATATCAGTAACAAAACAGTACCCTGGCTAAATGTCCATCTTCAGGGATGAATTTGCACACCAAATGTCAGCAGACTATTCAAACATGGGGAGCATCACAGTGAGCCCTATTCTGCTTTTAACTATCACCACCACATATACAATTTCCATCAGGAAGACAAAGATACAAATCAAAAGGGAGAATACTGGGAGATTTCTACCTTCCTAAGCCCAGAGGTGTTGAGGCTAAATATAGCATTCTACTGTTACCCAACTGTGACCAAATAACACAATCAATCTGTAACCTTCTGATCCATGTGGCTTAGTGCTGACATTTGTAATCAAACAGTGATTTAGGTAACATTCAATCTAATAGATTTCTATGGACTGTACATAATCAAAGGCATCAAAATGGAAACTAAAAATGTACTGCACAAGAGGTACACCAGCGTTCTTAATAGAGTTATCCGCTTAGTCCCATTCAAATGCCATTTACCCTTACCCTATATTTCTCCTTTTTGATTATTTATCTAATTCCCACTTAATTCATTTTTTAAAAAAATGTTTACACACAAAATGAAAACCTGTCACTCCAAATAACTTAAGCCATGATTAAAGGAGTAAAAGAACACTCAATCACCACCCTTCTGTCCAGGAGAGATCAATACTTCTACACAAACCCTCCCCTGAAGATCAGTCAATGTTCACACATCCTATCTAGCAATCTTTCAATACTCTCCACGTACGATCTATTAATTTCCAACGCCACTCCCAGAATCTATGAATCTCCTCCCCTCGGGTCCCAGGATCTGTCAATCTTCACATCCCCTCCCCAGAAATCTATCACTCATCCCTTCTCCCGCGATCTGTCACTCACTTCGCCCACAAAATATGTACAGTCAATTCACTTTACAGTATATTCTTTGAAGCACTTTGAGACGTCCCTAAGATGTGATAAGGCGTGATATCAAATACAAGGATTATTATTATCTCATCCTCCCCGTCCCAGGATCTATCACTGATCCCCCCCCGTCCCAGGGTCTATCACTGATCCCCCCCCCCCCCCCGTCCCAGGGTCTATCACTGATCCCCCCCGTCTCAGGGTATATCACTGATCCCCGCCCCCCCCATCCCAGGATCTATCACTGAACCCCCCCTGTCCCAGGATCTATCACTGATCCCCCCCCTGTCCCAGGATGTATCACTGATCCCCCCCCGTCCGAGGGTCTATCACTGATCCCCCCGTCCCAGGGTCTATCACTGATCCCCCCCCCCCCGTCCCAGGGTCTATCACTGATCCCCCCCCCCCCGTCCCAGGGTCTATAACTGATCCCCCCCCCCGTCCCAGGGTCTATCACTGATCCCCCCCCCCCTGTCCCAGGATCTATCACTGATCCCCCCCCGTCCCGGGGTCTATCACTGATCCCCCTCTGTCCCAGGGTCTATCACTGACTCCCACCCCACCCCCGTCCCAGGGTCTATCACTGATCCCCCCCCCCCCGTCCCAGGGTCTATCACTGATCCCCCCCCCCCCGTCCCAGGGTCTATCATCTATCACTGATCCCCCCCCGTCCCAGGATCTATCACTGATCCCCCCCGTCCCGGGGTCTATCATTGATCCCCCCTCTGTCCCAGGGTCTATCACTGACTCCCACCCCACCCAGCCCCCCGTCCCAGGGTCTATCACGGACCCCCCCCCCCCATCCCAGGGTCTATCACTGACTCCCACCCACCCCTCTCCCCCTGTCCCAGGATGTATCACTGATCCCCCCCCATGTCCCAGGGACTATCACTGATCCCCCCCTGTCCCAGGATCTATCACTGACTCCCACCCCCCCTGTCCCAGGATCTATCAATGTCCTCATAATGTTTCTATATCCCCGGCCTAGAATCACGGGGATCGGCCGTGTTAGGTGTCTCCTATGTCGGTGCTCAGCCCGGGATCTCTCCCACCTGTCCCGGGGTCTCTCACACACTTACCCAGGCCCGGGGGTCTCTCACACACTTACCCAGGCCCGGGGGTCTCTCACACACTTACCCAGGCCCGGGGGTGGGTCTCACACACTTACCCAGGCCCGAGGGTGGGTCTCACACACTTACCCAGGCCCGGGGGTCTCTCACACACTTACCCAGGCCCGGGGGTCTCTCACACACTTACCCAGGCCCGAGGGTGGGTCTCACACACTTACCCAGGCCCGGGGTTGGGTCTCACACACTTACCCAGGCCCGGGGGTCTCTCACACACTTACCCAGGCCCGGGGGTCTCTCACACTTACCCAGGCCCGGGGGTCTCTCACACTTACCCAGGCCCGGGGGTCTCTCACACACATACCCAGACCCGGGGTGGGGTGGGGGGGTTGGGCTCACACACATACCCAGGCCCGGGGGTGGGGGGGGTGGGGGCTCACACACATACCCAGGCCCGGGGTGGGGTGGGGGGGGTCTCACACACATACCCAGGCCCGGGGCGGGGTGGGGGGTTGGGCTCACACACATACCCAGGCCCGGGGTGGGGTGGGGGGGGGGTCTCACACACATACCCAGGCCCGGGGCGGGGGTGGGGGGGTTGGGCTCACACACATACCCAGGCCCGGGGCGGGGTGGGGGGTTGGGCTCACACACATACCCAGGCCCGGGGTGGGGTGGGGGGGGTTGGGCTCACACACATACCCAGGCCCGGGGCGGGGTGGGGGGGGGTTGGGGCCTCACACACATACCCAGGCCCGGGGTGGGGTGGGTTGGGGCTCACACACATACCAGGCCCCGGGGTGGGGGGGGGTTGGGCTCACACACATACCCAGGCCCGGGGCGGGGGGGTCTCACACACATACCCAGGCCCGGGGTGGGGGGGTTCTCACACACATACCCAGGCCCGGGGCGGGGTGGGGGGGGGTTGGGCTCACACACATACCCGGGTCCGGGGTCTCTCTCGGCCTCTGATCCGCTTCATGTTATTTTTCCCTGTGATGTACTCCAGGCCTCTCAATCCAGCACCGCCAAATCGAGCGGCGGCGGCGGCGGAGTATCCACCGCCCCCCCCCCCCTCAGGCAGCTCCAACCGAGCGTAGAGCAACCGAGCGCTGCCACAGACTGAGCTGCAGAGACGCCCACAGCAGCTGCTGCACTGTCATTGGGGCAGTCGATGAGGATGGACTCAGGGCTTTCTGTAACCCTTTGCATATCATTGTTGGCGTCTTCCTCCTTTCAGGGATGACCTGACCTGACCTGACCTCCCACCCCCCCCTCCCATCCCCCTCCCATCACCAGCCACAACAAATTGCTCCCATCACCAGCCACAACAAATTGCATTGGTGCAGAGTCTTTCACGGACAGATCTCCAAACCCACCGGTTCCCCCCCCCTCCCCCCTCCCCGGTAACAACAGCCGCCGCCGCTCCCTGAAATCGCAAGCCCCGGCTGCTCGAGCGCAGGTGGCAAAAAGACCAGCCTCGCGGTTCACCACCAGCTGCGGCTCGTGCACCTTCGCATCTAAATGGTCCCAAATAAAACCGGTCCCTCACTGTGCGGGAGTCCTGTAGTGGAGTCCTGTGGAAATTGGTCACTTCGAACCACGACTGTTTGTGGGGCACAATTGGCCGCCGCGTTCGCCCACAAAATATACAGTCAATTCACTTTACAGTCTATCCTGTGAAGCGCTTTGAGACGTCTAGAAGACGTGAAAACCGCTGTATCGAATGCAAGGGTTATTATTATTATCTACCGCTGCTCCCTCTCGCGAGCAAAAAGCTGCGTATTACTCAAAAGATCATTCTGGAGACCAAAAATAACCTCCTCTGCTGCGCGCTCCCTGAAGCACCCTCAATCATTACATCAAACACCAAGTGCGAACAGGTCATGGACTTCCTTACCTCTAAAATAAAAAACATCCGCCTGGCAGCCTCATCCTCCTGCTCCATGTTCCCTACCACACCGCCCCACCTCCATTCTGTCTCCTTCACCTATCCCATCACTCCTCAGCTCCGATCACGCCCCCACGCCGTGGAGTCCTGTAGCTCAGTGGTTAGAGCACTCACTTTGCGAGTGAGAGACCTGAGTTCAATTCCAGGCAGAGGGTGAAACCTCGGGCAAGTTTCCTTACTCCACACAGAGCCTAATAATAATCCCTCCAAAAAACAATAATAAATTGGTCATTTTCAATCTACGACTGTTAGTGAGACATTGCTGTGCGCAATTGGTTGCCGCGTTTGCCGACAAATATAGAGTCAATTCAATTTACAGTATATTCTGTGAAGCGCTTTGGGATGTCTAGAAGACGTGAAAAGCGCTATATCAAATGCAAGGATTATTATTATTATTATTTTATCCTACATCCCTTTGCCCCCATCTCTCATTCCTCCCTCTCATCCTCCATCACCCAATGAAATCCACCACCTGCTGCCTCGACCCCCCTTCCCACCCAGCCCCGCCTCCTCTGCCCACTGTTGGCAGACACCATTAATCAGTCCCTTTCCTCAGGATCAGTCCCACTCCTCCTCAAAACCGGCATCCTAAACCTCCTCCATAAAAAAAACTACCCTCAAGCTCTCCAACCTCGGGCACTACCCACCCTATCTCAAACCTGCTCTTCCTGGCCAAAGCTTTGGAACGCATTGTGGCCAACCAACTTTGCGCACACCTCTCCTTCCACTCCCTGCTCAAAACCCTCCAGTCCGGTTTGCACCCTCCCCACAGTACAAAGACAGCGCTCGTGAAAGTCACAAACAATCTCCTCTATCTGTGACCAGCGTTCCCTCTTCTTCCTCGTCCGACACAGTCGATCACGCCATCCTCTCCACACCTTTGTCACCTCTTGGCTGGACTACTCTAACACCCTCCTCATCAGTTTCCCCTCCTCCACTATTCACAAAATTCAACTCATCCAAAACTCCGCCGTCCGCATTCTCACCCGCACTAAAGTCCGCACCCCGATTACTCCAGTCCCTGCCAAACTCCACTGGCTCCCTGTCACAGAGCGGAACGACTTCAAGATCCTCATTCTAGTGTTTCAATCCCTCCACGCCTTGGCATACCCCTATCTCTCTAACCTCCTCTCTCCTCACAGCACTACCTGCTGCCTACTCTCTACCGACTCCGGCCTCCTCCTTGTCTCTCAAATTCTCCACTCCAGGATTGGCAGCCGTGTCTTCAGCCACTACGCCCTCAAGCTATGGAACTCCCTCCCTCAATCCCTTCACCTTGCCCCCTCTTTCCCCATTTTCGGGTTGCGCCTGTAGACCTTCCTCTTCAACCGTGCCTATGGTTACTTTCCCCCTCCTCCTGGCTTGGCATCGGATTCCACCATTGTTAATGCTCTGGGATGCCGCCTGGTGTGGAGGGCGTTATAGAAATGCAAGTTGTTGTTGTCCCAAATCTCTGGACAGTGGTGGGTTTGCACCTTGATGAGATCACATTGTCCTGTAATGTAATTGAGAAGTTCAGAGATAATCTGAGGTCACTGCGATACAGGACTGGGCAGGGGTAGACACCATACTGCTGACCGACTGACAAGTTCGATTGCGCTGGAGACAGTGTGTGAGCGAATGTCAGTCCCTCCAATAGTTGTCCTGAGGTGTTGGTGGTTGAGGTGGGCATTGAGTGATGAGGCAGTACAGATAGGGAGGCAAATGCCAGTTGGCCATGGCCTAAAACAAACTTGAGACTATGGAAAACATCCACATGCCCAATCCTGGAGTTACAGCCATCCTACCTTGTCTGCTGCAGACTGAGCCATCCCCAAGATCCCAAGATATCCAGAACCAAGCAACAAAGCTAGAGTATTGTCTGCCCTATTTTATCAGCTCATCTGACCTACATGAGATCTCTGGGCTGCAAACATTCGAGGAAAGATTTCTGCACATCAGGAAGAAATGCCTCAAGAAGGCACAAAGTAACTCTTTTTTATCCACACTGATAGGGCAAGAAGGACAGAAACCATCATGTCATACCGTGCAGTCAGTCGATCTGCAGTAAAGGGTGCAACCCTGCCCAGTCCAGCCTTACACTGACCTCACATCTTTCTCTGACTTACACAATCTCATAATGAGTCGGATTATTCCCTAAAGGAACATGAAACCATAAAAGGATGTGAAAAGGATTAGAAACCAGGGTCATCCTCAGCAAGTTCCCAATGATGGAAGTGGGAGAGAGGGAGACAAATGCCAGTTGCCATTGGTAATTGTTAATCATGGAGTTTCTTCTGTTTCTTATCCTGGCTTATTCAAAAATATCACATGCATTCTGTGCTGGCTTGGTTGCTGGTTGGGCTTGGTGCCAGATAGCTGGATGGGTGGGGGTGGATGTTTGATTGGGTTCTGGGAAGTCAGATTGATACAGGGAGAGTAGATGGTGGCAGAGATGCTGCAAGACACAAATGGGAAGTACATGTGTAAGATTTGTTAGCAGAACAAGCATTCTCTAATGCAGACATCTAAACTTTGAGGAGGGTGAACTTTGCCTTTGTTTAATTACTATTGCATGCACATCATCCTCACTTATGTGAACAGAGATGGCAAAGTAGCCTCCAAAGTTGTGGGTGGGAGAGGGAAGGGAATAAAGTAAGGGTCTTCCTTCATATATCTCTCTACACTTCCGGTTCTCTAGAGCAGTGATTGGTACCTCTGGTCAGCCAGAAAGTAAATGTTCAATCAAGAAAAAACTGGAAACAAGACATTGATTTAAAACACACACCTAGACTAGTGCGAATGTTCGGGGGATCACTTCTTCAAGGTCCCATGGGCCACTTCCAGCCCGTGTGCTATGTGTTGACCATTACTGCTCTAGAGTCCTCCTCTGAGAAGCAAACATGCACATGTTTTGTATTGGCCTCACAATTCTGCAAAGACATGCAATAGTATTGCCCTATTTCAATATACAGCAACATGTCGTATTGATGTATTTAACTTAATCTTTACAAATATCCCCCTCATCTGTATCACTGACTTACCATGATTCCAATACCGGGTACAAGAAGGGTCAAACAAATTGTAGTGGAGATGCACGACTTCGTATGTTGTGCAGGACTGAAGCACTGGCCATCCTCACCACAACCTGAGCTGATACAATCCATTAATTCTTTGTTGCACCCATACAATCTATTATAGCGGTGTCACTTTACATTGAAATGTGAGCATGTAGATAGCTGAGCCATCTATTACCTCACTGTGTTTGTTAAACAAGCTCCAGAGACTTGATCTGAGAGAACTCGTGATTCTCTAAGGTGCTACTGTTTCAACACATCTAAAATTACAAACACCCTCCCCTCTTCCTAACTACGACACAATGGTTTGGTGTACGACCAATATAAAAAGATTTTGTCACCTTATTTCCTGCTAGCACTTTGGTGCTAGGAAACTGATTGATTTAAATAGATATCTCAATTTTTAGCTGCTGTTGACAGTGATGAGAAATTTTCAGGCCCGAACATTATGCTAAGACCGGTGGTGGGGTGGGGGTATGGAGACGAAGTGGGAATTATTTACTCTTTAGACTTTTGGTTATGTTCTAAAGTACGGAGATCAATGCTAATTAAAAAGTACCACCAAATTAACTGGAAATGTTGCAGTAATACAGTAAATGGTACTGTTCAGAAGTGATGTAAAATATATCGGGTGTAATGTTTGTTATACCTACCTAAGGAGTTCTGGCTACTGTAGCTGGATTTAAAAGAAAAATGCTCCATAAGTTAGCCATAAATGTGTGAAAATGATTGTGCAGATACTTGTGCATTGTGATTCTGTTCCTCACAGAACAAACATTTTTAATCCATTTAAGTAGTAATCTTCTCTTTGTACGGAACATGCAGAGATGATTTATGTTGCTAGTAGGCTTTGAAGCAAAACATCAAGGCAACATTTTTTATGAAATAAAGCAATTATGATTGTTGTCAAGGGTTATTTGTGAATTGTTCACAGCAGCAACATGATACTCTATTAACTGTCAATTTTTCTGTCGGGAGGAAATTGCCATCAATGGATTATTATCCCAGGATGTGCTCAATCTCTGCTTCGG